AATAATTTATGTAGAGCTAATTGGGAACTGCATGAGATTGAGAATGTAATGCAGTTATTCGATCCCTCGACTGATAAAAAAATACGTGCGTGGTGCATATTTTGCCAATTTATGCAACAGCCTTGAATTACATTTGACTGTTCAAAACTCTGAACCAATCATTTAGAAAATTGAGTGAGCACATTAGCAAAAAATGGAATAAAACCAAAATCATGTGGTGACTCAAAACAGTCAAAACAAGAGCGAGCAGGGGAACAAAGTACAAAAGAAAGTCTCAATTTATGAGACAGGAAGTTCTGCTCACGACCTGGGCACAAGTCTCCAATCAGAGCTTCTCAATTTCAAAAAAGTTTCATTCATTCACAAAAAACGTTGCAGGACTTGAATATGCAGCAGAAGAAGACGAAGGAGGGGAGAAAAAAGCCTTCCTGAGAAATTGGTCAGCAGAAAAAGTGTAAAAAACCAGCCTTGGGCAAATCCAATCTTCATGAATGAGAATGAATCTCCTTAATTTCAGTGCGTGCTCTTGTTCTTCTAAGAGAAGAGAGAGAAATGTCCGGCATTATTTTATTATCGTCCATCCGTCCGTTGTTATCATCATCAGCATGTTGATTAAACTCTGCATTTCTACTCTAGTGCTACTCAACGGGGAGAAGAAACCCTGCTGCAGAACCAACTTTTTAATTTTTAATTTTATTTTCTACATGAAACCAGAGTAATTGCTTCACTTTTTGTTTCTTTTGTCGAGCTGTGAAGACCAGCAGCAATAACATTTGCATGTTCAACATACATCATCCATCGGTTGTTGTACGTAGCAGCAGCCTTACGACTTCCTTAGTGAGTAGCTTATCCTTAGCTTGGCTGTTGGGTGATGAGGAGGAGAACACTGACGACCACGTTTTTAAGACGGAACAAGAACGTGATGGAGATGGACACGGTTGAATGGTCACTTAAATGAATCTTAATCGTTTTTTCTCCTCAACTATTATGTTGTGCTGATAATAATGGTCAATCCAATCTTCCTGCTACACAGCCCCATGCGTAGGAATGGAATGGCGTCACTATTATGGCGAGTTGTGTGTGGTGTGCATGGGGCAGTAGAGAGTGAAAGTTCGCTATCTTCATCAGTTTGCATTAGCCCACTGTTATTCGCCATCGCGCATAACCTACGCAGAGCAGATAGACCAATAACTAATCGAAATGAAGGAATTACTTATGTGAGCCTAAAACTTTTTAGAATTTGCTTGGTGTTATGGACGGAAGGAGGTTCATGCACTGTGTGTGGTGCGGTAGAGGATTAATGCCCAAGGGTATCGTCGCCAAAAAGATAAACCGCAAAGCCGATGGATTCAAGCGAATTTTTGATTGTTTTCCTATTGTGACGCACAGGGTTGAAAAATATGACAGGATTTATTACGCATCTTTGCACTGCACCTGATCTCCGTTGTGTCAGGTGACAAATAACTTCCTCCTCGATCGTTTCCTATTTTCAGCAAAATGTTGCACATCATTAAACGACAAAGGAATTCGGCCAATGTCAATTTTCTACTTTGCTTCTTGCTTCTTGGGTTTCCATTGTGGCAAAGTTAGAGAAACCACATTGAGTGCCAGCCTTGAATTCTTTTGACGTTTTTGAGAAGAGCTTTTAGGATGGTTTTTAGCCACTTACACTGATATTCATCTCTCGACTGCGTATAAATAATGGTTGATGATCCGACGTGACAAAGTTAGTTACTTAACAAATTAAGCGACAAAGTCAAGCGTTACATACAAAACAAGAAGGAATTAACGTTGGGTTACCAGATTCATTATTATTTTATTACCTTCTTGAATTTGACCCTCAGAGGAAACCAATTTTCAAGAAGTGCCGATGTCATCCCAAATTCAAGCGTGGTTGTTTTATCACTCTTTTCTGGAGGACTTTTGTCAGCAATTCTGCCAATAATTAAGTACAACATGAGCCTGCACAGGCATATGCATGGGTCTCTATATAAGCAGATACAAAGGAATTAGAAACCAGAATCACTGAGCGTTTTGTGTGGTGAATCCAATGCAAATCCATGAAGGTCTTGATCCATTATTATTGAGATTTGCGATTACACTTCAATCCAATTCCTAAGGTTTTAAGGTACACAAATTGCTTGCTTGGTTCCATTTCATTGTCATCACTCATTCTTGCTCGATCCAATCGCTCAAGAACTGAAGAGTCAGTTTCAAAGTCACCATCGCCACAGAGAGTCAAGTGACAGCAGATGGATTCTGTATTATCGGCACGATATGGTTTCCACTTGGCAAATGCGTAATAGCTCGTTCCTGAACTAAGGTCATGTCATACATCAGGGCAAAAACTTTAATTCAGTAATCACTTGATTTGCTTACACAGAAGCATCATTGATTTTTACGAATAATAATAATTGTACAATCATTGATGATTTTGTTGCGTCCAACAAAAAACTGCCCATCCCACAATGACGGACGACGATTGTAGTGGTGATTGAGAGAGGAAGAAATCTTCAGGTGTCAAATTAGCTCAGAATAAAGGACGCCGCGTCGTCAAAGGCGGAGGAGGCGTGCGAAACCCCTTTCTCCGATTCATTCAAATGTGCATGTAGCTCCGCAACTTTGATGTCGTCGGATCACCATCACAGATTACGATTAGATTTTGAGGACTGCTCTTATAATTAGTTCATGCAATGAGCGAGTCGCATTGCAATTTATCTGCCCATTCGTTTATTATTGCAAATAATGCAAAAGGAAGGAGCCGATTGATTTCGTTTTGATTAACCAACGTCGTCCTCGCAATGATGCAGATTTCATAATAATTTAGAATTTTATATTTTATAGCCCACCACCAACAATACACGCGGAGCACGAGACAATTAAGCCAACGGTTGGTTGGGAAATGGTGGAGAAGTGCTAAGTGGTCGTTAAGACTGATCTGGTTAACAACAATGGGATTTAAAAGGTTTTCTGCAGAGTGACAATAATTAGCTTATTCTTTGAAGAGACGGCAGAATAGAGAAGCAGAAACAACAACACTCGTCGTGAGTTCATCATGCTGGTCCACGAAACGACCAGAAATAGGGACAATCAACCAGTACTACTATTATCATTATTAAATACTTGTAGCATTATTATCCAACTTTTTACGACCAATCCATCCATTCGCATCTATCGTCTTTGTCTTCTCAGTTTCAACCTCATTTTGCTATCCAGATTTTAAAAGATTTCATTGTCTTCTTCTTCTTCTCGTCGACTATTGCATTGCATGAATGGCTCGAATATTTTCTGTTGTTCCTTCAGTTAGAAGAATCAGTGAGAAAATTAAGTCAAGGACTTTTATTTCTTTTCCCTGTCTTTTCTACACCACAGATTTTTTTCCAATATTTACTTATCCATGTAATTACTACAATTTATGGTTGTTCGTAGTCAACTACAACGCGGTGGTGGTCACAAGTTGTCACGATTATGTATCAACATTATCACCATGATTGTTGTGTATGTAATCATACGAATTGCATCATTTTTGAAATTCAATCCAATCCAATGTCATCGAGCACATTATTATTACATACACTCGAGTTTATATTATGTCATCGTGAACCATAAAAATACGGTAGGTTCGTATCTAGTTCAGAGTCAATGGTGCGAAAAATGGGCTAAAAGAAATGCAACTGATACTCGTTTTTTGCTGTAATTGCACATAGCTTGGTAGCCATTGTTGTGTCATTTTTGAGTAAAATGCTGATAAATTCCACGTAATACTATGCAGATATAGTGCTTAATAGACCGGGGAGTTCCCTCCTCCTCCGCCGTTACATTGGCAGACTCAAAGCATTGAATAATATGGCGAGCTGCTCAATTTGTGATCAATTTCCATTTCAGCTGGCTGACACCATTTGCCTCGTCAATATTGGCGAACCACGGCTAAGCGATGAATTGATCTTGGTTGCGGGGGACTTATTTACTTCTTGGTTTACGAGTAGTGATGCCTTCTTCACTTTCAATTCGACTTGAATTACATGCACGAATTTATGAGATGTGCGACATTGTTGTGCTTTATTTGTGCAAAGATGAGGCTGGTTTGGCGAAATGAGGTAAAAAGTCGACAGGGATTGACGTCAATCAAGTGCAAAAGTCTCATCATCACCACCACGTCATGGGCATGGCTAATCTTCCTCCTCCTGCACTTAAGGACTTGTTGCCTAATACCTACGTACGTAAATTCATACACACAGCACCACATACGTAACGTCGTCGTCATCGTAGCCTTCTTCTTGGCATTTTTGTTTGTATGAGAAGAATGTGGAGTATTGAGCGATCGCATTGTACATATTCCTTGTTGTGCAGGATGTCTTATTACAACGAAAAGAAGCAGAAACGATAGAGTGTTGATTCTGCTGGTGGATCGGCGACTGAGAAAGAAAATTCACCATCCATGAAGGAAGGGTTATGTAACGACAGGTTGAATCGGACGGACGGATGGAGTGCGTATCGAATACAAAAATAGTACTTTGTCCCTAAACTAGATTCAGCCATTGTTGCCCATTGTCGTCGACATGTGGATGCTGCGTTCAACTCACACGAACCAAGTCGAGAAGAAGAAACGCTTTATTTGTGTCTCGTATTATCATTATTCTCTTGAGATGTGCGAATTTGTTTCAAATTGGTCGCAATCCAATCTCCATTATTATTTCATCTTTTGTTGAGTAACTGGGTGTCCATGAATTCGTCATGAGTAATTCGACCCGTAGTTCCCAACAACTTTTCAATTGACAATAATACGCGAGGGAGAATACAAAAAAGAAGGATATGTATGAGTTCCAGGGTGGTCGCCCTAATGGTCACGGATTAAAATAAATGCATAAAATGCGAGAGAAGTGCCGTTATTATTGGGAATTGATGCATACAAGATACGTTTGAATACTATGCAAATTAAGATGATTTTCCTACTTAATAGGTGAATAATATTTAAGAGTTGGTAATTTTCTGATTTTCAGAATGCAGCCATGAGTGCCTTAGAATGGCTCCCGTTGATGTACCCCCAGGGGTTGTTGGACATGCGGGACAAGGATTCCAACCCATCGCGACGTCTGAATAATCTGCCTCCTTCCATGCTCACACCGCACCCCATGCACCCACACTCTCACCACCACCACCACCTCCCGCACCATCCGCTTCCCGGACTCTTGCCCCCCAAACCTGGCGCCCTTTACCATCCTGCGGCGGCTGGTTTTCTCAGGTCAATGTCCGTCGCTGTGGGGGAACCTGCGCCACATCTTCCCTCGTCACCATTCCCATCCAACCTCTTTATGGGGGCAGCTCTCAACGGATCCTCCTCCGAGTCTCGCACTCCAAACAACAAAGAACTTCTCATGCCCTTTGACCTATCGAAAAGATTTCACAACAACGGTATTTCTGCGGGAAAAGGGCACCATCACCAGCAGCAAAATCATCACCAAAGTGTCCAAAATCACCACAATCGTCGAGCAGTGGGTGAGGAAGAAGGAGAAGCCAAAATTCCCTCCAAGGAGCAGTCTGCTGGGGGTGTGGTTTCCTCGAAGGATGAGCAGCCTCTGGATCTCAGCGTCAAACGGAGAAAGAGGTTGGACGAGAACCAGAACGTCATCAGTACTTGTACGCCGAGCCCACCTCCGAAAAAGCGGTCGCGTAGTCCAACCCCCGTGTCGTCGCACCAGCAGCACCACAACCACCACCACCCAAGACCAGAGTCCAGCCCCACCCCACCTGCAGCGAAACGGATCCACACGCCCATAAGTATCGCGAATGGGGGTGGAAGGCAGACGCCTGGCAACAATAATGAGCAAACCGAGACGACTCTGAGCAATAACTCGAGCAGCAGCTCCAACAATAATGGAGCCACTTTCACTCCTCCAACAATGAACCATCCAGCCATGAACATGTTTGGGAGACATCATTTGCCCCCACACGGTCTTCGCCATGCGTCCCCCCATCATCCAGGAGGGGGAGGAGGACGACCTTTTCCTTTCGTGGCGTCCGCTCTTAATCCACAATTCGTTCAACAACCCTATCACGATGTCATTGGTAAGCACTGGCTATTTTTCTTCTCTTTCACTCTCAATTGTCAGTTCAACAAAATCATTTCGTTCGTGTTCGTAGGTACAGGTCAAACTGGGTCAGGAGGGATAAGCAAGTCTCGAGACCGATATTGTTGCAAATACTGCGGAAAGGTATTTAAATCTAAATATGTACTTATAAACCATACGCGATCTATAAATAACCTAAGTTTTTAAAATTGTCAAGGTGTTTCCGAGATCGGCCAACCTGACCCGTCACTTGCGAACGCACACGGGCGAACAGCCCTACCGCTGCCAATTTTGTGAACGGTCCTTTTCAATTTCCTCCAATTTGCAACGCCACGTTAGAAATATTCATCACAAAGAGAAGCCCTTCCGCTGCCCGCTCTGCGAGAGGGCCTTTGGTCAACAAACCAATCTGGATCGACATTTGCGGAAACATGATGGCAATATTCCTACAATTATGAACCCCAACGGAACTTCCCGACATGGGTCTTCTCGTAACTCATCATCGTCATCCTGGTCCATGAGACATCATCAAAACAGTCTCAACAACAACAATCAAAGTAGTTTCATCAACCGAAATGAACGAAGGAAGGACTCGCTCTCAGAGATCCGTTCCTTCGTAGGAATGGTCACACCCACATCGACGTCCACCTCGGCATCGTCCGAAACGGGGTCGGAGGGTGGTGGGACGGGGATCGAAAGTCTCAAAAAGATGCGACTCGAGGATGACAACAACAACCACATTGTTGACGATGACGACGAGGAGGTGGACGTGGACATTGATGACAATGAGGAGATTGATGTGGAAGAGTTGGACGATGAGGAGGAGGACGATGGCGAAGACACGACGGAAATGAACTCCTCGGAAGCCGACGAACCCGAAGAGCTTACCACCAAAAATAACGACAGCAGTTCTTGCACAGATAACCTCCCAACCACCCCGCCGCCCTCCAGTGTCGAAAGTCGTAGCAGTAGCAGTGGAAATCATCAGGATTAGCACAGAGTACTAATATGCACGTCGGTCGGTTATACATTATCATCACAATCACATATCATTCAAGCAGCAAAATGGAATCTCAAAAGTTTCCAACAACTCTTCCAACAGCTTTATTAATGGGAGCACAAAGTTACCTTATTTCGTATTTTATCTATTTTATATATTACACATATTTTACTATTACAATTTAGGGATGCTTCAGTAGAACATATTTTTAATTATAATATTATAACTATACAGAAGCTTTAATATGACATGTTCATACATATCCACTACTAATCTACTTTGTAGAAGAGGTTTAGTTTAACCGTATGTATTTTTGTATTATATATTAATTTCAAGTTTTTCTTATAAATCTTTTTTGTAATTAACTTTATGTAGCTAGATGAGTAGTTATTAAAATATGTATGTAAGTTGTAAGTGGGACAATGGTATCATGGTTCGAGATGATAGGTTAGAAATATTTGGTATGTTTTTTTTTGCATCCAAAGTTTTGAAGTATCACAAGATTCATCTAGTCAAGAGAATTTCTATTATTTTTCTTAAAAATGTTTTTATCTCTGTAATCAAGGAATTGTGCCCTTTCTTCCAGTACTGTCGGATTACCTAAAAAAAATTATTTGTCTTTGGTCTGTCCTGCATTTACTTTTCGCATATTTTTCTTGGATATTTTCGTACTCGTACATTATTATGTTTGTAATTTTATGCCCTGCTCTGCCTTAAAAAATAAATGTGAGCCAGAAACTATTTTTTTTTCTAAACTAAAACAATTTTATTCATTGCATTCGCATTTCTCGCAGTTTACAATTTGTTTTTGGTAGTCTCGAAATAAAATGACCAATCTTCTGTTGGCTGATGATGATAATTTTAGCATTTTAATGTGTAAAGTTTCTGATTTGATTGATTGATAAAACGTAAAATTTGACAGTTATACATAGTTGTTATTAGCCTAATAGTTTGACTACGACGTTTTGGAATAAGTCTTCTATATTGGAGCTGCGTTACTGGTTAAGTCCGTTATACTGACGACATTGACGAAGAGCTTCATTGAATCTGCACAGAGGTTAATTATTAATCGATTATTAGGCGTATCAATTAGCTAGAATAAATTGATTCGTACGACAAAAAACCTTACCCTTCACAAAGGCTCAAGTCTCCTTGAGTTTGAGCGCATTGAAGAAATTGCTTCATTTCCCAGGCGCAAGCACCACCCTCAGGCTGTTGCTGTTGTTGACCATACTGTCCGCTGGGTGCAGAACTTTGCATTGGAGCTGCTGCTGCTGCAGGGGCGGCCTCAGCGGCGCTAGAACCACCACCGCCAGTGATAGCGTGACCAATTACGTGACCCACTGTGGATCCAATAGCCACACCTCCTGCAGTTGCCATCATTTGTCCCTATGAATGATAAAAATAGTATCATAAAAGCTAAAACTCTTGCCGTAAAAGTGAGTTGCAGAAAAGCATTTTGTTGGTTGACTAACCATAAGTCCAGGACCCTGTGCTGGTGGGGCCATCATTGGCTGGGTTGGCTGAGGTGCGACAGGTGCTGGAGGATGAGCAGCCCTGGAAAATTGAACAAGAAATCAAGTATGAAATAATTAATTGATACAATTATGAATTAGTACCTGGCAGGTGCTGGTGCTGGTCGTGCTGGAGGTGCAGCACGTCTCGGTGGGGGACTTGCAGATCGTCCACGTCGGCCCATTTTCGATTAGTTTGGTTGTCAAAAAACAAGGACGAGTGATGCTATTTGTTCACAAATTAAAAACCAAATTGTTAATATGTAGCTAGTTAAAAACTCTTGGAGAAGGTAGACTAGTTTTACAACAGTGGAATTAAAAACTTGTGATGTAATGTTCTTGTACAAAAGTGAGCGAGTGAGTGAGACGCTCAAAACGTTTTTTAGCTTACCAAGACGTAGAGAAATGGATGATAAGTCCAAACGATGTGTGTTCTTTAGAAGATTGCAAATTCTTGCAAAAAAGAAGAACACAATATAGAAAGAGCGAGAATCGTGTGGTGGATTGCGTAAGAAATGAATTGAGCCAACTGCAAGTCACGTGCAAAGTCCAATCATCATTTTACCCCGTAGGACGACATGACGACACAAAGGTCAACTTTTTGGAGAAAGTGAGACGCAAATGGGTGTGGACTTACAGATTTTATTGTATTGTGGAATTGAAACTTTTATCTGAAATGCTTCTGGAAATGATCAACTGCAAATAAAGGATATACTCACATCCTTATTTATTTTTAAAACATTTTAGCATATAACGTGGACATGATAAAAGTTAAAGTTAGTTAGTATAGTGAGACACCCCAGATAATTACAGGGTTATATGCTTTACACTATTTAATATATAAAATTGTTTGCAAAAAACAAATTAATAAATATTGTGGGATTATTTATGAAGTGTCATTCAGTCAACTTTTGAGCAGCTTCAGCCAAAGTATCATGAATTTCCTTGGCATACGCGATTTGACCCTTGACCACGCTAATGTACTGTGGATAGGTCAGACCATCTACTCTGCTTAAGGCCACCGGTGTCTGCAAATATCGCTGAGAACAGATCCCTTGGTTGATGCACTCGATTGATGTTTTCTGTTCATACGCGAATTATAAAAACAATAAATTCTGGTAAATTGAATTGGTGCAAATGAGGTATACTCACCAAATTCACCTCCATTTGATCACAGAGAGTAAAAAATTCTTCTAGTGTGCGGTCAAACCTGGTAACGTCAAATTCAACTGGTTTCCTATATGATGAAGGTAATTTCAATTTAATTCCGGTTTAGCAAATTATTTAAATAGTTTCACGTACGATCCACTGTCAACCATGTTATTGGCATAAATGGCACTGGCCCCAGTCCGAAGTATATTACTGAGGGACTCCTTAATAGGAACAACTAGAGATTTGGCCTTTGAGATGTTGTCCATTCGTCCTTGTTCTGGGTGAACTTGTTGTTGATGTGGGTGGTGCGGACCTCCAGGATGAGGCGGTTGTCCAGGGTGTGGCTGCGGACCTGGTGGTTGTTGAGCTGCGTGTGGAATCATGGGGCCAGGAGGCGGTGGACCTTGTGAAGGATGTGGCGACGGACCACCCATTTGCTGCTGCTGGTTCATGTTCATCTGCTGGTGCATCATAGGTGGACCACCACCGCTGGGCATCGACATCCTATCTGACTTAATCAACAGACAACTTATTAATGCGAAATTATTCATTAAATGTAAAAAAAAAATCAACTTACTTGATATTAGTCGATGTACGGAAATAAATATCGCAAGACCTGTCAAGTCCGATGTTTACAAATAATTGGACAGGTAAAGATTAAAAAAAACACTTCCTGGTTAAAGTAATGAAAACTTGTTTATCCACACTAAATTAATTAATTTGTTAAAGACTTTAAAACGTGGGACTCTAGAAAAGAAAACAAACATTGAACATCGGCTTTGTGTGTTGTGAACAAATCGAGATTTCCTGCCAACAACCTGAGCTTGAGACGAACTAATGCATTACATTTATATACTAATCTAAGATTACATTATACTGAAATGCTTAAATGCCTAAAATATGTACATCCGATTAAAAAAATTTCCACAAATGCAGAATTTTCTGAATTTTAGAAATTACGCTAATAGATGCTATAGATGATAGCCTTATTACTAGACCTGTCATTACATTCCGGGTACAGACGAGGTAACGACGCATACTTAATAAGCATCAGAGAAATACTAAATATAGATTATAGATAATTCAATTACTATACTTATCATTCCCTTCCTACATAGCCTCAACCTCATCCTCAGCTTGTCTTTACTTACATTACATGGAAGGTCATCGGAAAATAGACATGCAAAAGTGCATACAGAAAAAGAAATTGCGTTCTCACGACCCGCAATGTCACCTTTCCCGGAGGATATAAGAAAATGATATCCATTATATGATCGCTTCGTCGCTTCGTCCCATCGTCGCCTTTGTGCATGTACGGCTGTCTGGGCATGCTAAATACATGATTATTGGTTGTATAAGGACTAGGAGTAAGTTTCCCTTCTAGATCAACTATTTCGAGCGACGTGGCCATAACAAAGAGTTGTACGAACGGATAATGATGTTTACATCTTATGTGCCAAATTCTTTACCGCAAGTTCGATTTTAAGGGAAACTCCATATTGCCTAATTTCCTTGTCTTTTTGGAGACTTGGGTACATGGATGAGTGGTGTTTATGGACCTTACCCGTCTTTACGTTTCTGGGATGACTCATGAAGATATGCTTGAGTCGTGCAAATGGATACATACCGTAAATTGCATTTCTGTTTTAAAAGGAGTTGAAGTCAACTGGAATTGATTATATGGATAAAATGACAATGCGGGTATTTTACGGATAAGCTGGGGGGAAGCAAATCCAAAGTTAAAGTCACCTTCACTTGAACCCCACAGAGAGGCAGGGAAACATTGAGCATTGGATGTAAACAACTTGTCCGGACATATATAAACCAGAGTGGAGAAAATTCTCCGCAGTAGCGTCCCGGAAACTGATCGAGAGAGAGGAATCTTATACAAACCCGAATCTTCTTACACAAAACTACGCACTTTGTAAAGCGTGCTGAATAACTATATAGTAGAAATGGTAAGTTTTTGATTTTCTCAAAAATTTACATGCACAAAGTGAACCATCTTTTTAGACCATACTTTTTATTTGTAACAGGCTGAGGAATTTGAGAAATATGCAGTGTTGAAAAACATGTTTCGGCGTAAATCGAGCACCGAGTACACTGGAGCTGGTAATAAAATAACAAACGGCGATATAATTACATACATACACGGTTCAATAGTGTGCAGATTTTTTGTTGAATTGTTGTTGGTATTAAGTGACAGTAAATCCGTAACCATTATTTCAGGCGGCTTCAAAGAAATTGTGACCGAGAACCAAGCATCGACCCTGCTCGATGAGATGGGTGCACACGTCGACAAAGTTGAGTTGCACAAGAAAATTGAATCAATGGCTCCTGAAAGTGAGTTATAGCAATATCTTCGATATTTTGTTCAAAAGCGTTACTTTAAGTGATAATTACTCATATGCATGCATTATTATGCAGGCCATGGGAAGCTGACTTTCGACCAGTATACGAAACTGTGTGACCAATTTGTTAAAGATCCTACGGCCACACCCTCTGCGATGGAATTTCATAGCTTCAACGATTTCGAATCGTAGAAAATTCGCCACGTTTGAAGAATTGTATTTTCTCTTGTTTTATAACTTTTACAATTTAGTATTGTGACTCGTCTTTTAAGCATTGAATCTCCAGACTTACTAGAAACTAGGAATTTTAGCTCATATTCATATTACGCTTTATTGGTAGATTTGTTGTTATTGTACAAATAGAATTTAAAAGTTATTGCATATTAAGATTTAGAGGAGATCAGGCAACTGGAGTATATGTAGAATTATGTACATCTGCCACTTCTACTGATTTCTAGAAGTTTATGAAATAAAAGTTGTTGTTATTTTTTTGGGGTCTGACAATTGCAAAGTCTGACATGTGGATATTTTAATAATATGTATGCCTCCTACATAACTAATATATGAGGAACCCTTCTAGAGAACGTGTCCTATTATGAGAAATTGCGTGAGGGATTAAGTCTGGTGAAACTTGGTTAAAATGTGAAATCATTTCATCTGTTTTATAATAATTCACAGAATTCGCAACTCGCATTCAATAACCAAACACAACTGACCAACCAACCAGCCAAGGAGTGAATTCGCATTTCATAAGTCGATAATTCTGAACTAGAATGACTTGCAAAGTGAATTCAGAAAGAATTAAGAATAAATATTTCATTTCATTTTCCTTCCTGTCAATTTTTGTTTGAATTTCATGATATTCACGTTACACTAAACAAACTCAATCGTGCACTTCATCATCATCTTCATTCATTCCGTTTATAGTACCAACCAATAATACATTGCCCAGCTACGTATACATGCTGCATAAATGGCATACGACTCGTCGTATCTTATGTATGGCAAAATTATCACGTGCATATACAATTCGCAAAACTATCTCTCAATTTTTGACCAATTTCTTTCCACAACAAGATTTCAAATGTGCATTATGAAGTATTTTGCACCCACCAACGACGCGTCGTACTACATACATGCATACGAACGTACGTGCTATTATGTCATGCATAGGAATTGCTATGCATAATTTGAGGCTATAAATATGAAGGCGACACAAATTAAGAGCGCACTTTATACCCAACCGTTTACCAATTAAAGTTTCCTTGAACCTGCCGTGTTCTTGTATGTGGTAAGTTTCCCAAATTAACCTTTTTTGATAAAGTGCTTATTATTTTGAACGATTTTATTTTCATACTCATTCGACGCATTCTTATTACGTGAGGACATGCAGATGCGGAAACTACTTCACTTATCGTTGGCCTCATTCGGCCTCCTGCTGCTCCTCTGGACGTGCGTGGACCTTGCCGACGCGACGAAGAAGGGGGGTGGTCGCATCATAATTATTCAGACGGGGGGGTGGGGAGGAGGGGGCGGTCACGGTGGGGGCGGCGGAGGCTGGGGACATCATCATCACGACCACCATCACAAACACCAACGTGAGAAAAACACTGGACTTAAACTTATTAGATTTAGATTTAATTTCTAAGCTAATAACTGATCACATTTCTAGACTCCGGAGGTTGGGGAGGAGGAGGAGGAGGTGAGAATTTAGCATTGGTCACCGACATAATATAGCATTGTTTGTTGTAAAAGATATACTAAAATACTTTGTTAACTTGCAAAATTTGTAAAATACTTGGTTTTTGTTCCCAATTAGGTGGCGGATGGGGTTGGGGAGGAGGTATTTTGATCTTGTGATTTAATTTAACAACATTGACAGCTTACGGCCCTTTGTTACTCACCTTCTAGCATTTGATATTGCAATTCATTTATTTTATTTTATTAGGCGGTGGAGGTGGCGGATGGGGATGGAAAAAATGAGCACAGTTCAACTTCCAATAAACTGTATTTTATTGTTTTTGTACCAAAAGTTAGAAACAAATAAACTTCATTTTTTGAGGAGCGAGTCACGAAGGGAGAGATTTCAATTGTGTGTAAATTTTTTATAGCAATTATGTAACTACCAAGCATATTATTGATCTCGATCATGATTGCATTATCGTGGGTTAGCTTGTGGGTGGATGGTTCAATGCATTTCATATCGCTGGTGTATTTACGTCGCTTCCGGGAAGTCGCCAGGACGAACAAGCTTCTTGTGAGAAAAGTCATTGCTTTCTCTTCTCACCTGTTTGAGTAGAAAGTGAAGGGAAATTCGGGAGAAAGCGTCAAAATCTAGACCGCTCCCTGTAAAAAAACAACACCAAAACTCTGTTGAACTTCAATAGGGCATCCACACCCACACCTTCTCCCCTCATGACAAGTTAATTAGATTTCAGCCGTACCATTCGTGTCCTCGTCGTCGACCAACTCCTTCAGCTCGGTCTCGTTGTAGTTCAACTCTGGATTGAGTGAGCGGAGAAGCGTGGGCATTTGGTAGCCACGCACCACACCCCGTCGCTCGTGGTTGTTGAAGATCTTCTCCAAAACTGCAATTTAATTTTGGCATAATTTAATTCCAATTAGTTAATTTTTATCCATTAAATTAAAACAAGTGGATTAATGGTGAGACTTACGAGTTTGCGACTCCTTGCGAACTTTGAACTCCTGCAAAATTGAGATTTTTATTACACTTTGAGTTCAAACAAGTCTGAGGATCTCTTGATTAGCAATAATAATTCTAGTCTCTTACCATTTCTGATTGATAGAGATTGATGTGACGACTTGTCTCAAGGATGAGGACAGTTAAGAGTTAGTGAAAGTGATGCTTTCTAGGAATACTCGTCACTTGTGTTTGTTGTGTTGGGCTGAGAAATGAAATGATTAATGAGCTGAGAAGCGCTCCCACTTATATACGCACCAGAAGATGCAGATCGTCAGTGTCGTCTTCTCTGTCCGGCCAGGTTTCCTTCCTGTCAATCTCCTCCAACGCGTCACATTCAGCAATTTCCATGTTTTTTTTTGCTAGAGAGGAGTCAGAATGGAGACGAAAAATGAGCACGTTGTGTAGGACGATGGCATATCTGGCAATGTGCCTCTGGCCGGGGAGAAAGATGATAAGCCAAAGGGTCATAATATTCATATTCATGCGGAGCAAGAGAGAGAGGCAGATGCTGATTGAAATGTTATTACTGCTTCCGGTACAAATACTCATTAACTCACAAACATCGCAGATATGTACATCAAAAAAGTGCACTCTGTCTGTGAGCTCTATTTTTACGTACATTTAATAATCCTTACATCAATACAAGCAAATCGCGACAACAGTCCGTCAGTATACACATTTATTGCACACGTCTTATGGCATGAGTATTATTGATTTATGACTCAATACTTTTTTTAATATTTCGCTGCTCTTTTATCAATCAATCGATTGAATTTACATTTATTAGGAGCTTTTCGCAACGGATTTGTAAAAGGAGTTCGTTCTCAGTGAAAGTGAAAAGTACAAAGTTTATTGGCCCGAAAATCGACAAAGCTATTATTACCAGATTATTATGAGACTTCATAAGCACAATATGTACATTTGGCAGGACAGTGTTCCACTTTTTTCTTGGTTGAAGATCAATGAAAACAGAAGAGGAGTCAGAGTTAGTCACACCGGGCTGCAGCATAAAATTGACAGATTTCCTCAATGTGTGAATGATTTGTTTTTTAAGAATAAGTAAACAGGATATTTTTGGCACAACGAAACTAAGTGTCTGGTGGTTATCCTCAGCCAGGTCTTCGTCGTAAACAGTCACGTTATTATTTGCAAATGAGGTGTCCGGGTTAATAATCTGTTCCCTTTCCCCATCAATCCATCTATATTCATACTTACACAAGCATTTCCGGATTGCCAATCTGACCGGCTATCACTCCGTGCATGTCTCATTGTTGGACACTTTTCCCTCATCCGTAGTGCATGGAATATGTATAAGATCACCAAGAACGCCTCCAAAACGGTAAATGAACTCCATCAGTTAGCTTTTTCTTGGTTCTCATGATAGATTGTTTCTGCCAAACTTTTGTCATTTTTTAAAGGGAAATGTCACCTCACAGCAAACTTGGCCTGGTGATGACGACGTTACAAGCTAATCCTTAACACGTATAGATAAGTAGTTACTGCATATATGTACTTAGATTAATACACATTGTATAATAATTTAGACCCAACGACGGCACTGACCTCTTGACAAACTGCATCCGATAATTATAGGTCTTGTCGGCAGAAAAGCATTGATCTCTGAATGCAACAAACTTTTGACTAAAATCTATTTTTATGTGTCCGTTTATTTTACCCAGTCCGTCATTTCTTCTTTGTGTATAAAAGGGCACATAAAGTTGAGACACAGCATCAGTACTCACAACTCCTTTGCATAATAAGCAACCAACTCTACCTAAACAAACACCAATCACCTTAACCAGAAACGAGATGGTAAGCTTTACACTTATTAAACAGGCGAGAAAAGTTTACAAGAATATTTTTATAATAGCACAAATTTTTGTCTGAATATTTCCAGGAATTCAAAGTTCGAAAGGAATCTGAAACCTGTAAGTCAAGATCTATACTTTGAAATTATTGGAAGCTTAGCTAGGATCAGTCTCAACTTGCCTCCTCTCTCAATTCATAACAGAATCCTTAATTCTTAAAATTTCTTTTTGCCCTGTTGCAGTGATGGAGAAAGTTTTCCACGCCCACGAGCGCCGGGGGTGTGTTCGGGGTTACCAGATCGCATCAATGCTGAGGTCCCTTCATCCAGAGTTGCAGGTCGACCCAGAAGAACTTAAGATGCAAATTAACGCCAACGACCCCGAGGGTAAGAAATTGGAGGGGAGATGATTTCAGTCTAATTAATTATAAATGCGCATTGTCTAATGTTCCTGTTTCAAATACAGGTGCTGGGAACTTTGACTTTGAAAACTTCAACCGAGTGGCGATGCATTTTCTGCTCAAGGAACGACGACGAGACAGCGACGGCTTCATTCACAAGCATAACATTGGCCTGAACGACTTTCCATCAGTCTGAAGACGTGGAATTAGAATATCCTTCCTTCTCCAGTACCTTTTGTCTCATACTTTACAACTTTCTCAATAAAATTATAGGATTTTAACACAAATCTCAAATTCTCATCTGCCCAGTGTCTGCTCTACCTCTCATCCTCAGCTCATTTGCCCCATAAATTCGACCACTCGGAGCGGGACACGATTTGCATACTTGTTCCACCTCACAGTCATCATAAACATCGTCATAAAATCATACTTGAATTACGATATCGGCACTTAACTACAAATAGCAGCAGTGGGTGGTGCCGTTTAGAAAATGGCGACCAGCTCCACACCCAACTCTAACCCCCCTTCCTCTTCGGGCACTTCCGTCATGAACCCGCTGAGCATCATCCTTGTCAAGAATGGAAGCAAAGGTGATCGTCTTTTGTTCCGATATCCGTACAAAATTCCATTAAGCCAACGTGGGGCTGATAGCTCGCTCACTCCCGATGGCAACAATCTAGCGCCAAGGAGGCGGCGCAAGGTGAGCTGTGACGTCATCGTTCCACGTCGCCCAGCTCCGACAAGTCTCCACGCCCTGGATTCCTTGGCCGTGGAGACCTCATTTGAGTCCTCCTTCCTAAGCCCTCTTCGAGACGGTCGAAGTGCAAGTATTAATGCACGACCAATAATGCGAAAAACATCCCGCACCTCACCCGCCGGTCTACTCTTCTCCAATCTACGCCGAAGGTTAGGCATGTGTAAATAATGACAATTTGATTTTGGTAAATATAATATAAATAAATCTAAAGTTTGAAATATCTGGCAATTCTATTACAGCCCGGGAGTAAGCATGGACAAGTCCGTGGTGTCAAACACGACGAATGACATATTCATCGATGATGAGGAACACAATCGAAGCGACATGGACAAGTTTACTCCAGCGGAAGGAGCCAAAATGTTGAACGAGTTGAGTGATAAGGATTTATCAAACTTGCTCGCCGTGGGGTCAGATCTTTCGGAAAGAAAGTTTGAGCTCAAGTTGAATTATATACGATTCGTGGGACATCCAACGTTGATGCAACATCCGAAATTGTATAGGAATATGGCTCAGCAGGGGTGAGAGGAACTTTGAAATTTTGATTTAAAATAATTTTGACCCGGATCACGAACATGAGTATAAATATACATAAATATAAATATATATATGTAATTATAAATACATTTAAGTATATAAATATTTCCAGACTGCAAACATCCGTGAAACTGTTTCACATTGTTTTCTGCCTCAACGCCGTGGCTAGTCATTCCATTGTCAAATGTTTTCACGATTTAAGCAAGCGACTCGGAATTGCATTAAGACATGAGGAATATCGATGCCTGTAAGAATGAACATTATTCTTATGTTATTATTTACTTATGCCCTATCCATTAATTCCTTATGCATGCCTAAATAATATCTTAACCTATTGTTCTTGTAGCTATTTGACACAAGAGTTCAAGAAAATTGTGGCCATCCACGACGAACTCTGCACTTTAGAACCAGACGATCAAAATGATCCAGAGGGACGTATCAAACTCAAGAACAGAATGTTTGATGAAATTGTATCCAAAAGCAAACTTGCGAGGATGATCAAATACATATACAACGATGTTGTTGAGAAAGGGAGGACATTCATGAGGGTATTTTTCCAATTGTACCAATTAGAGTTTTGCGTATTTAAATTATATCAAAATATATGTAACTTAAATTAATTCTCTTTAGGTGAATGGGTGGATTCAAATAAGCTTTTGTCTACCGCAAAAGATTCACATTTTAAAGTAATTATTCAGTACAAAATCTGTCAGTTTTCATCCGACGACGAATAAGTTGTTTGTCTATAATTGTAATTTAATAATTGTTTAGATACAGAGAAGATCAATCTACTCCCCTCGTAGAACCAGAAGCTATTCACAAATGTCTTGAGGCCATTCGTCCATATCATGCCATTCTTTTATTGGTTGAACCCGATGATTTAACTGACACTTTGTTACTCGACGCGTCTTCCACCATCTCCAGACTCCTTCAAGTCTATTCTCCTTTGAAGAGTCTGCAAACGCTGGCAGCAGATGCAGATCTGACCTTATCACAAACAGTAGAAATTGCTTCTCACTTGGTTTATTGGGCTCAAGCTACGGTTATTTATCCCCTTTGCGAGTCAAATATCTACGTCGTTTCTCCAGACATTCCCATTACCTCCGAAGGACTAGTGAAAGAATTTACTGAACGCTTTCCGGGATTGTCTTTGGCACAAACACTAGCCGACTTTTCCTTGCCCATGCCATTGGGGGAAAGAATTAATCCGGTTCTTGGTATGCTTTATTGTATTTATATTAAAAAATAGATTTCTATAAGTATGTTATGTCAGTTGCACTCATATATTACTTTTTATTCGCAGGGGGCAGTTTCTTCCAAGCCCAGCAAGTATCTCTGGTCATTTGGATGCTCAAATATCACTTACTCATCCACCTTTACACATATGTCTACCTCACGACGTATTTTGATGGCACACTTATGGATAGTGGAGATAGTGGAGTCGACTATTTATCCGCTTACACCGGAAACGTTGACGGAACCACCAGCTTAAACATTAGACCATTTGAAGTGGACGAGGACGAGGTGACAGCCAGTGACAGCTTTTCGGAAACTGCGCTGGACGATGTCAACATTATCAACAATGATCCTTCTGGTATAGACAAGGACGATAAACGACCCGATTCAATGCCAGCTACTCCAAACACCACGACATCCGAACACGTCGTCAACACTAATATTCCGGTCGGAGATACGTTTCCCGAGCTGAACGAGGCGGTTAGAAGAGCCGTTAGTTTGGTGAAAGCCCCTCTCACTGTTCAAGACGTTCGCCTGTTTTCCAGACTTTCAAAATATTTCACGGGCGACTTTCACCTCGAAGAAATCATGTACAGGGAGAATGTTCGCAGATCACAACTCATGCTTTTACTGGACAAGTTTAGAGATGTACTTATCACCATTGAGAAAGAAGATTCCGAAATAAACTTTTTCCAACTTTCGTAATGCGAAATTTTAATATTTATTATAATTATGTTCCATTGCCCAGAGATGTTCGTTGTACAACACTAGCATATTTCACATGTGTATCAATAAGGTCAGCTTATAGACATAGTCTTCGTCTTCTTTTGACAATCGGAGGAAACGCCCGGAGCCCGGTTCACAGGTGCATTGAAAACAAATTGTTATTTAACATAACATTAAGTACTTACATAATTCAGTGGCAGGGTAAAGGTGAGATTGTCGTCTTATTACAAGGCAAGGGGCAGGTGTACTCGAATAATTTTTATCCCAAGAATTTTCTATGCATGTATGTTTGACTGCATGATGAAACCTGATTTTTGCACAATTAGATTTCCACAAGTTTCACACTGACAACAATAGATTTTGCAGTGCATACTGCATAGGCTAGGCTCATTTTTTGCACATTCATGATGCAGCCAGTCCCGTTGGTCTAATCCAGTTATTGTTCACAATTTCATATAGTGCACGTTGGGGGACTTGTTATGGTTTCGCTGTAATTTAAATCTGTTACAATCGAGTGGACCCTTACACAGGTTTGATCAAGCGACACCAAGTGTTAATTAGTCCGTGTAAAAAATAAATGCATTTTGCATCCTTCTGCTCCATTGCTCTTCAACCTATATTGTGCATCAAAGAAACTTGTAGGGCATCATTCTGCATGAATCTGCAGTGTCAGTACAGCCGATCTTCTTGACATCCACGCAGCAGTACATTCATAGTAGCTAAATTTAAATAGCCGTTAAGTATAAGATTCGTCAACAATGGGTTTAAAGTCGTCTTCGAAATGTATGTAAATACGAAATTTGAGCCTGTTTGCATAACAATCCCGTCGTCTCGGAGCAACAGATATTCTGTTGAGTCATTAACCAGCCAAAAGTAAAGCATTGGAAGCATTTTATTTGAAACTAGATGCACTGAAATAATGTGCGACTACACGAACGAACCAACCACGTCAACCACACTCTGCAGAGTCCTCTGAGCCCTGGTGGCGTTGCTGTGCAAGTTGACTTTTAAGATTTATTGACGTCTCTCTTGAACAAAAAGTTTCCCTTTTAACAGCAGAAAACTCGACTCCTGAATAATCGCGAGGCTTCTTCTTTCCGTGTTTTACTTAATTCTGCTGATTTCCGTCTTGTTTGTTGTACTTGTGTGATTTGCATAATAGTCTCCCCCTGCGCCATTCTGACCGAACAATGGCAGAGCAAACTCCAACCAAGCAAAAATACTCCAAGAAATCAATGGGTTTCATTCTCGCTTTAATTTAAATAGATTAATTCTTTGGCCAACCAGTAATGCGAACGTGAGGTTTCGCTCTAAAATGCGAATTATTTTCACACACCGAGGAAAATCTGTGGTGTGGTCAGTCTCCCTTCACTTTGATGCCATTTAGTATTTTGGTACATGAGGAAATACCACTTTGCTTCACAATGAGGAGAATTTGCTCAAGAGATTTAAAGATCTGCCAGCCTTTTAGCCACTCGGAATGTTTTACTTTCGCATGGAACTCACCAAAAAACTGTTCTCTTTGTCAGATAACGGTGGCGTCCATTGTATAAATTGCCAACTATGATTTTGGGCTGATTCTCACAAATGTTGTTTTTGTCAGTGTTCCAAACTTGGATTCAAAACATTTGATGATTTCTCGTGAATGAGGTTCTCATTTGCTTACCCTCGGGTTGTTTGCACTGGGAGAAGTTTTCTCATTTCTGATTGAAATTATAGCACGCTCGCTTGTTTGTAACCTTCGCAGAGGAAGGATGCATATTAATTTGACAGGTGTCATCTTCATTAGCTTTTTAGCTTGTTAAGCATTTATGAGTACAAGACACAAATTTGCTAGTTTTCTATGCACAATGCATGCTTAACACGTTGTATACAAAGATACATATGTATTCATAAGTGACAGCTGAATATAATTTTGTTTCGAGACACGCTGATTTGTCCTTTATTCCCGTAACAGATAAACACACACAGCAAATGAATGAAATGAGTGTAAAAGTATCAAAAATAGCTCCCATCATTAAATCCAATCTAAACAAACTTTAAATACCAATTTAATTGCTTCTCGTCCTGCATAATTTGCTCAAGTTTGCACATTAATTTGTGAAACTGAACATGAACAATGATAACAATGATTTTAGAGCGACACCATTTCATTTTTATTATTATTTATTTTTTCTCTAGAAAGTGTAACCTCGTATCAAAAGATATCATGCACCATTCTTTGCAGTTGGTGGCATCCTCCATCATCCAATTCATCAGATTTTACAGACAAGAACATGAGCACGTATCAAACAAAGGGCAACAATGGGATGAACCCGCAGACAAATATGTATGTATCTGCCTCACAGTATTCTTACAACAAAATGAGCAGAAATTCCCACGTGTGTGGGAAATAGTTCCCATCATTCCATTTCAACGGACGGCGAGGAGACTTTTAGGTGGACGATGCGTGAATATTACGATGCCTTCAAATCCTCGAGTGGAATGTCGATGTCGACAAGCAACATTGAGACCACTGCAACGTGCCTCCTCCTCCACGCCACCCCACCCAGCAAGCATCTCAAAAAGTTGGCTGGTTAGTAGTATATGCATCTTGCTGCCAACAAAACAATGGTTGGGTTATCATTATATTTACCTCCACGCTATGTGGACACATTTGCATAACACTTAAATAAATAAAATGTCCCAAACTCTCGACACTGCTTATGCTAATCAGTACGAGGACACGAATATATAATTGGAGCATATTATGTCACTAATATTATTCAGGGGCTAGCACCGCACCCTCGCTCGTCATTCAAGTGGCCAATGATATCGGATGATGCACTTGTAGTCGTACATATTTAGCAGAAATAATAAGTGTATTTCTTCTTCGTCTTGAGAAGAGGACGCCCGACGGACGGAGGAAACGCTACATCAAAAAAATGGTTTCCTCTTCAACCAGTTTCACTCTCCTCTCGATTCTCATTGTTCGACTCATTCAGGACGACAATGCACCGCAACTACACACAAAATAATGTGTAGTAGTAGTCGAATAGACACGGCATTATTGGTTACGTTAACGTTGTTGGTTGTGATGAACAACTGCTGCTGCTTCCACAACAATATCCACATGGCATTCATCCGTCCAACTTGATCCAACCCTTTCCTCCTTCTCAGCAGTACTTCTTCAGTTTGTGTTTGTCTTTGGCCAGTGACACTGTCTCACGCTGCCTCTCCCCACTTTATTCCCCATACGTGCACCACCTTTGCATACACCATGCTCACAAATATTCCACCCAAGAAGCCACCAACTAAGAAGTTTTTGAACTGCATTTTAAAAACACAATGTATGTGAGCATAATTTGTATCAATAACATGCAATAAAATGTGATAAAAGTGAGAGTTGATTAATAGTGCATAGATTAGACTTGGTTGGCACAGTTAAACTGTTGATTAGTTGCTGTGAGTTTGTGGATTTGTGATCTTGCAAGACTGGATTTTGTTATGGATGGATTTCTCTCGTCGTTGTCGACTTGGTCGTCGTGAATGATGATCAGTAGTAGTGAATAAGGAGAACGTGTTGCTAGCGGTGGTAGGTTAACCGGCTTTCGGCCAATATTTATCACTCATTTTGCATATATGCAAAATTTTTGGCCATTCATTCAAAGATTTCTACACTTTTATTTTGCTTTATTGGCAAATAAATAAGTGTTTACTTTGCGTAAATGACCTTTCAACATGAGATAGAATCGCAAACCATAAACTAAAATACAGGTGGAATTTAGAATACGTCTTTCAAACGCAGAAAATTGAGTTGTGTATTTCGTGTGAGTTTTGAAATGACAAAATGACAACATACATAATAATATGCATTTTATGCTATTTTGATGCTCTTGCTTTGACACATACGCAGCCACACACAAAACTCTGCTGTGTGCTTAAAATTGAGTTGATAATAATGTGAGTTGACGTTGACAAGATGAAAATGGGAAAATTGCCGACGGAAGTTGCTGGAGGACATGGGCACGATTTAATCCCGTCTAGACTGCTTCATGTTACTTACTACTCGTACTGAAAATGAGGCTAATTTAACAAAAATGCCCAAAAAATGAGTCTAGTTTTTACCTGGTGCGTGTAATTGTGTGGGTTGTACGTACATATGATTTAAATGAGAAGTACGAGTACGACGTGCTCATATATCATTTTGGAGGTAAAAAGAATGACGACGAGACGACGACGCTCTTTCTTGCTACATTTTTCACCTGTTTGTTATATATGAATAAACATTTAAATATCCAAAGTTGTCAAAATTCACATCAAAATCGCATAAACTGAAGTTTTGTATTCGTCACAGACAGCACAGACATTCATTCGTGGGACTTCAACCTTACGGAGATTTATTACGTGTGTGTAGTAACGCCATACGTAGAGTAGAGAGCGAGACATGAGACTTCCACGTATGTATTTATAATAGGTCGACAGCTATGTAGTTAGCACACACCTTTTCAAACGCGTGATATCCGATACTCGTTCTGATCTCTTGCTAGGAATCGATGCAAATCATGCATCGCAACGGATTGCATGAAATTGCGATTGATGAGCAACCGTGTCGCTCGAATTGTTTTGTCGTGTGTCAAGAACAATAAGACTCCCACTTCTGTCTCACTCTGGTGCTAATTCAGTCCTAGCCTCGTTCCAAAGATGAGGTGGCTACTTCTTTTTGCTACTCCCGTTAAATATTTTTAGCCAATGTGCACTCACGCTGATTGAGTTTCTGAGAAATAATCAAACGATGTATTTCTTAATCTTGTTCGAGTCAGCTAGATTTTGTTGATTTTCACGGGCGACGTGAATTTTCCCAGAAAAGTCAACCGGGTCAGATCTGACTGATTAAAATTACGCAGATCATCCAACGCTACTTGCTACTTTGCAAGGTTGGCGATGACATATGCAAAGTGACAACCGGGACGAATGGAGCATAAGTTTAGCCACCACAAAATCCAATTTCTGCTGTGTGTGGCGTGGCTCTGATAGTTTGGCGTGGTTTTCTATGATTTGTGCTAATGCTAATGCCAATAAATTATGTCATTAGTGGGCTGGGAGGGACACACAAAACCCAAATAATGCATTCGAGTGGAATTCGTACTGCATTCCTCTTTCTAATCGAATTGCGTCTACACGTTTGTTTCCCCTTCTGCTCTCAGATTCGATTATTCGATATTACATCATCGGTTGAACGATTCCGTTAAAATTGCTATCACCATCCTCGCATTTTCAATTTGAGGTTGACAATGAACAACCACCTCACGGCCTCTCATTTCTCATCGTGCACAATAACTAAGTAAGCAATCAACCCACCAGCAACCGTAGACATTACGTATGCATCACTACATTCAGCACAGGTTGAAGGATGCAGTGTATAAAAATGGGGCGATTATCAGGAGGGCGAAATTATCATGTGGTTCAGTAGATGATGTGGTGGCAGTGGTCGTATAGTGAGATCCCATTTCTTCAAAACTGAATATTCTGGCAAAGTTTTAAGAGAAAAATTTCACATATGCTAATTAAAATGCTAATTGAATCTGAAAAGTGGCATGGCAGTGGTGGTTGTAAGGTTTTATGTCCTGAAAACCCTCGCAACTTTTGTAACAATGGGCGTACTCACGACGGTAGGATTGTCACCACGCAGTCACACGTTCGATTCCTCTGGCCGGGAAGCTATTGCTAATCCTACTCGGCTCGGTGTTAGTACGGGGTAGGTGCTGTCTCGTGACAGGGTGAGCCCAGCCATACGGAATGGCAATGTCACTGTGTACAGCCCCTAGCAGAGTCCGTTCTCTGTGGGGATGAGACAACTTGCTACGAAATTATGGCAAGAAGTCGCCATCTGAGGCTGAAAAGCAGAGAAATCTGAGTCCTGGCGATGTAAAACTGTCACATTTTAACATTTTTCTTAGGTGAAGGAAAAGTAACCATAAGGTGATCATGTTAAAAGATCACCATGGTTACGGCGAAGCCTAGGTATGCAATCAGCTGCAACTTTGAAAAGGTCGCACTGAGATTTCGCCCAAACCGTTCGTTGCATGGAAAACATGCTGAAACAAAAAAACCAGAGAATTCTGTTTTACAGATACGTTTTTTTTATTTTTTCAAAAATTCTAATTCCTTCAGGTAGAAAGTCCGATGCCTAAAATTTCAAATCCATTTCTTGGCATCAAGGAAGTGTTTCCGACCGGGGGCTTGCCATTTTTATTATTCTCCAGGATAATACGCAAATTGTAAGCCTTTGTTCGACTTAATCGGATCAAAACTGACGGAATTAGAGCTTTTTGAAATATTTGCATTAGGCAACCTATTTACGTGTTAAGTTACTGGTTGCTAACGTGCGGTGATAGTTTATTCAGCATCGCTATTCAATACTCAACATATCCAATGTTGCTAGACAATCGAATTACGTTATTATTAGATCGCTAAGTGTCAAGGCATCCTTGACAGAACAGAACAATCCTTAAAATTTTGAAACTGGGGGATTAAATTGGCATGCCACGCATCCACACCCACTGCGTAATTAAATTGGTATGCCAAGCGTCCACAAACAGGAGAATTAACAACGTTTAAGATTTTATAATTGCATATGATTTTATGCATATAAGTTCACAAATCACTAAAAATAATTAAATAAATAAATTTTAAAAAACAAACTTAGGTGAAGGACGCGCTTAAAATATTAAAACAAGAAGCATTACAAAATGTCATAAATCGCTTAATATTTATTAACTTTTACTTCACCGGGGGCCCAACTGTTAAATTTTCAAAGCAATGATAATCAATAATAAATGTAGCTAAACCAACGACTTGATTAAATATGAAGGGCAGCATTACAGAAGTTATTAAAAATACGCCAGAGCATGAGCAAATTTCCTCTATAAGAGGTGTCGCGATTTATTGAAAGATAATCATTCAAATCTTGCAAGTTTAATATACAAATACATATTACACATTTCGTATAATTGTTCCAAATCCTTGAAAGTATACCTTTTTTCCTGTGTTAGTTGGGCCCCCGGTGAAGTAAAAGTTAGTAAATATTAAACGATTTATGACATTTTGTAATGCTTCTTGTTTTAATATTTTAAGCGCGTCCTTCACCTAAGTTTGTTTTTTAAAATTTATTTTAACATTTTAACAACTTCTTATTTCGCATCGCAACTCATTTAGCAAACTTGCGAAGATCAAAATATTTCTGTCGTGAGGGGATTAGCAAAATATGACTTCACAAAACTCTCTTATCTCGCAAATCTACTGAAAAACACCTATTTTGGTATTGTTTCCATGGATTTCTGTAATTTCTCTTGCAGAATTACTTTGCGAAATAATTTTGCGAAATAAGGACATGCTCGATTGCTGGGTAAATTTGCGAACAAAAATCCCATGGTTTTCCAGCAAAGTTTTTGCGAAATCTCGCATATCTCGCAAAACTTCGCAAGTTATGTTGCTATGCTCAATTTGCGAGATATGCGAGATATGCGAAGGTTGACGTGAGTACGCTCAATAAGAATCTGTCCAATTTCACAAGCCATTCTCGTGCGGGTGGGTGGTAGGACGGCGCAAAAGTAAAATAAACTATGCACAACAAACAAAAGAGGAAAAAATGGGGATCGACTCCTGTCCGACTTTTATTCAGTCGCGTGTTTTGCGAGAGGTTTTTGGGATCATCAATCACGCCGTCGTTAGTGGGACGTGTCGCATTTCGAGTCATTTGTCAACCTCCTCCTCAGTCCATCTTCTTATCAAGTGGTCAAAATATGACTGATCTTGTAATAAATACGACGACGACGACGACGACGGAGGATGAATGCGACACCCACTGCACGACTTGTCCCGCGTGCCGTGAGTTGCGGATTATGTGATCATGCATTCACCGTTTGCAGTGATTATTATGCTGCCTAAAAGATCATCCATGCTCATAAATCTTTGGAAGGAATAATAATGATAAACTGTGCAGAAAATCAGAGTACAATCAAAATAATTGTTTTGGCAGTTTATTACCACGACCAGTTGAAGGCTTAGTGAAGTGGTAATCCAGATAGCGGACGAATGGGATGAAATGATGCCGTTTTCGCCAAGATTTTCCTCATTCCACTCAAATTAATGTTTTCAAGGAATCTTTGTTAATTGCGTTGTTTGCATATTCGAGTGGCATAGTTTAATTTTAATTAGTTGTAGAAAATACAATTATCCAATCCACTCTCTGTATGCCGTCGTTCTGATGTGGCTACCGGTTTTGCAAACCATTTCGTATGGATCTCTACAACAAAGAATCCAATCCAATGCAAAAGCACATTCGTACAATTACAATAGAGCAGCCTGAGTAATAAACATCGTTAAGTTGCTGCTGTGAGATGTCCATCACTTGCACATCTCATCATCATCTCTCTCTCGCTGTGTTTGACGGATGGAAATTGGTGGACGACGAGATGAGATATAAAGAAATCTGTTCAAGGGACACCAATCGACTCCCATTAAGTTAGATTAGCTTCAAGTTTCTCCACTTTAAACAGGTTAAGTGTCCGTCGTCGTTGTTACCCTTCAATCTCTCTCCTGAAGTAATGGAGTCGAGTGTATCAAATAAATGTCATATGCACATATACACACCTAATATGTAGTCAGTGGTAATCGCAGTAGTGGAGTGACCACCCACCAAAGCGATCTCGTAGCAGTACTATTATTATTATTAAGAAAAACAAGGACAAACCATTTTTCCAATCAATGTCACCTTTGCATCGTAATTGATCTGCATGCATGCACACACATCAGGTTTTCGTGGCAGTAAAGTGGTCATGAAAATTATTTAGTGGAAAATATAACAACTCACTCACTCATTCGCTGCTGTTGTGTCTAGTTTTCTGAGAAATTAATGTTTCATTTACAATTTCAGACTTGACGAGCAACTAACTTCGAATTATTCCCAAAATATGAGAATCTGGGAAATCCGGGGGAACGACGGGTATGCTGATTGAAAAAATGGTGGAGAGCTCCGTAATCCCGACAGGGCCCAGATCCGTCGCCAACAATAAGCCCATAATAGATCTCAACGGCTTAAATAACAACAATAATAACAACAACAACAATGAGAGCGACAATGAGAAACCAGAACCACATGAGATGAATGGACATGTGATCAAGACTTTTGATTCTCTGGAGGACGAAGATGAAGAAGACGAGGATTTTGCCACGGCTTCATCATCCGAGGAGGATGACGAGACACCGGAAACAGGTGTGTTACGTGTCCCTTTAAGAAAATGTCTCATCTCATTTCTCAGATGCTGCATGAAATCCATACAGTTCCATAATGACTTTGATAACTTACTTACTCGTAAAAAAGGGAATTGTTTATTGCTGCCTGACTTATTTGATGTGATGAATTCTTCATAAGAGATTGCTCAACCATGTCTCGCTACTGTCAAGTTAGTGAAAAAAAAGACGACTCCAATTTCGCAATATTTGAAAGAAATGGGTTATTTATGAAATTAAAAAGCTTTTATAACTTTTTCTCATATATTTCTCATTCCTCCTCCTCCTCCTCCTACGATACGATGCGATGTGATATGTTTGCAGAGCGTCGTAGAAAATATTTCCCAGAATTGTGGAGCAGAAGAGAGGACTTTTTGCTGCTTCTTTTATTAACCTTCCTGTAGTTCCCACTATTATCACTTCAACTCCCTCACTTTATCACGTAAAACAACTCACTTGGTTGTTCACTCGGAGGATTTAGCTTGAAATAATGTAAACGGTTAATGTTAGGCCGATGGGTTTGCCGTTCGATTGTTTGTAGTTCGAAAAGAAATTTCCCACAGATTGTTTAACCTGTACGTAAAATAATGTGAGAGCCTCATGTTAAAAGTTGGGTCGAGAGGTGCAGCAAGACATCACGTGCGTTTCGTTTACGAGAGAAATTATCAAACTATATTTTACTCACAAAATGAATACGCAACTCGTTTTCGATATTTTTTTACCACGATCAAAGAAACATTAGTAAAAATCCGACTCTTTTGAAGTCATTGTGGTTGCATCATCGTTCTCAAAAGTCGGGATGATACTGTTGTGTGCGAGGTCATTAGACGTGTAACTCTGTAAGTATCGAATTACTACTACAGGAAAAAATTAACCACCAAACAGCCAACATAACATAACATCGACGGTAGTCGTCAATTGCCTACTTGCTCTGCTTGTCATATTATTATTTATTTGGGAAAATTTCTTGCTTCTTAATTTCACAGATCACAGGATCTCAATTTTATGGTCGGTGATAATAAGACTTTATTTGGAAGTATGTGTCTAATGGGAAGATTATTGTCACTAAAAAAGTGTGCACCATATTGTAATGGGATGCTTCACTTGTCGCAAATGATGTGCAACCTGTGTAATAAGGATATGTACGTACATATATCACACTGAGAAAAAGTAAGGATGAGAAGACATTCGCTAATTAATTGGTGTTATTGTAGCGATGTCGAATCCGGGAGGAGGAAGGAGATGGTAGTGTGCCAATTGGTACTATGTGTGGTGGTGGGGCTGGGTGTGGCTGCCGTCGTCTCGGTTCCACTGGATTTGCTTTCCATCCGTCCACTCTTCGTTTTCGAACAAAACAGAGATTTATACGCGTTACTGTTGTAGACTCGCTACCACCCAGTGAATACAACGTTACACAAAAAAGTAACCCTGTCGGTGGTGGGGTGGTGGGAAACAAATGAAGAAGGGAGACACGGCCATTAGCACTTGGTTGGTAGCTCATTTGAATAGGATTCATCGGACCATCTTTCACATTTCTCGCTCCTCGCCCACCTCTCTAATAAATAGCTCTTACGACGACATGCAGAAATCCCTGTGGTCTTTTTCATCTTATTTCATCGCCCATTGTGTGTGTGTGTGTGTGTACATATCGAAAATGGTTCTCTTGAAGCAAGACTCGCGGTGTCAGCTCGTGTGGAAACATTCAATCTTTTGGATACATAGATTCCACTGCTGGTAGAGATCAGAGATAGCCTTTCCCCTCCTCGTCCGGTGGTCAATTGGTCCGGTCGATGGATCATCATGCTCTCTCTCCTGTCAGCATTTCGCAAGGCTACACTGGAGAGATTAGAGCAAGAGCGTATCAGTTCAGAAATCGAGATTTCTAAATCTGGGGCGGACCCTTTTCATCTCCTCCGAGCTTCATCCTCCTCCTGCTGCTCCATTTTTTGTTCCGTCTCCAACGGAAGTGTGCCTGGCTTTAAAGGGACCAAAGTCAAGTAGCGGTGCATCCTCTCTTTTCTACCAACTATGCAACGAGACCATCAATCCGTGCAGTGTGGACGCAATTTGGCCCTCAAAAAGTGTGTTTATGAAACCGTTTCCTCTTCAACTTCTTAAAATAATAAGTCGGCATTTCATCTTCTCAAGAAAGGACGTAGAGTAGTCGTCTTGGTCGTGTGCCACTGTTCAAGGACGAAAAAAGAATAAAACCTTTTATACATAAAAAGCAAGCCCATATTCGCTCCAAGTTTTTCTTTGTAAACCTGTCCGAGTAAGAATAAAATAGATGTACAAATCTATTTGTCATCCAAATTATTATCGAATAAGTAAAATTCTGCTCAACACATTTTTCCTGATTTTCGATTATATTCGTTGGTTATAATTCATGTACGATTGTTTTTATCGGACGTGTGAGGGAGGATGTTTCATTGACAGTATGTGAGACATAAGAGGAAATGGATACGGGTTTGAGGAAATGATAAGAAAATCTGATCAAAATTCGCACAACACGACGCAACACAAACACCAACTGCTGCCACCATATCTCATTTTCCAAGTGGCTCTTGTACACTTTCTCCTCTCAAATTTCTCTCACTTTTCTCTCTTCCTCCACACTTTCTCATTTCCCAGCCAGCCAGACTCCCACCCACGAAAAAAGCCTCTCTTGGCTTCCACTCGTATGTTGTACTTACGTACGTGTTTAATAGGGGCTGCTGTAAGTGCTGTTTGAGCAACGGTTATTATTGCGCACATCTTACATAAAGCTGGCTTAAATTTGTGCGACTATTTACCAGAGCTATAGTGGGCCATTCGCCTTAATGAGATTCCTTCCTCCATTGGATAAGATAAACCTCCTAATCCTCCTAATAAGATAAACATGGGAAAAGAGAAACATGGAGATTCTTCTTCTCTGGGTCGTAATAAGTATGAAAGTTTGGTCGGAATTCTTTGCATAATTTGGGCAAGCACTTTGAAACAAATTAAATTTTTATGGAAATTCTTTGCAATAAAACTGCTCCGTCCACGTCCACCAAGGACGAAAGGATCGCTGCTGCTGCTCCATTTTCATCCTGCTTGTGCTGCGGCTGGAGTATAAATAAACTGGGTAATTGGATAATTGGAGCAAAGCAAACCATTAGCACATCGTTTGGCATAAATACTAGTTCCGATGTCGTGGTTGGCAAGTTTCTCCTTGGTTCTACCTCTCTCTCGAAAAACTGACAATGAGGATGGAAAAATGACAATAAAGCAGATTTAAGGATGAATAGAAACATGATAACACAAAGGAAACTGTACGCTTAATTGGGTCAAATTGTGTCCTTGTTGTATGCAAATATAAATAAACGGGGACAAAAAGTTTGATCAATATCGGGTCATTTTGCCCCATTGTATAAAATGATCGTTTTTCATGACATTGAGAATCTAAAAGTATGAGCAGAACTCGTAAATAGGACTAAAAACTAGTTTAAATTGGTTGAGACAAAAAATATGGCAGCGATTTTCGATAAATTAATGTTCGTTCCCCTCCCCGAGTAAGGAGACAAATTTTACGAATCTCTCTGATTAAGCGGTGTGTACGTAGGAGGGTTGTCTCCTGGTCGTCAGCAACAAGTTAAGTGGGAGTAAAAATGGGAGTGGGGAGAAAAGTTGGATAAAGAATATAGAGTTCCAAAACCGTGCAGGTCTTTTGTCTCAATTCGGCTCGAGTTTTCCCCCACGTTGCAAAAAAGTGGGTAATATGTCATAGCTTTACGAGAGTTTGAAATCTTTATGGCTGCAGCTCAAGTGAATCCTCTGATTTATTCCATCTCACTTCATTTTCGATAGCAATTGTTTTCTTGTCTCGATCATCCCTCGCAACTACGACGAGAGGTATACGTATTTTCCATTCTAATCCGTCCACTCATTGCTCAGGCTAAACCGTCATCGCCCAAACCACGAGATTCCCCCAACGGGGAAGAAAGCATCTGCGAGAAGTTGGTTAGTTTAGGCACATATGTACTGACTGTATAGGTTCGTACGTGTTGTGGTGGAGAGCTCACGGAGAGTTCCAACCAGCTTGTTCTTCCAGCAATCTGATTTTCCGCTAATTGAACATTACATGAGAGTCAACGAGGCGGATAAGTAGGAAGTAATTGCAGAGGACGATAATCGTCTTAATGAATGTGATGAGGCAGCAGATAATTAGATCATTGAGACCAACTCGCCCTCCTCTCTCAAAGAAAGAGACGGAAAAGGAGAAAGCTTCACTGCTCTGCACGACGAAGACGACGTTGGTTGGGCATGTTTTTGTTATGTGTGTGCTGAACACGGATTGACTTTGAACCCTGATTTTCCTTCCGACCCATTCTTCCTTTTCTTTCCCTTCTTTTTTTCTACTTCCTTCTCACAAGGCCCGAATTTCTCTGTAAGATATCTGCTCCCTCCATCGGATCATCATTTTCACCACCAACCATTTTTTAATAAACAGGGATGATGAATGGCAGGAGGAGAGGAGGAAGGATTTTGTGGGCTGTTGAATAAATGGGTCGCTCGTTTGTGCCGTGTTTGCGACTAGTTGACACTTGATGTACCCGGAGAGAGAGAGAGAAAGAAAGAAAGGACGACAAAGAGCGGAGCTTATTCGATGTGTACGTAATCCAACCCGAAATAATCCTTCGCTCTCACGTCGTCTTCGCCTTTTCGGTCCAACTGCGAGGACTGTTTCGGAGGCTGGAGAGAGAGAGAAAGTGAGAGAGAGAGAGAGGTTGCTGGGTTGCGGTGAATAGGGACCGAGAAGCTTTTTTCGTCTCTCCTTTAAAGGAATTTGGATGGATGTGTGTGCATAAAAATGTCTCCGTTATTTACCCACCGTGAAGAAATGCGAGCTTGAGAAGAGGATATCCTCGCCTTAGCTCGACATAATTCCACTCCACTTTTGGACCATGACCAACAGGAGATCGTGATGGATTGCTCATACATCAAACTGCCAGTGTCATGAGGGAATTTAAAACGGTTTTGTGGTTTCCTACTTTCCCATCCCCCGAGTGAAAGCCCATGTGTGCAATGCCATTGAACCTCCACCCAATATTGGTGGAGAATAATAAGATATCCATCAAATGGGATATTGCGGCAGCACAAAGTAAGTAGTCGGAGAGGCAATAACTGTCGAGTGGAATTACATTTCGAGAGGTACGAGGGAGTAAATGGAGGAGGAGGCCGCCGAGACGCGTGCCTATTCATCATCACATTCAATCCTCCAAAATGAACTTGCATAAATTGAAGGGAATTTGAATTTTTAGAGGAATTTGAAGGAGGCGAATGACATGAATCTGGTAATGACAGTGTTCCGTGACTGCTGTGTTTGATGTTGCAGGGACGTGCCGAAGTAGTCATCGAGAAGGAGGAGTGATACCGGACGTGCTGCTAAATGAACTGCATGAGATCTTAGTTTCCTCGTCTTCTTCTTCGGCAGGAGGAGAGGATGGAGATGAAGAAATAAGCGATGATGAGAATGGGGAAAGTTGGAGCTCTCCTGGCAGCAGTAGCAGTGGTGGCAGTGGTGGCTCTTCACCGGTGTTGGTACTGGAGGCGATCCCGGAGGAAGACTCCGACTGGGACTCCGATACTACCCTCACCGAATTCAGTGCGGGTGCTGAGCATGCCCGCTTTCCGCCACTTTCCGACATATCGACCCAACCACCACCGCTCCAGCCCAGTGTTCTTCTCCCTGGGCCCAAAGAACCATCAACAGTGCCAGCCGTCGTCCTCCACTCCGAGTGTCAAGTAAATAAGGGCCCCACTCAAGGACCACTCGTCTCCCTTGCATCGTCAGAGCCCACCACATTGCCACCCACTCACCCAGAAGGAGAAAATACCCCCACTGACAGCCCCACTCAGTTGACAGAGTCGGGACGGGACTCTGGCAACGGAACGGGGTCACCGACTCCAGATATTTACACGACTGTCACTACTCCTCCGACTCTCTCGGATCCCTTCAAGAGAACTGTGTCATTCCTTGAACCCTGTGAAACCAGTAGTTCTGCTGGTGAGGACAGTCACGAAGAAGAGAAAGCAGTGCTCCGGAAGGACGATAATAATCATTCTGGTTGTGAAAGTGCAACAGAGCAAGACGGAGCAGGGAAGAATAATCAACCCGCAGAGGAGAATCCAGCAGTACAACCCGAGTCATTATTACATAATCCTCCAGGAGAAGAGCAACAAACTCTCCACTCCGCACTCGTGTCTCCTCTTCACATACGACCACATGGGCAAAGTGACCCCGCTCCAAAATCTGACCCCGATTCGCCCCACAGAAAGAAAGTACAAAGAGAAAATGGTTCATTTCGTGTAAAAAAGTGTGTGACATTCCGAGACGACTGTAAGCAGTCTGGGACAAGGGAGAGTTTCGTCTCGAGAGGGGAAAGTGGTGGTGGAGACAAGAGTGAGGTGAGCAGAAGGGCTGGTGGGAGGTGCCCTGCAGGTGCTGCTGGGGTCGAGGAGGGGGAGCAGCATCAGCGAGTCTTAGCCGCCCCCTCCGGCCCAGCCTCGGAATATTTTGTAGTCAAACTACTCGCGGCCGAGCAACAGCGACAACTGGACCTGGTCGACCTCACCAAGTTGACGAACAACATCGGAGGAGCAGGGTCCTATGACGGAGGACGAGAACTGAGCAAATTCATCGAAGCTGAAACTGCAGGATCGTACTTTAGTGACAATAATAATTCGGAAACTTCAGGAGGTGAGTACAAAAAGAGGAATCTTATTGCTTCCTCTCGTCTCTTTTGATGTTTCATAATTCAATTTATTTGCACTGTGGTTCAGAGCACCCAAAAATATTGAGAGTGAGAGACAGATCTCTCCCTTTCGGAATGGTGAGCTAGACAAATAGCTGGTGCTACAACGAGTCAGTGGTGCACATCAATTGTGGAGAGAGAGAAAGTCTCTCACACAGCATACTCTTTGCCCATTATCAATTATACAAAGAGCCGGAAGTAGTGCAACTGCCACTCCGCCGCAGTCTTGCTATAGTTCTCGGAACTCCGTCTTGATTAATAAACCACGCTTCATTTTCCTTGGAGAGACAGCTTGATTAGTTGCGACAGAAACTCATTCAAATTTAGTCGTGTCATACATCTCTCCGACTGACTCTTGCGCCATAAATTTGATGACTTCACCTGTGCACACACATAAATAACTACACTGACACATTACATTTAGGATACGAAATATTTAGGCGGTGGTGGATGGACTGCTGGATGTCGTTTAATGGTCTGGTGGATGTGGATAAGTGAGTGAGTTGGCCTGGAAGTGTCACTCCCACTCTGTCCCACTGTCACTTGAGCTCTTCATTTATTCATCGTCCCATCCAACTCGCTCTTTCTCCTCCCCTCGCACAGATTATCCACCACCACTTTAGCCCGTCATCTTCTTTTTTGCCCTCTTCTCCCTTTTTGGGAGGAGGAGAAAGTCAATCCTTTCACTTTGGGTTCAAAGGATGCTGAGAAAATCCTCCAACTACGTAGAGATCATTCTCCGACCCTTGACGCATTCTCTGGCGGAATGGACTGAAAATGGATGTCGCAAACAATTTGACACAGTCGCTCGTCTGCTGCTCACTGGTGCAATAATGACGCTCAAAGGCTGTTTGATAGTGCGATATATTATCTGCAGATAGGCTGTCAGAATTCCATTATTTTATTTTACTGCTGGTCCATAGTCGCAGTAAACTGACACCATTTGCCACTCGTCCCCGTATTCAAATGGGTGGCCGTTGTTGTTGATGGTGTTGTTGTTGTGATCGAAATTTGGGATCCCTCTCCTCGTTGCCTTTCATCTTCCCACGGGGAGCGAGCGAGTGAGGAATTAATGGAAAACTGAGGTGGCGGACGAGGCTGTCTGCAAAGAAAACATTGATTGACCCTGAGGGGGCTTCGTGTCTGTGTGTGCGCTCTCTCCTCTTTTTTCTATTATCCACTCGTAAATGGAATTAAATGGAACTTGGATGGAGTGGGCTGAAGAGTGGGCAGGAGAGGAGGCAGGAGAAAGACCTGGCAAAATTCCCAGAGTGAAAGTTTCACAAATTGTACGAGAGGCTGCTGCTGAAGTGACGTCTCGAAGAGAAAAACTCTTTTGCCACTCCTATTAATACGAGTCAACATTTGTACTTACTTTCTCTCTCCCGTTGCAAAAGTTCCAGTTTCAACTGTCAAAATATTTAGGTGTTGGTAGCAAGTGCACATACAAAGAAGACCAGGGTTTGTGCGGAGGTGGATGCGATGCGAGTGGGTGGGTGGTGATATTGGTAAAGGCTGGCTCTGTGGACGAGGAGGGAGACAGGCGAAGAATAGGAAACGGATTTCCGATAAGTAGTCCTTATTCAGCTGCCTGCTGGCCATTCCAAGTCGAGCTCATCAATATTTTACCGTTATCTTGCAAACCAACAGCATTGGAGATCGGGAGTCATGCAGCCCTCGGTGTGCTGTAAAGTCACACAACAACACTACATGGTCCACTTCATAGGGACGAGTACATACGAACGAACATGGTATATAAATACTCACATTGACAAACTGGGTTCGAAATTCGATTACATTTCCATCAAACGGCCTACTTTTCTGCTTCTCAAGTATTCAACTATCGGGTCAACTGGTATTATGCTCACCTCCTACTCACTTATTCCGCCGTGCATGGCGTGTTGTCGGCATCATGAAACATTTCAATGAGGAGGAGCTTTATTGTGCTTTCATACGTGTTGTTTTTTGGACACTTTTCTCTACAGAGTGTCGGATTTCTTTCTGTGCAGTTAGACACACACAGTCAAACACGCGAGTAATTTGAAATAGTTATTTCGTCACGATGCCCACCTCTCTTCATCACCAAGGGTTCCTTTGTGGAGTGGATGGCAACATCAACACCCACTCGGTGAAATAATTCGTAATCTGTTCTGGGGGACTTGTCTCCACGAACGGAAGGAGAGAACAGCCTGCTCGAACAATGGCACAATTTACTCGTCATAACAAATTCCTTTAGAACTTTCTCCAAGGACTTTCTCCTTTCTCTTTCTCTCTCTGGTTTGGAGACGACGTGCTTGGACTTGCGAATAATGAATGTTTAGTTGTTTGTGGGTCGGTGTGGGTCACCTTCTGCATCGTAATGATGCATACAGGCTTTCACCGCAATCCGACATTCCAATCCCCAAAGTTGCTGCACTCCTTGGCTCATCTTCATTTTGGTCTCATAATATCCTCTTTTGTGCCAATATGTCAAATTTGTCGGGAATAATACGGAATGAAAATTCATTCGTCCAATCCCCTCATGATAAGTGACGGATTTTCGGTAAAAGGGGCACTCTGACGCGAGTGAATGACTTGATTCCCCTTTTGACAAATTTTTCACTCTTCATTTATTCCAGGATCAAAAGTCAAGACATTCTCAAATAAAGAATAACCACTAAAAAAATCCACCGCATCAGGATTTTCTGAACCGAAAAAAAGTATAAAAAGCCTTAAATTCTAAGCATATAATTTCTCTGGGTGCTGGTTATGCTGCTCAGTTTGACTGGGTTATTGAGACTTGGGAGGACTTTAGGTTAGGTATTCTGACAAGTGGTATTAAATTTTGAGCGTCTGTAATGTGGTCTTTTCTTCCATATTTCACATATCCATTGAGGAGAACATAAGGGCGAAATCCCATTGGTTGCACTTCACTCGTGTGTGAAAACTTTCTCTCCACTTTTCAATACATAACGCGATAAAAGACAAGGCCAGCTTTTGTGTCGCTGCCTCCGTATTATTTTATTTTTCTTCCTCCTGAAACGCTTTCATAGCCTTCAAAGAATAAGCTGAGCCGCGATGACGACAAACTCGGCTCTGCTGCTGCTGCTGCTGATTCAGTTACATTAATTTGGCAACATATTTCACTCCTGAGAGGAAACCTCGTAACAAAGTTTGTCTCGTATCATTACATATTTGTCCGTATACTTCCCTAGTTGGACGAATTCTTACTCTGTCGCTCATTTCATGACAATCGTCTCCTCCTCAAAGTATGTGTCCTTCAAAACTCATTATTCTTCTCCTTGAAAAATAGAAACTGACAAGGTCGACGAGGGCACGTGGAGAGTTGGATGGATACACTGCAAGTTGTGTAATCAATTGAAGGCTGTGTATTTATTGAGAGGAAGGAATGAAGGAATATCCATGTACTCGAATTTCTGAGAGATCAGCCATAAACCAATATTTGCCCATTTCCACTCTTGTTACACTCTCCATCATGTCATATTTATCCTGCACTCGGCACTTGTTTTGGAGAAAATAACGAGAAACTCGGCTCCGTCGGTGCAGAATATTATATAAACTCCAACCATCCAACTAACCAACCCACGGAGAGAAAGTTTGATACATTTCATCCATCCACCATGGAGCACTGGGTCGTATTATTGTGAGCCGCATGTATCGCTGGAATGGGGACACTCTGCTCTTGTGAGTAGGAGGATAAAATACCGTGAAACTTTCTCTCCAAGAATAAAATTGAGTTCGGCTCGGTCGGTATTATTGTGTTCTCCAAACTGTCATAAAATTCTGGTCTGGCTGAGCACACACGGGAGGAGAAGCATAATAAATAATGCTTCTCCTCCTCCTCCGTCCTGGAAGGGGAACAATTTGCTTTTAAAGACTTCCTTTATTTCATTTTCGTCCTTGGAACTTAATTTTCTCTCAGAATTCCTCATCAAAACTAAAATTGATATTTGATTTGGCATTTCTCTCCTTGTTCCGACCATCCTCCTTTGAGCTCACTTTCTCCAGCAGCCAATATGCACGGCTTCTCTCTCTCTCTCGACGGGTTTTATAGGAAAGCCCTCAAATCCCAAATTCTATTACTGCCAAGAACTTAATCAACAAAGTTTGGAGTGTTTATTTGATTTACTTCTCCTCCTCCGCTTCTGTGCTGGTAAATACGACAACAACGACTCTCCATCCATAATGGCCATTCTAGGCATATAATAATTTCCGTTTCGAATTTGGCGACCAATTTTATTGGTTTGCACTTTTTTAGAGCATAAATTTAACTTGTAACCATCATCACGACCCACCCACGTACATTTCCATCTAAATTTATAGCCCTTGCATAACATAATTCTATTACGAATAACCGTTACGAAACTTAAGGTAATTTTGTAGAATTGAGTCGTCCCTCTGCTCCTTTCCACCTAATTTATGAGCCCATGAGATCAAAAAGGGGATGAGAAATCGGCAATAATTACGCTCTTAATTATCCCAACAACCGTTATTTGGCCTTGTCCGCACCCACAATGAAGTATTGTGCGAGAGAGGATACACGTAGTGTTTATGGAGTCTTGGTCCTGTTCCGACCTCTCTTTTTATTGCACCCATTCCAGCCTTTGAAACGACAGTCAAAATAATTGAGGGGTATGTACCTATGCATCTTTTTGCTCGTCGTGACATTCCACACTCACTCTCGAGCAATTTGTTCAGTTTTGGTTTTGTTCCAAGCAGTGGAGGACACGGATTTGAGCTATGCACTGAACGGGACAGGTGAATAGTGAGTCTCGAGATTATTATTATTATTATCATGAGTTCGGCACACGCTTCCTGAGGGGACGACGGTTCCTCCAATTGAGAAAACGAAATGGGAAGTGTCAGTCACTCCTGTCACCGGTGAAAGTGAGGTCTTGATTGTCTCGATTTCTGCGAAACGACGAGTTTCCGCCATGGTCTGCATTATATGCACTTGAGACGTATGTATCTTCCTATCTGTCGATCAATCTATCGATGGTGTACGTGGAAGCACGTAATGAAGAGTGAAGAGTCATCCTAGCATCGTCTTTAGTGCCAGCGTGGAGGTGTGGATGAGTGGGGCTGACGGAGTGAGTAAAATTACGAATATCGTCTCAAAAGTGGCTCAAGGTTGAGCAGGCCTACGATTTTCCTGGATGAGATGGTTATTACACAATTATGCGAAATCCTGGAGGGAAGCTTTGGGCTCTCGCTCCCGAACGGATTATAAACCTGTATCAGCTTAACCATGTTTCGCCTTAATTCCATTTATGATTCCCTCATCGCCAAGTGAACGTGCTCCACTTTCGAGCAGGACTCGGAATACATAAGTGCTTCGAGTAATCCCATCATCCCACTCAGTCCGCCAAGACTCCGCTCAACCATAACTGCAAAATAGCATCATCATCATACGTAGCACCGCTTAATGACTTTCTCCCCAATATGGATTATATTTTGCAAAGGTGGACGAATTATTATGCCAAATTGTTTCAGTTTTTGCAAGACGGAATAAAAGTTGGCAAAACTTTTCCATCCGAATTTAAGAATTATTACGAATGCTGGGGGAATGAGATTAAGAGGTTGAAACTTTACTGTAAATTGCAGAGATGCATCAAAGACTGTCTTCCTCTTGCTCGGAGCATCAACATCTTCCACCCGGCGTTCCGAGGGAGAAGCCACGCTCCGTTTTGCGAAAAGTGGGCGCCGCGGTGAAGAAATCGGGTCGCAATGTGTCGTTTAATGAGTCTCTCAACCTTTTTTACGAGGTAAGAACAATTCATTCTCCATTTTTACGGCCCATTTCCTCACTCTGCGAGAGATCCCATCATCTGATGTCAACTACTATGTATGTCGTCAACGTAGGCGGAGTGTCAGTGCTGGATTCACGAGGAAGACTATGCTCGCCTCCGTCATGAGGAGCAAATGCAACAGCAACTCATTTACGAGCAGGCCACCCAACTCCACCAATTGCACCACCACCATCACCACCACCACACCCCTTACCTCACCTACGAACCTCCACCCCTCGAGTTCGAGGACACCCCCACGCTGTCCCCTCCCGAGGGCTACAAGGACCGCTTCTTCCCCCAAATGATGGAACACCACCAGCTCCAACAACAACTCCAGCAACAACAGCAACAGCAACAACAATCCTCGCAGGATCCTGGTTAGTTCATCTCAACAATAGTTGCATTGTTTTTTTGTCGCGGAAATAATTAATGATGAAAATATGTCTCGTTAATTCATCGCAGATGTGACGCGAGTGAGTCCACCATCGCCGCCGGCCGCCCGACGGAAAGTCTTCCTTAAGGAGAGCAACTCTCCAGAGCAACAGCCGCCCGTGATGAACCACACCCACCACCGCCCCATCCTGAACGGGCTCGAGGAGGAGGAGGACGAGGAGAGCAGGGCCGCCAAGAAGGGCTCACGGTTAGTTACCCATCATCATCATCATCATCTTCCTCGCCAACTTTCACTCTCTCTGCAAGAGCATGATTCGCATGACGTCAAAGAGCAGGAGCCCCAGCAGAAGAAGAAGTAGTCGTAGGAGCACCACTCTCATACTGTCAGATCCATGCACTCTCTCGCTCTTCAGAGTTTAAAATAATCCGGAGCAGTATGTCGCTGTACGGAGTAAGCAAGGGAGAGAATAAGTGCTTCGAGCTTTTGTAACCTCCTCCTCTCCATCCACCTACGCAATAAGCTGCAAAAGGCAGCCAGGGTAAAGTTACCTACAAACAGAACTACGGGGAAACTCACGTTCGTCTCACTTTTCCCGAGCAGGCAACACATTATTTTCATCCAGTCCGACCAGCAGTATTGTGCAACATTTACGTCAGACCTGCACCGAGAGAGAGAGTGAAAAAGTGAGAGAGAGAGAAAGTGAGGAGGAGAAGGGATCCATAATGAAAGTGTAAAAAGTACAAGATGCGCTCAGTGGGATGAAAAGATGCCACCGGTGCAGTTGTTGTTGGTGCTATTAAAAGAGTATTTTTTACTCCTCTCACTGGTCCTTGAGCCGCTTTTATGGTAAATAATAGCGAGGTGGAGCGACTATGTAGATAACTTTCACCCAGGCAGCAGCTTTCACCCACACACTTTCTCACTGATGTTTGAGCTCCTCGTTGGTCGGTGGTTGTTGAAATTCTAAGAATTTTGTTCCACATCCATTCACAAATTACTTTTGGGAAGGACGACTCATGCAACGATGTGTGATGTGGTATTCATTTCGGTCCACCCGTCGACTGTGCCTGGTGCTGATCGACTCCTGCTGCAGCAGTGGATGACGCAAGGAAAGACCTCCTGGCTCATTCTGTATGCAGGCAAACTACACGCCAACTAATGTGTGTCTGTCTCTCTCTGCTCTGTGGTTATGGTTTCGAGAGAACGGAAATGAACCTGGCCCGAGCTGGATGTATGATTAGCTATGAATTATGAGAATTATCTTCAGCCAGACTTATTCTCCTCCTCCTCCGTGCTGCATCGTCAATACGATGCTGCGACCGAAGGAGGAGGGCCCATCATTTATTCCCCTCTGGGTGGCTGAGAGTGAGAGTGGTGCTCACTCTCATCTCCAAATAAAACCATTGTGGTCCACGACAATGGCAGGGCCTCGGTTTCGCGTGTGTGATGTTTCAACCGGAAATATCTGGATTGGTATCTTTTCCTATCCTTTCTCTCTCTCCCTCTGCGTTCTCCTCTTTTTGACGCTTTCTTCTCATCTCATATCACTCCCATCATTCTCGTCGTCATCGTCGTCGTCGGCTGCTGCTGCAATCATCATAAATGTGAACTGGACAAGATCATTTTCACGGTCTTATTCCCCTCCCGTCACTTTACGGCGAGGAGGACTCGTAGAAATTCTTCTTCTGTAGAAGCTCCGCTTGGTTGGTGTTTGGTATTGATTGCCTCTGACCCACTTTGCTCACTTTCTCCAAACTCGCTCCTACGTCGTCGTATTTATACCTTGGGACGACTTTGTTTGATGAAATGGAATGCTGTAGGCGGGGAACAGCTCTCTCCGATTCTGCTGCTGCTGCTGGGGATGAAGGGCGCTAAATTCTGGATGAATTAGCACAAGCAAATAATATTCTCTGGCTCCATGGTTGACAGTGCATGCATAATAATCAACTGTATGCGCCTTACGTAGTCGTCTGTCTGGAGGGAAAGTCTTCTTCTTGCGGATGAAAGCCAGTGGTCTAACGAAGAGACGGACGAAGATGAAGCAAAGTTTTCTCTCACGCTGGTCATGCGTGGCGTGGAGGAATAAGGAGCCGTCTCTAATGATAACACAGAGAAACCCATTTCCACACGGATGCTCACACTTTTATCTTATCTGCTCAAGCGAAATGACTTTTGCTTTGAGAAAACTTGACGATGAAGAAGATGGTTGGCGTTGTTGGATGGAGTTTCCAAAGCAGAATCGAACCAATCTGAGAGAGAAAGTCGGACGGACGGGATGAATGCTTGGCTTTTCAGATTTATTTGCGATAATTAATGGACCGAATGGTTGTTGCCGCAGGTTTGGAGGAATTCTGAAAGGTGGTCGATTGTGGAGGTCAAACAGCTCGGAGTGCAAAAAAGTCTCGTCCCCATTGGATGAGCCGGATCTGGTCAAATGCACGGAACAGGGTGATAAAAGGGCTAGGGCGGCAGATGCAGAAAATTTATATGCGCTCACAAATGTTTCACAGTGCGTGCGAGATTAGTCACAAGTTTTCCCATATTGCATACATGCGTGGCTCGATAAAATCAATCCGTCTACAATCTCCGTGTGTTTGTTGATTCGCAGGCAGAACCAGTCTCAGCAGGTGGAGATGGACGAGGTCATGGTGACCCACCGACCTACCCAAGTCAGTATTGGCACGGCTCCGCTGCGAACGTCGGAGCAGGTACATATGTTCACTGTCAAAGGAAAAAGTGGCATGTTTTATGCCCTACTCAATTCTTTCGCCTGAATTGGAAATATTAAATTGATTTCCATAATTCCAAACTCTTCCAACATTGTTCTAAATAAAACCCCCAAATTTTTATATGAAACAATAAATCTCTCCTCAACAAATTGAATACATTTTTAATCAAGAGATGCATGTGCTCGTAGAGTTGTTTTATATACGAGTCGTTTACTGCACAGATTCGCCTCGCCGTGGACTCTACGTTGAGAATGTCTCGCTCCAAGAAGAACAAGCAGGAGTGCTCCTCTCTCGTCGAGAAACTCAGATGGCTCACCTCACTGGATGATGAGGACTCATCGGACAGCCAGTCGGGTAAATGCAGATAAGACCACGAAACTTGTCTTCCCTCCATCCCACTCACTTTCACCCGTCCCGCATACACACATGCACTGCTAATCATCCAATCGACTTGGTAGTAATTCTAGATTCCACAGGTTTTGCGACCTGGCCGTCCCGTGACAAGAATGGTGCCCCCAACTCTGCCCCTTCCTCGACAACATCTTCCTCCAGAAAGTCGGATGCCGGCACATCCACTTCCGAGGAGTTTGTTCATCCCACTCACGCCATGCGGCTCCCCATTTCTGCAAACGAAGCCAAAATTAAGCAGATTTCCTACACGTTGGAAGACATTGATGAGGGACTCAAAGGCGGTGACAACGAGTTGGAGACCTTTATCACGGAAGACGGCATGAGACTGGAGAGAATCCGACGTCGCTACGGGGAAGACGTGGGTGGAGATGACTATGGATTTAGGTCAGAATCAAAGGCTAATCAGCTACGAAAAGTTTAATTCCAATTAACTTATTGAATGATTTGCTTGCTATTTCCCACAGCCGACGTCCCTCCGTGAAAGGAATCAAGCCCAAGTTTTCCTCCACGAATCAGATTTTTGCCCAGTTTACGAGAGCAGGTGCGGAAACGCCGATTCCTCAAATGCAGATGCAGATAGAGTCACAATACGAAAACATGCGTCCCATTTCCAACTCCCACTATGAACCTCTACCTCCAAATGGGGCCGTTGGTGGTGGTGGTGGGGAAGGAGGCAACAACGGCAGTGGTGCTAGAGTGAACTTGAACTATGACCAATTCCCCCCAAATCCAACACCCACGAGCAGCAGTAGTAGCAGCGGTGCTGGTGGTGTTGGAGGTGCTGGAAATAATGGGAACGTTGGTGGCAATGGGAATGGAAGTCTAGCCCAACAACAGCCCACCGTGCGCCCAGGTATCGCATCCAGTGAAGAAAGTCGCAGCCATTTCGAAATGATTCGGTAATAATATGAACCCCAAGTTAAAACTACGCATTTTTAAACTAGTCAATTTAGTTTATCGCTTGATATTTAAAGGCAATCTTTTGAGCAAGCAAGTTTCGTGAGCTACAATCGCCCTCATTCCTGGAGTGTGAGCACGCTTCCACACAACCACACGCACGCCAACGCTACCACTTCGACGGGACACATTCCTCTCCCGGGCATAGCGAATAATTTGAGCGGCAGTGCCCTCAACATTCAGAGTGGTGCTGGTCCTCCCCAAGGACAACCGCAACAACCGCAGAACAACTTGTCCATGGGGGTCCCTCTGGTCGGCATGAACGGGGCGACGGGGATGGGAGGCACGAGACCCAACTCGATGCCCATCATGGGTCCGCAGCAGCAACAACTTTATGGGACGCTACCACATCAGATGATGGGACCGCAACAGCAAGGCCCCGGCGGGCAACCCATTTATGGAACTGTGCGGAGGTAGGTTTTAATCTCACCTGCGTCTCATTTGCATTAAATGAATAAAATAATGTGTGGAAAAATGTACTAAAATATAAATATTTTGATTTTCAGAGTACCAAATGTGATAGGTGAGTTGTTGTGTTTAAATAATGTGCCCTTACTGTGGTAATGGGTGCTTGGATAAACAATGCGAACTTTATACGTAGGTCGACCTTTATTTCTACACTACGGAGCTTTGTCGGTGGAAGCGCACCCCAACAAACTTGTACAGCCATATCCTCCCACCAAGGTTTGAACTCTGAGCCAATTTCTTGTAAACCAGTCCATGTCATTCATGGCGCTTGTTTATGCTGCAGGTTCCCGAGACACCATCTCCCACTCAGCAGCAGCCTCCCGCTCCAATAAATAATATTAAATACTACGGTCCACCGATCAGATATTACAATCCGCCGCCCCCCGTCCCGCCCAGATCTGCTACCACGGCGATCGGTGGAGCTGGGAATGGGGACTGCATCGGACTCGAGCGAGGCAATCCTGAGGGGGCAACGGACGAGGAACCTTCAATCAAGGAACCCTACTCGATGAACGTATAATAATACTTGCCAGAGCTACGTCTCCACTAAATAGCTTAACAAACCCACACCTGATGATACCCTTAGAAATTATTATTACCATTGGTAAATAGTGTCAGATGCATAAATACATGTATCCATATGTATCAGTAAAGGAAGTATTATCAGCGACGTACGTATCTAAATATCTCCTCCGAAGCACTACATAATAAATCCAAACGTCGGATGAGGATCACCGGAAGCTTAAATATCGTACTCATTCGACAACAAAAAGAACAAAAAACAAGTATTTGATACAAATCAGTAGACTTCGTCTCATCATTGGGTACGAGGAATTACTTAAAAAACAACTAACCCTGCCTGCGTACTATATAGCTTTAGTTTTGAATAATTTAATTATCATCCTATTAATTAATTAACCATAAATTCTTAAAGGGACGGTTTGTCCACTGTATTATTGCTGTCGTGTCATTCAACAGAAAAGTATTATGCTCCTTTTTTTATTGTAGTTTATTAATTATGTAACAACTGGAGAAAAGATGCGAGCGACGTCGACGACGCTTCTCACCTTTCTCCAAATCAAAGTCATTCCAAACCAAAGATTTTATACTCGTTGTTCTTGTGTCGTCGTGAAACTGCTGATTTTAGAGATGTAGTTTTATTTGAGCTTTATATACATATATTAATTAATTAATTAATTGAATACTATTCTTGGGCCACATCATATTTGTCACTTATGTATTAAATATTAGTTACTGAAATATTTACTACTTATATTTATGACTGCAGGAAATGTTGAACTGCATTTGAAAGCTCATCATCATTCCTTCAGTAGAGTCTCCATGAAGAAACGAGAAAATACAGTGCAGGAAATTTTTGTAACAATCAGAATCAATAGCGTACCTTTGAAACCATCACCTTTTTGAACACTTTTTGGACATTTTTCCCCAAATAAAAAGTACCCTTCAAATTTTGGTATAGGAAAAAAGTTTCATAAGAATTTGTAGCTTGATCCATGTCTTAGCTGACTATTGAAATACTCGCAATTTGAAGTAAATAAAGAGGTCATAGTGAGAAAGAGGGAGAGGCAAATAGGAAATTAATAGGGGATTTGTACTCTGACTCGAAATGAGGAAAATGATCACTGGACATCAGTACCTATGTTATGTGTATTGCAGCAGCAGTTTGAAAATACTCGCAAATTGGTTTTGAAGAAAATATGGATCAATTTAATATACGTTATTATTAAAAAAAGGAATTAACAAAGAAATTAAAATGTGCCAAAGATTATGATGATGCGAAAAAATGAAATAAATCGAAAACTATAAAATCTGTTTGGCTACGAGAAACTTTATTGCATAAATATTTAAAAATGTGCATTTTTTACTGGACGGGGAAGCGAACGACGCAAAATCTTCTTCGCTTGGTGACCCGCCGTGGTCGGGGTGAAGAGGGTGACGAAACTCTGGGTGATGGCGACGAGGAATTCGTCCGGGCCTTAAATTGCCTCGCCCTCTTCCACAAAGCTTCCTCAAGGGGCCAAATCTCCCTCAAACGCTTCTCCATGTCCTCCTTCATCTCAATCAACTTGCGTCCATCGCCTTTCTTCTTCAAGTCCCCAGACGCTTCCTCCAGCACGACGCCGATTGACTCGAATGCTGGCGGGGCTGAGTGGATTTATGACAATAGTTTATGACCAATGGAAAGGAATGGAAAAATAAACTCACCTTTTTTAACTGTCACTGACGTTTGGGAGCACAGAACAAAGAAGGTCACAAATAAGACACCCGTTCTCAAATACTTCATCGTACCACGACTGCCCATCAAGATTATTTGACACTTTATCGCTCTTATGAGATACTAGTGTCACTTATGTATGTATGCAGATACTAAATGTCAAGCAATCGTGACTGCCAACAGAACGGCGAATAATAAATTCCAAACATCGGATCAGTTTTCATAAAAATGAAAATTAGTGACCACATGTTGCATGATGGGGTACAGTTAGGGCTTCTGATTGCCGGAACTAGTGTCCTGAATGTCACTGGACATGCAAAATGAACAAAGTGAAGCAAATATACTTTGCATGCAAAATTGTTTGGCATGCGATGTACTAAATTTGACGCGAAATCTCCATCTCTCTCATAGGCATTTTATTGAGATCAATGTGCATAGGAGATGACTCAACGGCATGCACATTTAGCTCAGGAGGACAACTTCTCTAATTGTCCAGCTCAGATTCTGATTCCCTTTGGATATGATGTACCTGGTGAGTGTAGGAAAAGTGAAGTAGGGTTTGATCCCATGGCTCCATTTGCACCCGCCACACCCACTCAAACCAATAAATGTTGTAATCACGAAAAAATCAAGAAGAAAGTAAAATATCGAGAAAAAGAAACAGAAAATATAAACCTTTAATACCTTTGTGTTAATAAATAGTTTAATATAAAAAAACCTATACAACCGCTACCATCATCGTCTATGTATCACATCATGTGATTCACATGCTTAAAAGGTTATCATGGTTGCGTTATGTACATGAAATTCGGGGTGTAAAAATATGAACACATTAAAATCGGTGTAAAAGAGATAACAATAATTCTATAAGTGTCTGTAACTGATTAAAATAACTTTGTCATGTCTAAGCGTGATTTAATTGTTGAAATTACTAGGAATCAGTATTGGCACTCGACTTATTCCACCGACTGATCCCGTTCCATTTTCACTTGCTCCCAAAGCTCCTTCTTTATTTTTAGCACAATTCGGTTGATCTGGAACCCGTCTCCGTCGTTGTTTTCATTGCTTGATTGTTTCGAGTTTTGAAGATTTACGTTCGGATTTTTTGCTGTCTTAATTAATTTCACGGTCCTCTTACAGTTTTTCATATCGCGAATTGCGCCCCCTTTATTTGCTGTTTGCGCGTTTAAAGGCACTGGATTATTCAAAGATATTGGATTGTCTGTGGTTGGCAAACTGAGTAAATCTGAAGTACATATAGAAAAAAATATTAGTTTTGTGTCCTCATAAGGCGTATCGTATTGTTGTGAGACGATTGACACAAGAAATGTCTAAAGATGATCTTAAATATACTTACGAGTACGAGAGTCTGGAAGTAGCAAATCATTTGTCTCCTTGCATGAGGCACATAGCTCTGTTACGTTCTTATCACGGCTGCTGCATAAAAACGAAGTGCACACTGGTTGTGTAAAATTACTGTTATGGGGTGTCTTTTTAGGGTTCGGCTGCATATCGGTAGACTCTGAAACTAAACAATTTTAACAATAATAGTTATCCATGTACATAATTAATTATTACATGCATTTTAATTGATTGCATAAGTCTACCATTTACCTCCTCTCGTTCCACAAATTTTCTGGTTAAAGCCGAGAGGTCGAGGATTTTGAGTATTTTGAATCCTTTCTTGCAACAGGATGAAACTTTCTTGATTTTGATAGTTTTTTTGTCCATTTTGAACCACAACGTGACCTCGACCTGTTTCTGGGTTTTGAATTGTGACATGATTTTGCTGTCTTCGAGATTCAGCAGACATTGAGACGACGTCCGAAGAGGTGAAAAGTGCGTTGGTTTTCTTCGGCTCTTCCGCTTTCTTCTTCATTCTGGGCTTACATTTTCTTTCGACGACATGGGACTGCAGGAAAAACATTGCATCAGTCTCCTGTTACTACTAGATTGGACTCTAGTCGGAATGGGAACATAATAAATAATTACGTCTTATAACCTGGAGTCCCATGAAATTGAGGGACGTGCAGACACCTGAACAGATTCTGCACTTCCTGCTCTTGAACGAGTACTCTTTGAACAGTTGAGGATGTTTCTCCTTAATGTGGAAATGCACATCTGCAAGGAAAAAAATATTTATGTCCTAACTAAATATTTATGGACTAGGTTCATCGTCGGAAATGATGATACAAGAATCATACCCAGTTTCCATTGCTGCTATTGATTATTATTTCTTAGATTATGTTCGTACTTAATATTTAATAATATTTGTCAGAAATAAACTCTGTTGAAGACACGTGTTGAGTTTTAAAGAAAAATAACAGTTTTAAATGTGAATTGGTTTTGCAATTCATTGTGGAACCGAATTTTAGGAAAATGAAATGGCATAATATTACACACAACAAGTTTCCAATACTTTCAAATGCTTACGTTACTACATGTTTCGTCTGAACTTTTGTAAACTTTGTAATGGGAGCTGCAGGCAGCTACATACCTACTTTCGGTTACAGATATGCATACTACTAGCTGAAATATTTATGTATATGTGTATACGACGGGTTCTTGGATGCGAACCAATGGTTGGTTTCAATGATGAACTCAGGACTACGGACAATGTCAACTGTGCTGGTGTTTTAAATGTTGACTGGTCGGTAGCTTAATCATGACTCTCCGAGAACTCTGTTTCAGGAATTATAGGTTGCTTGGTTCTAGTATAAAACAGGCAGCAACCAAAAATAATGGCATACATACATAGGCACACTTTACAGACTGATAGTTAAATAAATGTTGTTAACAGTGGCAAATCTGCATGCACAATATGCAACGAAATCACAAAAATCGTATTTGATGAATATGTAATTGTTCTAAATCTACTAAATACCGGACCCTTTGGTCCAGGTGCATTGCAACTGACTTGAAATAAAATCAGATCGGACTATGACTTATGTGGCATTAGGGCATATGAAATTTATTCTTGCTTATTCTTAGTTATCGTTTTCGTCATCATTTTCAAAACAGCTATTGTAAAATACAGTGCTATTGCAAGAAAACATAGCAGAGAGATGGCCAGAAATCCCCAAATGTGTAGCATTCTTCTCTCATACCAGCTTTTGGTGATTCCAACGGGCCGCAGATGCGAAATGTCTTTGTGTCTCATTACATATTCGACCCACCAAATTGCAGACTCTAAAGGTTGGTTTTGACGATCCCTGAAAAACTTGGACAATCTCATCGTGTTGGTTTTGTACCTAAATGTCCAACATTTTAAATTACATATTGACGCTCGACTCGTTTGCGATGATGTATTCATTGCAATGAGAGAAGGAATTCCTTACTTGGGATTACTTGTGACTTCCAAAATAGCATTCAGTAATTTTTCCTCTGTTAATTCAGCAATTTCGAGAGCAATTGCAGTTTCCCTATCATTGGCGCGTACTGCTTGATAATCCTGCTCAGCAAACAGTGGCACTATAATCATCGGTACTCCATGAAAGATTGCTTCTTGAGTGCTTAGCAGTCCTCCATGTCCGATAAACGCTCGAATTTTGGGGTGAGCTGAAATGTGGTAATTGGTTTTAATGAAACAGCCCAACTTGCGCTTAATTGGTGTCTCATGTAATGATTACCAATCAAATCTTGCTGTTGAACCCATTTTAAAGTGTGCACATTTTTCGGAACCCAATCTGGACGGTCTTGATTGTACTTGACAAGAAATTGATATTTGGGCACAGCTTTCATTGCGTTGAAAAACACATGCTGCAAATGGATGGGTAAATTATTAATTGCAGCAAATGTCCCGAAACTGAGGAGAATAAATCCGTTGTCACCAGACGCTATGAAATCCTCTAAATCCTAAAAATGCAAGCAACATGTAATAAATAATTAAAATCCATGAAATTTGAAACTGTATGAAATTGTGCCACATGCATAAGTTAGCTAGTAAATATAGACCTGAGGTAATGGTTTTCGATCATCGCTGCAATGTATTCCACCAATTTCAACAACATTGGGAGGCAAAGATCGTGGGAACTCTTCACTTGGATGCGTGTTTGTGAAAATGAGACTTGTGTTCATCTCAATTTCGTGGAGGGGTGGAAGATCAGGAATTTTCAAGGCAGACCTCAGCAAAGGTTCAAGAATGGGAAATAGCTCGGTGTGTCGTTTCCATTGCCAGTACAGCCCAGACACGAGATTTCGAATGCTCTGCACAAAGGTCATCTCGAGGGGGTAATGGAACTCCATTTCTGGAAGATTCTCATCCGGAAAGCCGTACGCATCCTTAAACCAGGGAAAGTGCGTGGTGGTTGTGTACATAATGTGGGGAGCTTGAAACTTGTGCACCAATCCGTACCCACAATCGTTGTACAAAGCGTTCAAAATGACGAGGTCATAGGAGGACTCATTTATCCACTTCAGCACTTGCTCATTTTGCATTAGGGACTTGCAGCCACGAATTCCGGCGTCGTAATACTCGTACCAAAGGTCGTCAATTGCCTGGACGCCGTTCTTCAATCGCATTGATATGAAATCTATCCGGATGATACCGACGTCCTCGGCCAGGTTCATGGGCACAATGTCCGTGATGTTGGGGTGGAAGTAAGGGACTTTGGCTTCATATGGAGAGATGAAAGTGACCTTGTGACCCTTTTCAACTAATTTGTCAATGAGCCCCCAAACAGAAATGCGGTGGCTGTACCCGCTCACCCCCCAATAAAATAAAATGTTTTCAGAATTTGTTTCCGCCATTAGCAGAACCACAAAAACGAACACTATTCTCAACTTCATTTTTGCAAAGTGACGTACGAATACGATTGAACTATTGCAATTCTTAGCAAGACCACAGGTCAAATGAGTATTTATATGAACAGTGGAAGTGAAGAACAAGGCGGTGAACAATTATTGTAGTTATGGAGAGAAGTATACCAGGTGCTGACAGGTGACATTATTTTTTTTAAAAATTGAACTTTTTAAGAGTTTGGGAAACTTGGATTTTTGAGTGGTTGCGATGTGTTGGTAGGTCACTGGAAATGGTAACAAATATGAAATCCGATGAGAAATTGTAGAAATATTGCATAAAATTGCAAACACTGCAATAATTTCGACCCACTCTCTTTCTCGCACAACTTTATCATTAAAAAAATAAATATGCCACGAAGGTGTCTTATTTTGGGTTGTCCCGACCCATACGGAAAAGGTGCAAATTGCATGGTACATGGGTTTCCGACTGACATACTTTCGCGAAAAATCTGGATAATGGCAACTGGGACGCCCTTGGCTGCAACCGACCCAAAACTTCAAAACGCTGGAGTGTGCTCGTATCATTTTGGGGGCGATGACTATAAAGTTATTCCGAATCCTGAGCAGCGAGGCCAACTATTCAGATCTGCTGTCCATAACTTACTATACAATTATTAGTGGGGGGATGGACTCACTCTCCGAAGGCCCCCTCGCCCAGCGTGGCCGTGATGTACCAGTTGGTCATGAACTCCACCATCTCGTTGGGTGTTTTAATTTAAATTAATTGGAGAGGAGGAAGAGTGGAGTTTCTCCACTGCACACTGGACAAGAGAGTGAAAAGAAAGGAGAAGAGGCGGGATTGTCCAGCGGGAGCAGGGGGGAAAGTGAGATTGGTGGTTGCCATGGTGATAGGATACGAGTAGTTTTTGGAATTTTTTGAAATGTTTTTTTGGGATTTTTTGATGGGCGGATTTTTCGTGGGAATTTCTTAGATTATTCGTGGAATTACTGTTCGTCCAGTATCATTAGTCGCAAAAAATTCTGATAGGTTACCTGGCAGATTATTTATTTTTCAATTAGCAACCAAATAACCTCTCAGAAAATTTTCCAAGAAATTGCGACTTCTCTCCATACTCTATGTACTTCTCTCCATAACTACAATAATTGTTCATCGCCTTGGTGAAGAAGATCAAATGAGGCAGTAAGTACCAAAATGAGACTGCTATCGCTATCATGCACCTCCGATTGTTTGAACCAACCCATCGTTTCCCTCGTATGCAAGTATTAATAAACAAACAGCATTAGCTTGTGACAATTGAGGTGTTAAAAACAAGATCAACGGCGTGCTTGTAGGCAACGTACTTATTTAGCCTCACGTGGGGTCGAGGAATTGAATTTACAATTGAACGAGACAAGCGTCAGAGGATTTATGCAAGTGGGGATGGATGAAAATATTGACGGAAAAGTACCGTGTATGTGCATTCTGCTAAAAATTATATAAATGCGTCTTGATTGAGCCACTTATCCACCTAAATGCAGTCAATGTTGTCGAGGGAGCCATTGCATAAATAACACGTATGATTATTTAAGCATACATTACGATGTTTTTATCTTCTACACGTGCGGGTTTTTTTGTTCTTTATAATGCATAAAATACATACAAACCGGTCCACCAGTTTGAATGTGACTACGCAAATTTTGGACTTTTGTATTGTCAAAGTGCATTTGATAACTGCTCCCATTCATGAGTGGAATTAGCAGTTTGTTAGTGAATACAGATTCTTCAAATCAAAGTGGCCACAATTAGAAAAACATTGTTATTAAGTAAACAACAAGCTTCACTTATATAAGATTAATGCAGGACAGCAGGATGCACATTGGCCATATAAAATCATGCATGACATGTCCACTGTTTGTATGGTAAGCATTGTAAACATACTTTCATTCATGGGTAAATGTTTGTCCTTGTCTCTAAAATGAAATATATAATATGCGTTTCTATTTACTTCAGGAACTGCATATCTTTCTTTCGGTAGTGATAGATAAAAATAAGATAAGATAGTTTGAAAGTAAGTTGACCCTACGCAACAAACACTGTGACTCACCCAACCAAAACCCACCCGGTCTTCTTAACATGGTAATTGAGACAAAGTCGGACTTCAACCAGTGCGGAATGATGTATGTATTTTTTTACAGTATTTATATATACATATATTTTTGTAGATATTACGTTGATTTTTGTGACCCTGACTGATGACAACGTTTGTTGTAGATAGCTTGGTCGAGTTTGTTCGCTATTCGTAGGTTAAAAATCATTTTAAACTTCGGCATGAAAGGATGGAAATGTGTCAAAACAGATACATATATTTATTATTCAAATAGTTTGAGATATCCTAAACAGGCTGAAAAGTTGGATGCACACAATGTAAGTTAGCGACATACAGTAATCCTAAAGAAACAGTATCTTTTTTAGATGTTTTATTTCACTCTATTTCCCTTTGCATATTGTAACCATATTGCTAAATATTTATGTATATTCAGTCTTATGCTGAAGATGATTGTCTTGAGTGCATGAGTAAATCCGAATTGTAATATTTAAACTAACAGGTCAGTAGGTTTCATTGGTAATCTTGAAGTAACATATTCAAGTACCAAACAAACATGGTGGCTTGTACTTACAATGGAGGTCTCCCAACGTATGCTCATAGATTTGGATCAAACTGGTGTCAATCGATCACAAATATAATTAGTATGAAATTTGCAAATGGAACTATCTGCCAATGCGCAGGTTTGGCGGAGATATTTGCATAAAAGGAGGAGAAAACGCACCCTCAAGGCTGGCGAATTTTTCATTTTCCAAATTTGCTGCGCATTTTTCCCGCTTTGGATGCAAATATCTCCGCCAAACCTGCGCATTGGCAGATAGTTCCATTTGCAAATTTCATACTAATTATATTTGTGATCGATTGACACCAGTTTGATCCAAATCTGTGAGCATACGTTGGGAGACCTCCATTGTTAGTTCCGTTAAATAGTATCCCATACATCCGATTATAATGTTCGAGGAAGAATTATGGTGCTGCTGGTATTCTATGAAAACACATTCATTGTGTGCTTGAATAGTAATATTATGCAAAGTATGAAGGGAGTTCCATATACCGACATACTTCAAATTCAAGCAGTTAAATTATTTTATTGAGCATGGTTTAATGGACGCTGCAGCTGCCTTTTGCAGTTTATTGGTGGTGGTAGCCGAAGCAAGGGATGAAAACGGTCTGATCACAATGCATAAAAGCTTCCGCAACCTTCATCGACCTCAAAAAGCCGTCATTATAGATGCCGCATTTTACTGGGTGAAACGGAGTGGGGAGACTTCTCAAAGGTTATATGTACGTAAGTCATAAGACAAAATACCGTGTTCCAAACAACGTACTTCGAAAAATGTCAAGTGTACTGAAAAGTTCGTTGGAATGAAAAACTTGATTCAGCCAATTTATACATACGACATTATACATACATATATTATGATTTATCTATATATGCAACAGCCGATTGTAAACTAATGCAAACACGAATGCACGATTTAGCTTAATTATGAACAAAGTTATGTTCCTTGTTTCTTGTCAAGTGTGAACTTCCTTTCCAGCAGAAGTACTTATGTAACTACACACAATAAATTTATTGCGTACAGAATATGGCATACATTGTAGTCAGTTGGCATATGTATATTAAGTGTAGTTTAAAAAGTATGGTTTACTGAAGTTCGATATACATATGACGATATGATGGGTATCGTTGTCACGTCCATTAATTTTTATTACTTCAGACTATTTTGCCCACTTATATATAAGAAATGTTATGAAATTGTATTAAGGCGTTCAAACGTCTATTTTATTAGGATACAAGGCATTTAAATAGTAATTGTATAACCAAGGCGGTGTACAATGTATTATTGTATTTGTGGAGAGAAAAGTACACTTCTCTTCATAACTAGAATAATTGTACACCGTCAACCGTCTTGATTGTAACCATGATTGAACAGCATTATTAGGGGAGTTGGTCGTTCTGTGGTTAAAAAATGCCATGCCATGTCTGAGAGCTTGCAAAAATCTTGAACACTCAAGATTTTTTCATTCACAAGAAACAAGTGGGCAAGATTTTGTATGGAGTTAGTTTATTTAAAGAACCAGATTTATGTATGTAATTTATTTATGTAAAATACCAGATTTACAGTCAATGGAAAAAGTATTGGCAACCCCCACGCCAGCTAAATAAAATTGGCTGTAGCCTTGGAGTGCATTATACAATTGGCGTGAAAATATGTTCGCATTTAGCAAATATAATGTAGTTTTCGATTATAATCATGTTTTATTGATTAAAATTAGATTAACACAGTTTTTAAATAATTTGTTGGAAAATTTGAAAAATTAACCCGCAAAAAGTATTGGCAACATGTGGCCAAATTAATTACGCGGAACAATATTCTTAATCACCTACCCCATTTCATTACGGTAAGTTAATTAGGTGACAAAATATGACGATAGCTACATTTTAAGTCAGCAGTTGTGTTGTCTGGAACCAAAATGGCGACACCAAACGAGTTATATTTGGCGCGGCGAGAAATATTCATTTATTTTTCGCAAAAAAAACCTGGATATCTAAAAATCAATGGAAAACATACTTTTTCATATTTACTATTGGAAATGTAGCCAAGAAATATAAAATGGCAATTTTAGTTTCTGCTTTTCCATGGTTACGGAAGAAAAAAGTCAAAGCCCAAAGGCAAATGATGAATCAAGCAACAAATTACTTGAAATCGGAAGATTTCAACATCCAAAACCAATTAGAATTTGAGAACCAACTGTGGAGTCAATATTTCATACAATATGGTGATCAATCAAAAATCCTACCAAGGGGTTTTAGGGTCCAGTAGCCCCGTAGAAGAGAAGGCCCCCGAAACGAACCAACTCAAGGTATTTAAATCAGCTAAATTCCACCCTAAATAGACTTCCAACGGATGAAGAAGGGTCTAGTGGTCTCACATAAGTAAATTTAACTTATTCGGTGCGGGTTCGATGGTTAGAGTTTGGAGGATGCAAAATGAGGCCCTCAAATATGAATGCTGCCGTCTGGGAGTCAAGCTCGGAATAGGATCGATTATGGTTTGGGGTTGAATGACTAGGTCGTTGCGTAGTTAGCTGGTAATTATCGATGAAGTTATGACCAATGAGGTCTAAATAATCATTCCAAGCGATAATTTGAAATTATTTTGCAAAAACCTGACCTAGGAAGGAATTTAATGTTCCAAAAATGCAGTGACCCCAAACATGTAGCCAAATTAGCAATGCAAGTTTTTGGGGATCTACGAGGTTAAGCTTCTCTCGTTGGTTGCACAGTCTACCGATGTGAATCTGATTGTCTGGGTTGAGAAAGGAGAGACTGATGGAAAACCACTCGTCAAAAAACGAGCTGGACAAAATTTCAAACGAAGATTAGGCAGACATGTTAAAAAGCGTTATAAAAAGATTTTTCCAATCAATTACAATGCGTATTTCTGCTCTTATTGTGTCGAGGGGAGGTGATATGTATTACTAGAAGCAGTTTGTCGCAATAAAATTTGCGTTTTATTGATTTATAATTTTTTAAGTTAAGGGTTGCCAATACTTTTTGCGGGTAAATTTTGCAAATTTTCCAACAAATTATTTAAAAACTGTGTTAATCTAATTTTAATCAATAAAACATGATTATAATCGAAAACTACATTATATTTGCTAAATGCGAACATATTTTCACGCCAATTGTATAATGCACTCCAAGGCTACAGCCAATTTTATTTAGCTGGCGTGGGGGTTGCCAATACTTTTTCCATTGACTGTAAATCTGGTATTTTACATAAATAAATTACATACATAAATCTGGTTCTTTAAATAAACTAACTCCATACAAAATCTTGCCCACTTGTTTCTTGTGAATGAAAAAATCTTGAGTGTTCAAGATTTTTGCAAGCTCTCAGACATGGCATGGCATTTTTTAACCACAGAACGACCAACTCCCCTAATAATGCTGTTCAATCATGGTTACAATCAAGACGGTTGACGGTGTACAATTATTCTAGTTATGAAGAGAAGTGTACTTTTCTCTCCACAAATACAATAATACATTGTACACCGCCTTGGTTATACAATTACTATTTAAATGCCTTGTATCCTAATAAAATAGACGTTTGAACGCCTTAATACAATTTCATAACATTTCTTATATATAAGTGGGCAAAATAGTCTGAAGTAATAAAAATTAATGGACGTGACAACGATACCCATCATATCGTCATATGTATATCGAACTTCAGTAAACCATACTTTTTAAACTACACTTAATATACATATGCCAACTGACTACAATGTATGCCATATTCTGTACTGTATATATGTACATATTTGGCGTAGGAAAATGCAAACCATGATCGTGTATGGTAGAAAATTGTTTTCCCTACGAAGTAATAAAATAAAATGGAGAGGAAAACAATTCGCTGAATGTATACAATTGTTTCACAAGTCTCAAATATCATCTAAGCACAAGACAGGAATGTAATGTGAGATCTTGTCAAAATACATATGCGAACATAATAATTTTTGAATGTAACTGGTAAATCCTAGAAAACTTTCTTTCCCTATACAACCAAATATTTATTTGTTAACAATGTCACTAAAATGCATGGTAGTTTTAAGTATACTAAATATCATTAAACTTTTTTCCTGGTTCAAAAATTAAAAAATTATATGTGTTTATGCGTACGACGTTGGAACGGGCAGCATACTTATGACGTGCCTTGTATGTGGTCCTGTATTTGCATATGTGGGCAAATGTAGAATTTAAATTGTCATCAATGGTTGTCATGGATGCGTTTGAAATAAACAGAGAGTCACCTTCACGAGATTATTGCCCGCAACCCCACATGTGGTGCGATAACTTTGTTGCTGGTGCTCACCTCACCTCCAGCTTTTCACAGGCGTGTTACAAATCAATCAAACCCATCGATTAACGATTGGTTCAAGGGAAATAATTTACCTTCTCAGCAGTTTGCTCGGAATTGAAGGTGAGAATTTCTAGTCACGGGCATAAACTAGTTACAAAAGTAAATAAATAAGTTTTATTTCCAGAAAAAAATTCACATTTAATTGGGCCAATTGGTGAAGAAGGACAAGAGTGGTGACCAATTGCACGACATACATCTACTTGTCTTAAAAAAAAGGCTTCATTATCATGGATGGAGCTGGAGATTCTGTGCAGGAACATTCAGCAACTAATCGACCGCCCCCACCTGTTCTTCTTGTCGACGGTATTTGCATATATTTACACATTTCATTACCTGGCATACATATGTGCGTCCGTGCATGTGACCATTAATTTGAGACTTTGAGAGGTTGGGTGATTGAATCTTGTGTTGTACGGAAAAAGGTCACGACATGGGAGACGATGGGAGTGGAGAGATGACACTTGCCGATCGAATGGATGAGCTTTCGACGGACGACATGCTGATGGAAGGGAACTACTCATCCCCCTCTTCCGAAAGGTTCGAGAAAATCATTGGAGCTATTGAGGACATTGTCGTGGGTGAGTAGACAACCTCGCAGTGCAAATAATTAACCTAACCATGCAAAATGCGGTGTGTGACATTTACATAGGTGAAGAATTCCAGTCTCTCCAAAACCATTTCATGTCGACATATTGGACAAAGTTTTCCGAGAGTCACAGGCAGATTAAGGAAGACAAGTCCGAAGCCGTGGGAGCTACGTCTGAAGACTTTTCTGAAGAAAAACACGAACATTTTAAAATTTTCCAAAATTATTCTCAGGAAATGGCACATTTGTTGGAGTCACAGTTAAAGAAAGCGTTTCGTGACCAAAATTTTGACTTTAGTCAATTTGTGGAAGAATTTGGGTGATTACATGCATGCATATTTTTGTGCAATATATATTAGAAAATAGTCAATTGTCTATGAATTAATTCTACTTTTGTATGTGCTGCAGCAAACGAGTTGATCAAGGTCCTGAGCATGACTCGAATCACATGCTGGAAAGTGAGATCTTTGAAATGTTGTTCACATTGACGGATTTTGTCAAGTTTAAAGAGCTTTTTATGGACTACAAAGAGGTATGTTTATGGGATTGGAAAATGTCACAGCGGAACAATGAATATGTACAAATGTTTTTTCTGTAGATGATGGAAGGCAAAACGCCCAATTTGGCTACCGGTATCACACTGAAGCCTTTCAACGCGTCCCCGAGACCCTAAGCGTCTACTTCGTGCTTCTAAAATTCGCTATGCCTAATTTTAATACTGGTGGTTATGAAATAGCAAAATCTACATGTATCTTATCACTAAGAAAGAAACAATTGTACATATTTGTATAAGTATCTGTAATTCCAACTAATTTGTTAAAATTATCTTCAACTGTTGCCTAAAAGTATTGCTAAATGTTATAAAAGTTTGCAGTATTTTAATCGTGTTTTGAACTATACAATTTATCATTTATGCTACTTTTGCGCTTTTCCTCTTTCCAAATGCTCCTCAATCTGATCGCTTGGAATGATTTTGAATAAAAATGGTTTCCATTCTGCCGGATCCGTCCCAAAGATGTGTAGAATTTTTCTGAAACTAGGCCGAACAATTGGACGGAAATATTGAATGATAGACTTCATACTCTGCGGAGCTGCAATAGTTTGTCAAGAATATGCACGCATGAAATTTGAATCTCTCCATAACTTGAAGATAGATAAGCTTTGCATGCCATTAATGAAGACGAGATTGTCCACCATTCCAGGGAAGTAGTTTTGAAAATCTCTCAAAAAATTGAGATATGGAGGTATGCCTACAATTCAAATGTTAAACTACGCATTTTTCATGCCCAAGGTAGCATAATTTATGTCTTTGTGTACACTGAAGGCATCCATGTTGAACCAGGCTGAACCCATCCATGTTGAAAATGACTTGAAATCTGGTGACCAATTTCCCTCGTGCTTGAGCATCTCTAACTTTTTGGCTGGCGAGTTCGAGAGCTCGTATCGAGTATCTGTAGTTTTCGTCGTGCTCGCCCGTGACATGAGAACGCCTTACATCCCAATCACCAACGCGAACAAGGAGCACTATTGAAATAAGTATGTAAATTATTCAAGTTTCTGAAGCCCAAAGATGCAGTCCATACAAAGAAATAATGTCTCAAATATCGAAGTATATGGCGACCTGGTCTCCCAGTGTAGTCCACTCCACTCAAATCTATCGGATATTCCTCTTCCATGTAGGAAAAATCCTCTCTCAAAATGTTGTCCATTTTATTTTGCTTTCTCCATTTCAGATTCTATTGAAAAGACTGTAAAAATGAATGAACTTTTCCTGTGGATTTCGAGATAATGTTGATATGTGTTCATATTTACTGCTTTTAACATTTTCACTGCTTGATCCACATTGCCGTCGGAGGCTACAGTGTAGAAATTGTTTGCAAGTTTTAAGTGGCCATGAACTATTCTAAGTATTATATTATTTTGATGAAATGCGTGCTTACCTCGAATCCAGTTAATTAAATAGACTTCCTTTTTCATGTAGTCATTGGGTAGGTTTTTCTCTACTCGCAATTTTAACTGACAAAATGCAATTAAATATAGTTCGCAAATTCACGGATTTCTTATTAATTTTTGCAATAGTAACCATTACCTCGTCTAATGCTTTTTTCTCTGAGCGAGTCAAGGTCAGGTCCTCTTCCACAGAAATGCATTGCATTACTTTAATCAAAGTGAGACAATGAAGGGCGATGAAAAATTTCACGGAAAATTTGGCCATATTTATTACAAATAATTTATAACAGACTAAAAAATCAACTTAATACGCCTAATCTAGTTTTAAATCTCAAAAGTTCTGAGTTCTGAATTTTCTTTGCGAATTCTATACTCGTGATTAGAGCAAGGAAATTAAAAAGAAATGTTTTTTTTACCTCGTTTCTAGAAGGAAAGGAAGCCGAATTTGTAAAAGTGGTTTACCAAATGTCGAGTTTTGCCCATGGAAAAACCCACAGCATTTTACATGCACACTAATGCACAGTCGGAAAATAAGTATTCATGTGGTCGACAAAGATGTGATGATTCACCACCCAAATTTAAGGTCATTTCAGAAACTGACTGCGTAAGGCACTTGAGATTATTTATTTATTTATAAATAACGAAAACAAAGCACTACTGGGGAAACGTATGACCGATGAATGATAAATTTAAATCACTTTCGCATCAAGCATAATAATCTGTGACGTCGATATTTCCTAGCCATGCGCCATTATTTGGGTTATATGTCATGTGTAGCTGGTAGAAACTGCTTATCCGCATCGTCATATTCTGGAAAACATGCATGTATAAATATATAGATAAGTGCAGGTGCTGCTGATAATGACGCAAGTACAAATGTCAAGAGTATGATATCCTGCGCTGGCCGCTGGGAAGGTTATCAATACTGGATTCACTCTCGACTAAACACAATCAAGTGCATAATCTCTTCGCTCCTTTTGCCAGTTATAAATTGCAAGTGATATTGAATTAAAGCAATTCGTATAAAAGTGTGGGTGTGTCGCCAAGCATAATATTCATGTATCGGGATTATTCGGGCACATCAACGACAGAAACCCCACAACAGGACTGGAGTACATTAACTTCTGGAGAAAAGTAAGAAAATAACTCTCCCATGAACTTAACAGGTACAGGTTGAAATTTTGACGACAATAATTGAAAAAATGTACATAGAGCTGCCATAATCACAGTGTTATCTGTCTTCGGAATCGTATTTATGATCCTATTCCTTAAACAAGTGGGAGAATGGATTGGATATCGTTGGGCATTAAGACATGACAAAAATGTGGTCGGGGTAGCTGGTAAGTATTTACTTTTTGCCAAAAGTATAATTGTTACATTGTAATTGTTATCATATTTTGACAGTCATGCGACGAAGGGGTTCAAACTCAGAGGAAAATCACTCCAACGGTGACAATGATCATGGTGACGGTGAAATGAATCGTATGCCGATGGATCAAGTCGTTATCTCAGAAGTCGAACTTTCCGCAATTGATCGAATTATTGCGAGGCAGTCGACAGGGCGGAACCCAGCCCAAACTCAGAGACCATCGCCATACCCTCGGCAACTCTTTTCAACAATTTCCTATCCTGTTGGCTCTGACCTTCGTAAGTTCAAATTCAAAATTGATTATTACATGCAAGCATTTGATGAGCAAATTGACCGTTTGTTTTTTAATTGATTCAGCTCCCGCGTATGACGATGCATTACATTTCGAACTAAGGGATATGAATAATGTAGAACCAATAGATCATTTGGGTGAGTAATTAATTACTAATTCCACAAATAATGCGGCTTGCATGCAACATATGAATGAATCATATATTTACATTATTAAATGTTGTATCCATTTTTCGACATGCTTAATTAGTCGGAGAGCCAGATTGTCCTCCTCCAAGCTACTGGAATTCCATCGGAGGCAACACGGGATACAGATGACGCCAAAAACACTGTCAGGAGACTTCTTGCCCGTTATGTTACAATTTGTTTAAGGTCCGTTCTTTAATAAAACCACGCGTAGTTAGTTCCATACCAATCCGCCCAATTATTATTTGGCTGGCACTTATTTGTCACGTATGACAGACGTGGGACATGTATTGCGCACTAATTGGTACACATGAATGCATACTCAATTACTCACTTTGTGCAAATAATCTACGTCGATTAATTATGATTGAGTAATTTATTGTTCGTGATCACATTGAATTTCCGCTCTGTTCGATTTTTACAAATTACGGAATGCTTTCAGTGTACATTTTCACTCTGCAAAACTGAAAATCATATTTTCAATACTGCTCATTATTATAATTTTCGACCGATCGATCTTGTGCATGTGGAGACGTTGCTTTAGTAGCTTTAATGCATGGTGTGTTTGCTCTCTTCAAGCAGCAAGTGCTTTGCAAGATTAGTAGTTATTGTGTTCTCGTTCTTGTCGCTTTTTAATAAATGAGTTTTTGACCTATACAAACGCTAATATTTGTCTTTTCTATAAAAGGGGCACGAGCTTCACGATATGTCGTTATTATGGTGTCTAGAGAAAGCGGCATCATTGCAAAATGCAAATATCCACCATATCAGTGTATCATCAGTACCTGAACGTTTTGAAAATATTGGGAATATTCCCATACAAGCTGAGTTATGGGTCGTCCGACAATCCCGATAATCGAGAGACTCGTACCACAAACAATAACACGGACAAGTTGACTCTTGACTTTGGAGAGTTTGATAAGTCCTTAACGTCCGTTGGATTTCACAAGAGAGGATTTTTTGCAGCATGGAATTACGTGGTTTTCGGTTTCTTTTACTGTTATTTTGTTTTCCAAATTGGCCGATTTACTGAAAGATTTATGGCTGGGTCGGGAGCGATTGAAATGTTCGGGATGAGTTGCTGGATTTGGAAGCCAATTTTCGTTGGTTCCTTTGCACTTCACTTTCACCAAAATAAGAATGCTCTCGCCGACTTTTATACGACTTGGCATCGCGTCGAGTTAGTTATTCACCAAGGTACACACGTCATACAGATTATCGACTGGACCATTTATTTCCAAGATTTCCAAATACCTCGCTTATTTGCATATTTTTAGAATGGAGCAGAACTTTACCGTTCAAAGTGTCAGCCGTTTGCAAACAGATTATTCGAAAAAAGCGATTTGCTTATGTATATGTTCCGCTCTGGACTGTCTTGATTATGACGTGGATGACGTTGAACGTGAGTTTCAAATTTCAGGAAATTTATTAAATATTATAAGTGTATACTTAAATGAAATTATAAATATGAATTACACAGCATTTGGACAGCCCAGGCTTCCCATCTTACATTTCCTCTTTTATTGGAAATCCGCTGGACCCTGTGAAATTTTCCTGGCTGCTGCCCATCTCTGTCCTTGTCCAAATACTGGCTCTGATTCCAATTCTCGTAACTTTTGACCACTTTTATATCGTCTGCTTGACTTTCTCCAACTCAATCTCGCGAATTGTAATTCTCCTGACGGACCCGTTCCAGTCGTCGGAAGAGGAGCTTGACCAGTTACTCCGCGACTGCAAAAGCGACGACGGTGTGATGTCCCAATCCCAACTTTCTGATTCTGAGACGGATCCTTACGACAAAAAAATATTTGAGGTTTCCAAATTTCTACATTCGATCCCACTCGACGGGAATTTGCAAATTATAGCCAAACTCCAATTGGCAATGCAGCACTACGGCATGCTCGAAAAACTGACAAAAGAGTTCAACCGGTTGCACAGATGGATGTTGTTTTTATACCAGGCGGTGATACTGGTCAATTTTTGCATATTAATTTTTGTGCCGTTACGTTTCAGTAAGATTTTCCCGTGGACAAGTCTCGTCGTATTTTTTGTCTCGTTCCTTTTCTTCGCGTTCCATCTGTGCACCTTGCTGCCATCCATGGGCAATGTTTTCGGCAAGTCTTCCGACTTTCGAACAGTTTGGGAGAGACGGTTGGCTCGCGTTTGTCACACGATTCCATTTGCACAATTTTTGCAGTTAAAATCCGAACTCGATAGTTGCCTGCCTTTCGGATTTCAAACTGGGACGTTCTACACCCTACACCCTGGCTCCATGCTCTTGTTCTACTCTTATGCGACATCCTATTTGATCGTGTTGTTGCAGTTGGACATTCGATATTAGTTTCAAATATGCAAAATAAAAATAAAATGCTGCCATTTTATATTTATCAAGTGATTTATTTATATTCGATAAGCTATGGCTTCATTTAAAGCCCTGCATTTCTTCATAGTTTACGTGTGCATATTTCATGGTAAATATGGGTTTCCGACATTTTGACCTCGAACCCCAAGATTGGTGACCTGAAAGAGCGATCCTGCTGCTGGCTGTCCAGCCAAATCGATTTCGCTCAACCCAGAAGTTGCAGAGGTCACAAATAATGTGTCCAAATTTCTACCACCAAAGGCAGCGCTGGTAATATTTGCTGTGGGGAATGGAATTGACTTCACTTTCTGCCCAGTCGTTGGATCAATGTGAATCATCTAGAGCGACGACAAGAAATTAACTCAAATTAGCACTCAACGAACCAGTGAAATGATAAATATGACGTTATGTGTACCTGAAATCCACCCCAACACCCCACGTACAGATGTCCGTTTGCATCAATTGTCATCCCATCAGGCGAGCCAGCCTCACCAACCGTGTTGAAGTCGTACACAGTTCTTCGATTCGCTACCCAAAATAAATGTAATGTCAATTGAAGGTTCTTTATGTGTAAAAAAATCAACTAATATTTTACCGATTGTTCCAGCTACGCCATTGAAATCAAAGACATCGACTCGTCTGGTGGGCGTGTCGATGTAATACATCAGCAAATTGTCGCTGGACCAAGCGATGCCATTCGATATGCTGATCCCAGTTTCCATCAAGGTTTCAGCCCCGCGCTGGATTTTATACAAATTTCCATTAGTGCCACCGCTCTCGTCCATTGACCCTGTAATTCCCGTTAATTGTTCGTATTTAGATGACAAGAAGGTAGTACTTTTCAAGATTAACCTGCCCACAATCGTCCACTAGCATCGCATTTCCCATCGTTGAATCGGTTGCTGGGAAAGGACGCGTCTATGCTCAAGATTTTGGTGAGGGAGGTTGGCGTGCTTGAAACGCCATCCCATTCCATCATTTGCAAGTCTCTCCCAGTAGAGACGACATATTGATTGGGGGCGACCAGAGGACTCACGGGAACGACGAGTGATACCCCTCCTTGGCCAGCTATTTGTTATCCCAAGTGACAAAAAAGTGAAGCAACATGAAAATGAAGTGTCCTGACTATTAAGTCTTGAAGCTCCCACTGCTTACCAATTGTAACTCTGGCGTGGTCGTTGGTTACAGGGTTGTATCGGTTGACGGAAGTGCCCTCAATGTCCACGTAGAAGAGCTCTTGCTTCGTCCCGTCCCAGTGCGGCCCTTCGCCCAGGACGCAAGTATTCACTACTTGCACGTATGGATCCATTAAATTGTTGAACAGTTAAAGTAGTAATTTTTAAATAATTTCAGCCCGTTCTAAATACGAACACAGGGATGACAGACAGATGACAAGTGTTTTTATAGCCTAGGAAATCATTATCATGCACTCGCCCAATTAATGGTCGTGGTCATTGACGTTTGATAATATGCTTTTGTTTTAATATTTTTGTATTATTTGGGTTTACGCCCCATTTCCACGACTGAAAGTGTATTCTAACAAAGCAATCAAAACGTCATTTGCATATCAGTCAGTGGTGGTGACGGGCCGTGCGCAAAGTAGAGATTGGAATGTAAGATCAACACAGTCATATTTATATTTATATTTATTTCAATACCAAACACATAAATTAGCAAAAAACTACGTGTCGTCGTCCAATGTGCCACCCAGAAATTTTGGAAGTTGGTCTCTATTTACAATACTTAACAGATATTTTTGCCATTCGCTTTTTCTTGGTCCAAAAATCTTTATTTGAGTGGTTCTTGCATTTCGTAGATTTAAAGTCTGCACGACAATCTCGAACACGGGCGGAACTGGGAGAGGATGGAAAGGAATTAGGGAAAGCTTTTTTAAAATTAAATGCACTTTTCATATTAATCATAAATCATAGTCGACTTACCATTGACAAAAATTACTGAATCTGCCAAGTAAGGATATCGATAAACATACGTCCTGACGAATTCCAAGTAGATTGGGATGCCTTAAAATGTCAAAATGCTGTTGATTTGAACTAGAAAACTCAATACCAATAAGAAAAGATTTGTTTATTTACAGTTTAGGCACCCATGTTGCACGATGTTATATCCACTGAGATCCAAAATGACCTGGATTTGTGTCACGTTTTGCCCAAGTTTTTGCTTTTCTCTGATTTTCCTGGCCTGATATTCAATTGCATAATAAATATATCGCACAGCAGCGTCTCTTGACCCACTGATGACTCCTCTTCGTACGTCCCAAGCGGAGGCTGATGCAGCAATGACTAAATTTATTGAATAATCTGTCATTTTCACGTATTTAATTCATCATTGTACGAATAACTTATTACTTGGTCGTCCAGTTTTGTCTTCTCCATCAAGAAACATGGGGAAAGTTTCTCCCACTGCTGAGAAGTCCTCCTCCAATATCGTGCCAATCTTATTGTCATGTCTCCACCTTAGGTGCTGCAAAACAATTGATCCATTTTATTTGCATTCAGTCTGTATAAACAGGTCCGGAATAGTCGTGTTACTTCTGAGGTGATGAGTGTGCAATTTGCATAGACAAATAAATGAACTTCCCCCGACGACCATTAGAAATGTAACAAAATCTACTGAAACACGACAAAAAATGAGAACTTACCTCTTTGAACTTATTTTCAGTTCTCGCCAAATCCAATTTCCCAACTGCAGAAATGAGAAATAAAAATCATAATTCCTTCCACATTGGTTTTCGATTCAACTATTTCAAAAATCTAACTTCTCAACCATCGTATGAGATAAATATCCTCCTTCATGTACGCTTCCGGAACGGATGGATCGTTTTCTACGATCAGTTTAAACTACGGTTTTATAAACACAAGGTGACACAAAGCATTATTTCAGTCATTGCACGCGTATTTTTTGCAACGTACCTTATCGAGCGCATTCTTTTCTTGCTGTGTCAAAGTCAACTCTTCTTCCACGCTGATGCCGTGCAGTAATCTTGCATGCATCAAAAGAGACACGTGTACCAGAAAAACCTTGCACTTCATGACTGGAAAATTTGTTTATGAGTAGAATTACTGCAACAATTTTCGCTGCAAAATATTTACTAAACTGGAATCGACGAGTTATATCACGTGTAAATTCTCAAAATCTAGCGAAACCTGTCACTAAAAATGAAAACACCACAAAACAGGTATGCAAGAATTGTTGGCTTTTACGACTGGCTCAATTTGGATTAAGGAAGATTAACTGAAGGTCGTGGGAGTAGACCAGAAAAATCGCCCAGTAGTGCTGAAACCTGCTTGAATTTAGACCCGCACCTATATTTATTTAGTTTCGTTTTGCCAATCGTAATTGCACTATGAAATCACATAACGCGTACAATCATGTCGACCGACTGGAGCTATGAATATCTAATTTGCATATGTACATATACTTATGATCCCACCCGTGCATACAATCATGATCCTTTGAATTTGAAAACCAAAATTAAGGAGGATGTGTCAACATTCGGCGTCGGATAGAAATTCATCAGGACTGGATGTTGTCAATAGTTTGAATTTTGCATAGATTTTAGCACGGAACGGACAACAATTTTGCTTTCTCATGCAGAGCAAAAGCAACACACATTTCATTTCGTGTACATGAAAATGCAAAAATCAATATATGTATGTACACATGTATGAATTACCTAGTTCAAGGACTACTGACGTTGGATTCAGTCATGCAATTAACTAAAGATGCTCGCAAAAAGAGTGCAATTTGAAGGAAAAAGTTCACCGTCTTTTATGCTCATGAAAACTTCCATGCACAGAAACTAGGAAAAAATGGTTATGTAGTCATCAAGCTAATGCAGCAGTTATGCCATACACCAAATGCATTTTACGTTGTGTAATTGCACTACCTGAACAAGTGTGCATAACCTTCGTCCATTGATGTCATGCAGACGTGCATACACACGTACCTGCATTACACAGAAGAAGTAAGCTCACTCCCATATGAAAACTGACCTAATGGCTGAACCCTGATGTAGTACGTAATATTCAAGCTATGTCTGCCTACATCATTGTTAGACGGATAATTTCTATTGATTTATTTGGCATTGCAACACATTCGACATTTGTAAATTGTGCACTCAAGCACTGGAAGAGGTGCATCCTCCAAATTAATTCCTAAAGTCCGTGTACATTTTAATAAATAGTTAGAAAACAAGAGTTGCAGACAATGGCAATGTATCGCTGACGAAATTACGACCCCATCTTAGTCATTCCTCACGCGTCCAATAAATAATGCATATGCAAATTACTCCCGTGTTCCACCCAGTGAGACGGGGAGTTGATTCGGAGGGATGATGTTGAGCAAGTATTTTCTCCATTCTTCTTTGTTGGTCCCAAAGCGTTTGACGAGACCTCGAAGCGGTGGCTGAGCGAAGGGTCGTAGAATGTCCAAAACAACCCGAAAAAATGGCGGAGCTGCTCATGCACAAAAATAAATTAGCCAGTGGTGCATTTGTGATGATGAACTAGTAAGAATTTTGCATCGTACCGTTCACGATGATAACATTATCCGCCATGAATGGATAATGGTCTTGGAAGGAGAGGAGAATGTTGACGTACATGGACACACCTGCCGTCAGATTAGTAAATACCGCAAAGTATTACTTGACAATTATAATTCTATTAGTTTTATTTAACGCATAGGTCGACCCTCACATTGAATGCATCCGTGTTGAGCGAGGTTGAAGCCTTTGAGGTCAAAGATGGCTTGGAACCTGGTCACATTTTCGCCACGACCTTGCTTCTCTCGAACTTTCTGGCAAGCCCGCTCAATTTCTCGGTACACAAAACGCTCTCCTTTTCCCTGTTGACCTGTTACGATCCCTGGTGCAAAAATGTAATTGTGTTAGTTTACATGTATCGGAAAAATTATGAAGTTTTGATTTTGATCACCACAAACTCACCCCTTCTGACGTCCCATTCCCCAGCGTCGCCAGCCAGCACTTTAAAAGATGTATTTTAATTGTAAACCCAATTGAAATGTAGACATGCAGAAACATGCAACGAACCTGGTCTGCCCTCGTAGTCCTCGCCCTCGTAAATTGGATAGCTCTCATTGAACGCTGCAAAGTCTTCAAGGAGAATCGTGTCCATGTGATTGTCGGCTCTCCATTTTAAATGCTGTCAGAAATAGCATGTGTAAAATGGCACGCAAACAGAAGAAGGTCATGTTTGTTTTAGTTATGCAAATGCAATGTCCAACTTACACCTCGTAACAATGAGTTGGCTCCAGGAATATCCAAACTTTTGGCTGAACATTGATAGGAAATTTTAGAAATAAAATATTAAATCAGTGTCTCAACTTCCCTCATCAACGTAATTTTTAAAATTCTAAATACTACATTGCTTACCCCTCAGCCACCTAATTAGATAAATGTCTTGATTCATGTAGTCGAGTGGAAGACTGCCGTTTATTAATTTTTTAAACTGTGTAAAATTATTATCGACAAATTAGGCTCATCTGCATTAAATTGTTACTGGATTGACAGATAAAATAATAGATTAAGCACCTCGTCCAAAGCTGTTTTCTCCTCCAACGTCAACGCCAAATCTTGTTCCACGGATACCGACAGGCTTGGCACAACGGTGACTCCCACGATGAGAACAACGAGGAGAGTGAGATTTAACAAACTCATGGAACTCATCTTGATGACTACAATTCCGGAGAGGTACTGAAAAGGATGCGGACTGAAAAAAGTATGCATTGGGTTCATTAAGTGACATGTTGCTTGAACAAAAATTAAAGTTTACTATTATGATTATGAGTGCATAAAATCAACAAGTTTTCCTCATTGCTCACCTTTAAAATTTAGCAGATTTGGGACGAAACTACTTTATATTCCACCAACAGCAATTCAGTGATGTATGTGCATGCAACTTCAAAGCAAGTGAACGACCAGGGACAATTCTGGCCTGGGAATGTGAGAATAACTCTTTTTGAGCCAGGTAAACGAGACAATTGTTTAGAAGGGAATTTTGTGCTGTTGTTGATTTAGTGGTAGATCAATTTTCCATTAAAAATGCCCAGTAGTTTGGTACGACAAATTACATATGTACGTGCTTCACTACGAAGACTGCAGATTAGTAAGAAATTTGATGTTGACTTGCAGACGTTCAAGTGAGCACTGTTGAACTGTCTATTGCACTTTTGACTTGGTGTTTTGGTATTTTTTTGAGACCACTGCAACCACCAATGACCACGACAAGGTATCCATGCATCTCAACTATTGTGCATCGACCAAGTTTTTACTTTCATTAGAACATGCACAATTTGACATCCCCCCTGTTAAGTCACGCCGGTGACCACCACCCGTCGCCCAAATTAACGCTCATGTATGTATTGTGCTATTGTTGTTATGTTATTGCCTGTTATGCGTGAAAATAGGCTCCATTTTCCCAAATGTTAACTTTAATTTATCATGTTCTGCATTGTTGTACGTACGTCTGCATAAGGAGTGCAGGTGGTCATAAGCGGAACAAGTGTGAAAAAAGCGTTCTTATTGTATCTTAAGGATTACAAGGACGTTCACTCACTTTTGTTTTCATCTCCACAATGCACCTTTCGGCGTTACGAAGCACGAGTACGTACTCCAGTTTAACTTTAAGAGTTTTAAGTAATTCGACGAGTTCTGAAATTGCCACTTTATTGTTGCATTGAGCGTTACATGGTTATCTAGAAACTAACAGAAAAAAACGTGGTGTGTGGTCATCTGACAAGAGCTTGAATTTAGTACAAATTGCTAAAAATGATTGATGATTAGATAAAATGAACCATTAGTTGCGTGATTTTATTCAGTAGATGACAGAAATATTAAAACTAATTTGACATAATTATTTTTTACCTTGCGTAATTAATAATGCTTACAGCTTTTTATTGGTAAGTATTGCTGCATCGGAAACGTGCATAAATCCTATAAACAAAGCACCACGTAAAAAAGTCTAGTTTAACATATGTAAAATGTGTAAGCGTAATTTAAGTTCCCACGATATGCAAATATGTATGCAGTGGTTACTGGCTGGACGGCAGCAAATTTTGTGGTGAGAAAACAAAGGAAATCTGAAATTAGCAACTTCTGGCTCACCGCAGGCGATACAGGAATTGGATGCAGTTCCTTGGGTCATGGTTCCTATCTGACCCATTTGCTGCAATTTGTTTCCTTACAACAATTTCTGTGTTCCTAACTCAATTTCATGCAGATCTGCCAGGATAGGTGCTTAATTTTCTAAAATCTGCATTGTATATCGTATATTTTGCGATTGCATAATGCTTTGCAACTTTGCTTTTATTAATTTCTTCTGCTGATCATTAGTAGTTCAGTAGCATACATATTTTGCACACGTCATGGCTCGTACATAATTAAAAGTAGATGCATTCTTACAGTAACGTTTAAAAGTAACGCTTGTTGTCTGAGTACGTGGATGATCTTGTTTTGCTCAGTTTTGAAAATTAGTGATGCGTTTCTGGCCGGATATTTCAAAATAATAACACAGAAACAAAAGATGTTGGCGATATGCAACCTTGAAATTACGAAATCCGCGCCGCCACGCACTGCTGTTAATGTTTTTTTTTCCTATTTCGAAACTATATGCACATTATTATAATTAGCCTGAGTGTTAAATATTTAATGTGCTCAATGACCTTCAAAGGATACGCTTGTAAACACTCAAAAGTGTTGATTATTGGAAGTTGTTGTTCTGAATTAGTTGATATGTGACCATTCCCAAGGATGAAAAATCTGTCCAGTCATGGTATTCTGCTGATACATAAATGCTTAAATACCTTTGATCTCTGTGTTTAATGGCGTCATGGTCAAGGTTTAACCTTTGGGAAAAATCAAATAGTATTTTAACAAGAATTGATTAAATAACAAAATAAGTTGGTTGGTACCACGTTTACTTGATCGAGTATGTTGCATTTCTTGGAAAACTTTGATGTATGAAGGTTAATTAAATTAACGCGATCTGCATTTGTAATGCACTACATGTTTTGCACTTGTTGCAATATGTATGTACTTGTTCATTCTACGTAACATTTCAGTGCAAAATCACCAAAAAGTCTTAGCAAAATAAATGCGTCATAGTATAAAGTGACGATTTGATGATTGTCATGATTTGCCAACCAAGACATTCCCTGTCCTGTCGAATAGCTTTTGATGGACTAAAGCAATTTGTAATGCTTAGTTTACCCAACAAAATTCAAAAAAAATGAAAGGCACTTGGGTAATTACGAAGGGCTTACATAGGTTAGACAGTTATTACATAGTTTAGCAAAAAACATTTTGCTATTATTCATTTATTACTATGCTTTGTTTTAGCAACACTTGCAGAAAGATGCGTTCTTGCAAAACATCGTCATAAACACTGAGTGGACACGCAATGGATGCAACTTTAGGGTTTTTGTTTGTAATTCCATAAGCTCTCACTCGGGCTAAAAACTGATGTATTTGTAATTTAAATTTCTACATGAATATTGCACACTTATTCCAAGCAGTTGACACATTTCGAATAATGCATCAGTCATGCGTGCATTACTCATCATTCTATGAACAAGGATCTGCAAAGGCCAGCAGAAATATGCACATTAACAAATTGGTATACAAAGACTAACGTCTGGGTTTATGCTATGAAGAGATTAAATCCTTGTACCCAACGTGTTTTGTCGTGAGATTATGACAAATTTTTAAGCTCCAGGTGTATTCATCCCGATGCAGATGCGCAATATTGTTTGTCGACATTTATTGGCAGATCAATCTTATATCAATGACTGGATTTATGTCCCATAATATTTTGACCCAGTTGAATTTTATTCAATATTCAGTCTGAAAATGCAACACATAAGTTTCGTCTACTGCGAATTCCTGCTGATAGTCTTGGCTTCAACAACGCCTCCAACAATATCGAGGTAATTGTAACGCAACTGCCTGACTTATATTCAGAAATTCTTAAAAGACATCTTGCCGTAGTCCCCATCACGATGACTTGATTCGAGATCACGCCAGAATGTTTGAACTACATGAGCATCACATTTTCCGACTGAAAGGCCTGGTTTTTGGGCTGCTTGGATTTTCGTCGGTCATTATTGTGGCGTATCTGCTGTATCAATACATTATTCAAGTAGCCAGAGCACGAAGGAATCAGGCGGGGGCTGCATTTTCTGAACGAGGTATTTTATGCAGATAATTTTAATTATGGTCAAAAACTACGTAAATGTGAAGTGGTGTTAGATATGTGCGTAGTAAATATGATAATAAAAAATATGCCAACAGAGTCTTTGGTCCCAATCTCTGAGTTTGATCAGCCCAGAACAATATTCGTGCGACCACTGTTTGGGCCCCTTAGATCCTTGCGAAATTACGTGGGGGACGTGTGGGGGGTCAGCAAGGGCAGTTCTCCAACTGCGCCATTACCAGGCAGCACCCTATATCGACCAAAATATGACAGTGAGTCCAGCTCATTATCTTAACCACTTCACTACGTAATCTGTTTACTTGCAATTCCAGATGACCCATGGGAGCACTTGTAACTCGTAGTGGATGACCATAACAAATTAGTCCCGTTTGTGGGTGAGTCATCTGCTCCTGAAGAGCGGCGTTCCAGTGTCAAGATATTGCATCGATTGTGATTAATTAGTCTAAGCATCATAGATCGGATATTTTGCGTACTCCGGCCTCCAGAAAAAGTCGCGTACTCCGGCCTCCGGAGGCCGGAGTACTCCAAGCCCGGAGTACTCCGATCTATGCTAAGCATTCGAATTATTATATACTTATTTTTGGGGCAAAGCCAAGTCGAACTGAAATAAACCACTTACTATTCGTGTGAACAATCTCATTCTCTCAATCTCTGTCGCAATAAACTCGCATGAATACAAGTAATCCGTTTGTCAAAGCCTTGCGTCACTCTTATCTCCTTCACTTTGGATAACTAACTGGACGATGGACACAATGCAAATCTGATGGATGAAGGTTTTATTATGGTCTTAGCCATGAAGATAACATGACCCATGCAACCTTAACATTGAGAGGCAAAGCTGAACGCGTAATTGTTTACTGAGTGGACACTAAATCAATGCGAATTGTGGAAAAATTCATATTCTGTTGAATAGCTGGAGTTTTTCGTGTAATAATGTGAATAATTGAGTGCATGGGAAACAAAATAAATATACGCTTGAAAATGTGTTCTTTGTTTGGCCAAAAGTGTTACAGCAGATTCAGTGTGTGTCTCATAATAATTCTTCAGTTTGCTTTCTCAACTGCATTGAATTTGAAGAGTTTGAATGAAGATCAGTTCGAAACTCAGGACGAATCGCCTGAAGAACCTGAAGAGCCGGAGGAATCTGATGACCCAGAAATTGATTTAGGGTATACATGCGCCTTTCGTTTCATAATATGGATTAAAATTACAATTTATTTGCCGACTAAAAAATAAACAAGTCGTTGTCATTGTCAGGACGGGTGCCATCGTTGGAATTGTCATTGGAATCTTGGCTTTACTGATTGCGATTCCTAATTTATTATGTTTCTGCTTCGGTTGTCTTTGTTTCAAGGAAAAGGAACCTAAAATAATAGGTGATTCTCATGCAAAGTAGACACAAGCAGCACTTTTGTAAATATACACTTGACAATGAGAGTTGTTGTTTGTACTGCAGGAGTGACACCGTCGGCCTCGGCCACCCTCCGGAAAGAGCACGCGAGGAAAGGAACCACCAATGAGACGACCATGGAACACGACAACAGCCGAAAATTCAGCACTTCGACCACACCAAACCGCCGAGACTCGCAGTTCTCGTCGGCAACTGCACCTCCAGGACAAGAGTTCACTCCGTACCCGCTGGATGACAACCTTGGCGCGTTCTACTACAACTTGGGGTACGAGCCGCCACCACCGTATGCCTTTGGAGATGGTGTCCCCTACAGTGACGACGCTTGGGACGTGAGAAACGGCGCAAGTCGATCCGCATCGATACGCCCAAGTTTAGGGAACATTGGTGAAAAAAACCAGACATGTAAACCGGAATTTATATTAAGCTTGGTATATTTTTTATTAGTGTGCATGCAAATATAACAGTGCATTTGTTTTATAGCTGGACCTGGGCCATCCATAATTAAGGGGTAGCTGTCCCTTGTCGCTGTCATTTAATGATCAAACTTCTCATATCTTAACATAATAATAGTATTATTTATGTACATATGTATATAATTTATAGAACCTGCATGTAAATAGGTGATGCAATAAACAAAAATTTACATATTATTACAAATTGCAGTAACCATCTGAGGACTCGCACCTTAACAATCCCTGTCGAGATTTTTGTTCTGCCGTGTCGAGAGCACGCATTTGCATTGGTTGCACCAGTTTGTCCCAAAATTCCATTCGTTTTGTGAAATCAGCATGTTCAGGTTGGATACTCAGGTCATTGTCCAAGTGCAACCAGCGCATCGGCGTCTCTGACACTTTTAGTTGTGGCCACTCCTCCACGTCCCCCCATGGCTTCGGTCTCCTAATTTACAAAAATTTAACATCAATTCTATGTAGTTGACTGGGAAATTAGATTACACGGGTTCTAAAAATATACCCGTCGTTTTTCGCAAATGACGTCCACATTCCAACGATTTTTTTGGAAAAATCCTCATCCAAGCTTCCCTTGGTCAGTGGAGGCACCCACTCTGGCATTGGGAATTGATAAATAAGATCATCTGCGTGTGTTGGACCCTTTAGTCCTGAAAAAGTTGTTTAAATATGGTGTGTGTAGGACAAGCCTTTTGCGAGCTGTGCATGTGTTAAATACTGCGTGTCATTGTTTGCATACCATTTGAATCTTTCGTCATTTCGAAGGCATCAAAGGTATGTTCCCCACGATGTGTCAAGTAATAAATGTAAACGGGTGCGTGCTTGGCATAGAGCAGAGCACCCTGTCGGGTGCAGTGGAAGAACCATCGATCAGAATACAGGTCAATCAACTTTTGTCCGTTGACCTTTGAGATTTCCTGGTCTTGGAAATAAAAATCTCGGATTTTGGTGGATAAGCTGCAAGGGTCTCGAGCTGTAGCATGGTAAAGGAATGTGCTTGGAGAGACTCGCCCCCACTCGTTGTTCATAAGCTCCAGCAAGGTGGCATTGTTTAGTACCACTAATTAATTAATTAATTAATTAATTAATTAATCTATGCGTGTCCATATTTTCTCTCAAATAACCTTCATCAACTAGTTCAAGTTGCTCAGTTTGTGGAAAACTAACCATTTGCACTGATGAAAATCCCTTCGTCTGACGTGATTCCGGTGATCAGAGGGACTTTGTTGAAAGTTCCGTCGAAGAGAGTTTTTAATGGATCCTGTTTGTGAAACACGGAATCTGGTGCCTTCGTGGGGATATAAGTTTCAATCGTGGGTCCAAATTGCGGCACATCATACACATCAAAAGTCTAAAAAAACATTACATATAAACATGCTTGCTTTAGGTATTTGCATTAATTAAATGATCCCATAATAATTTGACGTAAGATTATCAGCTTACAAAATGTGTTGGATGTTTGAACTGCGTCTGCTTCAAAAGTTCTTCGCCCTTCATCCTTCGAAGGCACTCCACCATAAATTTGGGGTCACTACTTGGACAATCCACCAAATTAGCCAGTTTTTTAGCTTCGAGAAGAGCAGATTCTCGCTTATCGGCTTGAGGACAAGTAACCATACCGCTTTGGGTGATTGCAGCGTGGAATAACCCTACTCCACACAGTACAAGAGCTAATTTCTCCCTTACCAAACTTTTAACGTAAGTTTACAAAAAGTTTCATCAGCTTTTGTACCCTTGCCCATTGGAGACATTGTCAAGTGAGAGACGGAAATGGCACCTGCACTCTCTCCAAATATGGTGACTCTGTCAGGGTCACCTCCAAACGCTCGAATGTTTTTTTGCACCCATTTTAACGCCAAAACTTGGTCCTTCAACCCTTGATTTCCTGAAGCCCCTTCGATTTCGGCATTTAGAAACCCAAACAGTCCGAGACGGTAGTTTATTGAGACAAGAACTACATCTTCGGACATAAAGAATGAGCCATCATAGTCGTTTGCTGAACCCTTTAAATTAGAATTTTGAAGAAAATGTAAGACACGTGTGTCGAAGACGAAATATTATACTATTAATAATTCTTACGCAAATAAATGCTCCGCCATGGATGAAAACCATAGTCTAATTAATTTAACAAAATTTTTAACAAATGTGCAGCAAAATTTAACAACGAAAACCTGTACCGGCAATAATTTCGTGTCGGAAATCTGAAAAATATGATTACTTCAGGTTGGCGTTTAGATTATAATATTAATGTCATTTACGATATGTACCTGTGGCGTGTAGACGTTAAGAATCAAGCAATCTTCCACTCCAGTCATTGTGCTAAATATAAAATCGAGCTGGAGACACGTTGGTCCCAGTTTTGTAGCGACTTTTGTGCCGTTCCAAGGAGGTATCGGTTTTGAAACCTGCAAGGGTCCTGTATTTTAATTGAGTTCGGCCGTAATTTGGCATTGATGAAGAACGTACACCAAATCTTTGCTCGACGACGCCATACGGAATTCCCAAAAATCGAAAATACTGACGTCCATTTCGAGCTTCTTCTATACTTCCAAGCAAATCTCCGTCAGAAATGGTCACCAAGGGTTTATCAATCGCCCCTGAAATAGTCTTGAAGTATACGCAGAAAATAATAACGGTCAAATTGGGGATCAAGTTCATTTTAGTAATTTTAGCTCTGGACTATTATGTGGACATGCAGTGGGAACAGCGATACTCGAATATTTGTTAATAGTTTTATTAACATGCAGTCGGGATTCAAGATCCAGACAATGAACTGACCAACAGCATGCACTTTTTTTCAACATCATGAGACAGACCAATTCATCCACTTGGATAACCTTGATACATGTTACAGCAGCTCTATACAGCACATGCATAGTTTCATAAATTGGCACTGATGTACAGAATTGTCCTTGTAAATAAGTACACAATATAAAGTACTGAAAAAAATGTGGTTATTATTTACATATACCACGCTTTTCTATCAAGTAGAAAAAATAAATGCGATCCTGGGATCGGACAGAACATTGGTCTGACTAATATGCTGTATCATTCCTTCGAAATAATAATATTAATATAGCATCTGGAAGATGCCTATACCTACCTGTTTATGAACGTATGTTATACACGTCAAATGTACACAATAGTTTTGACAGCACTTATTGGATGTTTTGTTAATATTCAATTTTACCCATAAGATAAGTATGCTTATCAGTGTTGGGTGCACGTCATGAAGATAAGAGGCTTAGTCAGCCAGCAAACACTTACATGGACTGCTTTAATTAGAATTATTCTGAGTCATTTCGAGCATAAGGTGCCCAAGCGAAAGCAAGCCAATTCTACCTCAATTTCGTTCCCGATCATGACGATTTCTAATATGTCCAGTGTTTCTTCGACCCTTTGGTTTTTCGTATTCACTTTCGTCGCTATTGTGCATCAAGCGAACGGGGATTGTGAACGAGAATGGGACGACGGCGAATGGTCGTACACTTGTGACGTTGATGACCTTCCGTAAGCTCATTCAATGTGCTTAAATTGGTACTCTATATTTAAAGTTTGTAGTAACATTTCAATTGAGGTGTCGTATTTTGCAGCGTTGGCGCAATCGTTGGTATAGTCATTGGTGGAATCGTCATTTTCATCGTTATTCCCATTTTGATATGCTTTTTATGCGCGTGTGCATGCTTTCGAGGGAGGAGAAGTAAAGGTCAAGTGCAGCCTTGTAAGTTGTCAATATTCTCATTCTCGAGAGTCGTAAATCGCATTTAAGACAAGCACTTTATCAACTATGATTCAACAGACGTAGTGCAAGCTGCGCCACAGGCCACGTATCCCCCGCAACAGCCGGCTTACATGGTGAATGCGTCAAATCAGCCCCCACCGCAACACCCGGCTTATGTCGTGAGTGCGTCGAATCAGCCGCCGCCACCTCTACACCACAACTACGGAGGACCTCAACCTCTTCCATATCCCGTTATGCCTCAACAGCACGCCTACCACCAGGCACCACCCCCGTACCCAGGTCAGTATCAAAACAATGGACCACCACCTCCCACTGCAGGATGGAAAACTGTGGGGAACTAGTTTGTATAATTTGTATAATGTCTTAGAATTTGTTAATAAATTTTATTAAAGGATTACCCATTATGTACGTATCTAACATAAAATTGTGGACGATAAGCCTAAAACTTGTATATTTATTGGAATTTACATTTAAATTTCTGCATTTATGTACGTATACCCATATAGTATCAAGTTGGGCCCATATTTAGGGCAACCTGTTGAACCACATACTGAATTGCTGGATGTTATTCTGAGATTTTAATACACGAGTCAATTCTACCATGATTCCACGATTCTACAAAGTGTTTCTCGTTCCACCAAATTCCTCGTCCAATTGGTCCGCCGGAATTTGCTTTAGTAAGTTTGTTTGCCATTCGTCCCTGTTTGGACCCCAGATTTTGACAGCTTCTCGAGTCTCTTTGCTCATCACGCTGGTCAAGGCTCGCAGAACCAAGTCAAAGGTTTGAGGTGCTGCCACAAAATCAACATGCCAGGTGAAATTGATGACTGTATTCTGAAGCCACATTATTGCAGCCATTTCAGCACTTAATTAGTAGATGGACTTACTTTTAATTGCTATGATGGAATCTGCCATGCCTAATTTAATCATGAGAAAAATTATTTCTTTCATGAACATAATCTTTTTTTACTAATATTACCTGGAAAATTATTCTCATAGGTCACGAGAAAGTTGACTATTACATCGATACCTTTATTCAAATATTAAAATGTTGCATATAGAACATTAGGTGGCGAATAGGATGCATATACACAGATGACAGACTTACATTGCAGACAGGCATGTTGAATGATGTTGAACCCATCAAAATTGCAGACCATTACAAACTGGGTCACATTTTGACCACTGTTTTGCAACTCTCGAACTCTTCTGTTTCCAATTTCATATGCCCGAAGGGACCATCGAATAATGTGGTCTTTCTGTCCAGAGAGGATTCCTCGTCTGTTGATTTCCGTCAAGAGACAAAAAAGAACGACTTCAAGGCTTGAAGTTCAAGTTCAAGCTCACTAATGTGTACTCTTGCCTACATGTCTACTCACCTGATGTCCCAGTCTGCAGCATTCAACGCCAAAACTGGAGGAACGATGATATCACCATAAGCTCAGTTTAATATGGACCGCATACATAATTGCGTATGTAATCATGTCATTACCAGGTCTTCCCTCATAGTCAACTCCATCAGTGGAATATGCATATTCGTAGACCAAATTGCCGAAATCTTCATCTGCTATTGTATCCATTCGATACTCCTTCCTAAACGCTAAATGCTACAATTATTGTAAATTAGAGATTTATTGTCTAGAAATGAGCAATCAGCCTTTGGCATCAGGAAAAAATGAAGCCACGAGTTGAGCAAAAAATACAAAAAAGTGACCAGTCATGCACCTATATGTAATGTGAGAAGGTCAACATGCACAATTATCTCATGCTACACATAGCACACATAAGCCACACATACAGATAGCATTTCCATTAGGATACGTAAAAATTAATTACTTCGCGTCTGACACCGCCGAAAGCGCTTTGGGCGGGAAAATTGAAAGTATTTTATGTTAATAAACTAGGCTAATAAGGTCATTTAGTAAAATGTACAAAAATCGATTATCGTCTATCCGGCGGATTCTAAAGTGTTTTTCGCAGGAAATTACAGACAGCATAAATGCTTCAAGGAATAATTAAAAGCTTGTTACAGACAAACAAATTATATCATTTTAATTTTCTAGCTTAAAATTTTTTTCTGCCGTCAGACGCACTAACAAGTGTTTCCACCAAATACGCTGTTACTACTAAGGGCGAGAAGTGCGGAAATATGAGTCTCCCAGGGATGAAGAGGTTTAAGATAAGATTTTACCTGTCTTAGCATTTTCTCTGCACCTCGAATGTTAAGATTCTTGGCTGAAACATGACCCAAATTATTAGTCAATAAATTACTTTTAAACGCTTGCATCTTAATAAGATTAAAAAATTCATTTTATTATTCCTATTCTTTTGTTCAAGAAAAGACTCAGCTATGCAAATTTTTAAAAGCAAACCTCTGAGCCACTTGATGAGAAAAACATCCTTTTCCATGTAGTCATGCGGCAAACTGCCGTTCATTACAGTTTTAAACTGAAACAATGAAATTCAATAAAATGCTTTGGAACGCTCCATGATGCCGATTGGGTTTGGTGTAAGTACCTTGTCGAGGGCATGCTTTTCATCCTGCGACAATGTTATATCCTTCCAGACGGAAATGCATCCAGATTCAAAGACACACAAAGACAAATACAAAATTACTGCCAAAATTCCACGAAAACTTGGCACCATTGTGAATAAATAACGCGAAACAAATATCGGTATAACACTAAAAAAAAGTCGAGACGAGGTAGGGTTTTCCAATTAAACCATCAATTCTGCTTGGGAGCATACAAACCAGAACTAAACAATATTTCCCAGCGTGTGCAAGCTTTATACGAAAGTTGTTTTCTACGGCATAATATGCATTTCGTTCATAGTTTAACATATCACGTCAGGATTTCGTCAGGATCAAGTTCAAGTTCATCACAATATTTGCAATCCATGTTCACATTGCTATTTCCCTGGGGAAGTAATTTCCACCACGTAGATGTATTGCAGAATTGTTTACCTGTTTGTCTTGCTTTGAGTAATTTTATGAGGAAATGCTTAACATACCCTCAAATCAAAAACTAGAGAGATGTAGAAAATCTAATTATTGGTGAGAATTAAAAATGAGATGTACAGTCAATTGAAAAAGTATTGGCAACCCCCACGTCAGCTAAATAAAATTGGCTATAACCATGGAATGCATCATACAATTGGTATGGAAATTTGTACCCATTTAGCAAATATAATGTAGTTTTCGATTATAATCATGATTTATTAATTAAAATTAGATAAACACAGTTTTTAAATAATTTGTTGGAAAATTTGCAAAATTTACCCGCAAAAAGTATTGGCAACCCTTAACTTAAAAAATCATAAATCAAAGAAACGCCAATTTTATTATGACAAACTGCTTCTAGTATTACGTAGCACCTCCCCTCGACGCAATACAAGCAAAAATACGTCGTGGAATTGATTCAACAAGTTTCGTTATAACGCTTTTCTATATGGCTGCCCACACTTCCTTTGAACTTTTGACAAGCTCGTTTTTCGAAGAGTGGTTTCCCACCAGTCCCTCTTTTCTGAATCCGGACAATCAGAATCACATCGGGAGACTGTGCAATCAACGAAAGAAGCTTAACCTTTTCGATCTCCAAAACCTTGCATCGTTAAATTGGCTACATGTTTGGGGTCACTGAATTTTCGGAATATAAAATTCCTTCATAGGTCAGATTTTTATCAAATAATTTCAAATTATCGTTTAGAATGATTATTTGGACCTCATTGGTCATGATTCCATCGATAATGACCAGCTACCTACGCCACGACCTAGTCATTTAACCCCAAACCATAATCGCTCCTCTTCTGTGTTTAGCTGTCATACGAACATATTCGTTTTTGTGAGCCTATTATGGCATCCGCCAGACTTGAACCATTCAATTTGCTCCGAATAAGTAAAATATGCTTATGTCAGACCAGCAGAACCTTCTTCATTCATTGGAAGTGTATTCAGGGTGGTGTTTAGTCCATTCCAATTTATTGAGTTGGTTCGTTTTGGGGACCCTCGCGTCAGTCGGGCTTCTGGACCCTGAAACCCCATGGCATGATTTTTGATTGATCACAATATTGCATGATATGTTGACGCCACAGTTGGTTCTCAAATTCAACATGGTTTTTGGGGTTAAAATCTTCCGATCTCGAGTGATAATTTGCTTGATTCATCCGTGGCTCGTGGGCGTAGGTGACTTTTTTCTTCCGCACCATGGAAAAGTAGAAACTGAGATTGTCATTTTATATTTCTTGGCTACCTATTCAATAGTAAATATGGAAAAGTATGTTTTCTCTTTGATTTTTCGATAGTAAAGCTTTTTTGTGAAAGATACATGATTATTTCTCGCCGCGCCAAATACAGCTCGTTTGGTGTCGCCATTTTGGCTCCAGACAACACAACTGTAGACTTAAAATGTAGCTAACGTCATATTTGGTCACCTAATTAACTTACCGTAATGAAATGTGGTAGCTGATTAAGAAAATTGTTTCGCGTAATTAATTTGGCCACATGTTGCCAATACTTTTTGCGGGTAAATTTTGCAAATTTTCCAACAAATTATTTAAAAACTGTGTTTATCTAATTTGAATCAATAAAACATGACTATAATCGAAAACTACATAATATTTGCTAAAGGCCTACAAATTTTCATGCCAATTGTATAATGCATTCTAACGTTACAGCAAATTTTATTTAGCTGGCGTGGGGGTTGCCAATACTTTTTCCATTGACTGTAATCACTAATACTGAAAGTAAATATGCTTAAATAAAACTCCATTAAATGTTAAGTACCTTGAACGTTTAGGTACCTCTTGGACAAGGCCCGATATTAAAACATGAAAAATGCTTATCAAACTTACGAGGAATATCGAGAATGAATTAAGAAGGTTATTGATTTACATATTACTCACGATGATGGGTAGAACAAGGGAGGACATAGTGACGAGGTACATGAAACTGCGGAGACTAATTAACCCTGGATTTCTTTATAATATTTCCATATTGTCCTCCATACTTTTCGAAATAGTATTTCTACACTTGCCCCTCCCTATTATTTTATGTTTCTGAGGACAAAAATGGTTCACATCTCATTACCCGACACAAATGAGCCCACAAACCGAGTATACACCCTGCAGAAATATATAGTGACTCCAAATAACAACCAGTATGACCTCAAAGTCCTCCCCCTCCATCTCGGGGAGCTCTTAAAAATACCCCAATGCCCTTGTTTCTATGCAGAGCTGTACTTCATGTCTTGACTCATGTTCTCTAAAAAATCATGTTGCTAAGTCCATAAAAAATTGAAATATTCAACCTCTTGTGGTACCTTAAGTACTGCTTCTGATACGTATTTAAAAGTGTGCTAATAAATAAAATGTATTCCGCACATACATCATTACAAATTTTGCCAAAAACGGGTGTACGTGCAGGTTAGGAAAATTACGCAAGACTTATTATGCTGTTTATTTATTTTCTACGTTATGTAGTCATCAGATTTTATAGAAATAGGGGTATATGTATACAAACAAGTATTGCACATTCATAATGCAAGAGAAATACGTATTTTTGCGTATAAGAGCAACTCTCAAAATCTATTTAAAAATCAAACCTGATCTCCTCAAAGGAGCCATAATTAAAATGAAACGTTGGAACATGCTTTATGTCTAAAAAAAACGTATAAAATAATACAACAACATTATGAAACTACTTGGATTAGCTCAAGTAAGGATCATAGTCATCGTGACATATTAATAATTATGTGACATTTATTAACACAAATACCAGTGGATAAAAGCTTCGCAGTACAGGATTTTTCTGACAAAAATACCAAAAATTTTGTGTGAGAAATTATTGAACACTTCAGTTCGGTGAATTTTTTGCAAGAACAAACAATTTTGCCCCGCTGCATAAACACATTTTAAAATAATATAATACTTCGCCTTTTTATACTTCGTCTTTGTATTAATAAAATAGATACCGAATTACCTACTTCTTATAGCTCAGAAGTATGTTAAACTTTTTAGATCGATGGTTATTCCACTTGCTTATTATTATGAGAAAAACTTGTGCATTAGACGCCGACGCCTCATCAAGAAGCAAAATTAATTTCTCAAAGCAACAAAAAAATTGCAATGAACACCATTTAATACGACAGAGTTTTAATCGTAGACACCGGGTATCAGTGGTTTTAATCGAGCATTGCATATTTTGCATCATTCATTCAACTTGGGCTTCAAGTACTTGTAACTTTGCTTTGTTCTGTCTATTTCTTCGGGCTATTGCAAGTTGCACTAATCCTACAGACAACAGATTTTACTGATACGTACACGTCGTGTATGTGTGCTTCTGTATGTATAAACTTTTTACGTTGTTGTTTTATCTATATGACATTCAGCGTATAATGTGGCAGGTCAAATTATTTCATGGTTATAAGCTCGATTAACGATTTTTTCTACATTGTCGAAAATCAAATTGTTGAAGTGAAAATCTTTTAATTTTGAGATTCCGAATTGATATATAATTGTTTCATTATGTTGATTGTGCTCATTGAATTATGAGCATGTTTGTGTTCAGTTTTATCTAAATGACGTTAAATCAATGCATTCTGTCCAATATCATTATATGGATAAGCAATTTTTCTTTAATTATCAAAATTGATTGCAAATAATCACGTCTCAATTTCTCAAACGGTTTGACTAAAACCCAGAAATATGTCTCACTTCTAAATTTAAAAGATGTATAACTTTTGTTTATTTTTAAACATAATCTAGTCGGGAATTTATACTTTGAGAACGTTGTCGAAAAAATTATTATTTGCAAGTTGCATAGCTTATCCTTGTTGCATCACTCGACTGACTGCAGAATGCAGAGCAAAAGCTGAAAGTGTTCATTAGCAAAATTACCCTCCTAAAGCCCAACTCGTTCAAGTCTAGTCCTCGATAGTATAGTGGTAAGTATCCCCGCCTGTCACGCGGGAGACCGGGGTTCGATTCCCCGTCGGGGAGACGCTCAAATTTTTTGAAAGATTTTTCTTTCATTTAAAACATTGCTGATTTTTAGGCCTTTTAAGATGGCCTTATAGATTTATCAAGATGTCTGTCTGTCCGTCCGTCTGTGCGTAGGTTTTTGGTGTAAGGTAGTTTCGATTTTAAATGACAGAATCAGCACTCGATCCAACTTCATTACTGTTTTGCCCCAACCAGAGCTTTATGTTCATTTGTCAGGTTGGGCAGTTAGTGGTGCCGATCCCTTGGGTTCAGCCCCTCCCCCCAGTTAAATTTAATTTCGACAATTTCAGACCTTCGTTAGAAAAACCTACTCCGAGCAACTTTGCGGGGCCTTTTAAGACGGCATTAATACCATCTTGGTAGTTAATGGCAACACATTTGGGTGGAAATGACCCCCACTGGCCAACCACTCGACCGATCATGCCCATCTCCGAACTCATCCTTACTTTTGACCCGAAGATGAAGTGTGCAAAATTTCAAGTCGATAGCTTGTGTTTAAAGAGAGTTATCGTGCGTACAGACGGACGGACAGACAGACATCTTGATAAATCTATAAGGCCATCTTAAAAGGCCTAAAAAACCTACCTTGACAGACTTTGTTGGGTAAGTTTGGCATTCTAAAAGTAGTAATGGGCTAATATCAAATTTGCCATTTTATATATAATACGTAGTGCATATGAATGTGTTTTACATTTTACAAAAATCATATGCATCATAGTGGCTGAATGGTTATATTAATTTCTATCCGAATCAAGCAGAGGTTTACCCAGCCCACCAAATTAGCAATTAAGTGGTTCTTGTCATTATTATGTTATTTTATTGAATAAATCTCATGTAGATAATTGAAAATAAAAACTACACACAAAGTTAGATTTGCAATTATTTTGACCATAACGAACGACCCTTGCGGGTCATGGTGGTATTTGTTTTTTTGTTCAAACAGGGCTTATTTTTAGTATCCAAGTACCTATGTTTAAGATTCTAATAGGATTAAGAAATCACAGCGACGATCAAAATTGAGTGAAATTGAATGTGAGTCTAATAGTGTCACCTATTTAACCACGATTAACTGACATCGTTTCTATGGGGTGGTGCCCCATATAGCACGATTGCTTGACTTTTAGTGCCTAGTTACCCTTAACGGTTGCGACAAATGGTCGAGTTACAAATAAAATAATTATTTTTAAAATAGTTGGTGTAAAAGTCCCTTACAAATACACCAACTACTTTGACCTTTAATAACTTTTGAACGGGCAGACATAGAGACTTAATTCTTAAAGATGAAATCATCGTAATTTTTAGCTTGATTTTTTAAGCTAAAAATTTCGAGGGTACTATTTCGAAGATTGAACTTGAAATCTCCAGTGTGCAGCCCGAGTCAAGCTCGCTGTTATCGGTCAAACCGACCATTTTGCATAGAATTTTATTGTACCAAATACATTTTACTAATGCACTTTACGCCTGTTTTTTGTCAAATAAACAATGCGTATTATGCATTGGTGAAAATTTTAACTAAACATAGGTTTTTAGCCTGAATCAGGGCTTATGTACCCGTTATGTCCGTCTGTCCGTCTTGCGATAACTGTCGTAAAACTAATCGTAGCAATATAAATTAAAATAGGAAAAATTTTCCGAGTTTATTAAGTTCGTGTTTTGTAATGGTTTATATACCAAAAATAAATCACAAAATTATATGCACATCGTTCATTACGAGTCCTGCTCTCAGAATAATGCCATCTTACAAGGCTCTGCAAAATTGTTGCCTTTTTAGCCTAAGTCAGTTCTTATGGAACCATCATGTCCTTCCGGAACACGATAGCCAAAATGGCTGAACCGATTTAGCTGAAATTTTCAGAACGGGTGAGACCGTAGGGCTTGATCCATACAGATTTTTCAAAAATATGTCACTCCACTAAGGATGGAGCTTGTCCGTGTCAAGCGAATATATGTCATATTTGTCATATTTGTCATAAATGTCATATTTGTCAATTTGTCCGTCCAATTTGTCACGATTTCAATATGTCCGACATTTATGACAAATATGACGGACAAATTGGACAAATTGGACAAATATGACATTTTGTCTCAATATTCCTCATTTATGTTAGAATTTGTAATTGAGTCTTTTGGAATGCCTCATTGACGTTCGTACATAAATTGATTTAATTCGATTAATTAAGCTAGGAAACATTTTAAAATCCTACCATGGAGTTTGTAGAGTAAGATATTGCGGCTTTTAAGGCAGGAGTTGTCTAAATCTTCAAATAAGGGTACAACAGCAAAAGTAAACGAGACAAGTGCACTTAAACAATTGATTTAATTAATTTACCTATGATACTAATCAATTGTTACCAACTTTACCAATTACCATTTTATCATGCTGAATAGGGAGCGTCCATAAATCAAAGGGGGGGAGGGGTCTGAAATTGGTCACCATTTATCACCAGGGGGGGGGTAGTGGGCGGTAGGCACGTGACATACTACGTAAAGTTTCTCTTTGATACAATAAAGGGTTATCATACATTTGCCTAGGGCTACCACATATGCAAAAGACATCAAGATTTTAGAAGGCCACGGTAGAGGGTCGCTTCTTCTCAGCATTGCTATTTTGATTTGGGAATTTTGTGTAAATCAAGTCAAAGTAAATGCTCCAGGCCAGTATAAGAATCTCACATTGCTGGAGTCGAGCAAGAAAATAAAATTTTTATATTTTGCTGAAAATAAATGTCGATTGCGCTGACAAATATTCATTTAAGAAATTCAATTTGTCATAAATGTCCAATTTGTCCAAGATTTAAATGTCGGACAAATTGGACATTTATGACATTTTGAATTTGTCATATGTGTCATATTTGTCATATTTGTCACAAATTTTAAATGTCTGACAAATTGGACATTTATGACATGTCAATATGTCAATTTGTCAATGACATGTCATGACGGCACATCCCTACACTCCACAAGTTTAAATGCATTTGGTACATTACAATTTCATGGAAAATGGTTGGTTTGACCGACAACCACAGAGTCTGACTCGGGCTCACTGGAGATTTCAAGTTTAATTTTCGAAATAGTACTCTCGAGATTTTTAGCTTAAAAAATCAATCAAAAAATTACGATGATTTCATCCTCAAGAATTAAGTCTCTATGTCTGCCGATTCAAAAGTTATTAAGGGTCAAAGTAGTTGGAGACTCAAACGCCCTTTTTGAACCAACGATTTTAAAATGAATTTTTAATTTGTAACTCGACCATTTGTCGCAACCGTTAAGGGAGACTAACGTTACCTAGATACTTAAAGTCAAGCAATCGTGCCCATATAGAATGATAAAGTGTCAAATAATCTTGCTATTTAACTAATATCCGTAAGCCCAATTTATGCAACTACCTCCTCACAACATGTAAATACGCGACTTTACATTTATAATAAGCAATTACATACTCTTCAAAGTCTTGTCAGTTTCGTCAACCAGCAGAATGCACAACCGAATTACTTTGAATCTCATGATTGTCGCCATTCTTTTCTCCCCGTGCCACGGTAAGCTCAGAAATCCTCATGTTTATGCAATCTGGTCACAAATGTCCATGTTTTTTTAGGGGTCTTATGCTACGATTGTGAATTGTGGAAAGAGGACAGCGTGAGGATATTGTTGGACAATGAAGAGGTGTTAGCGACCGTCACTCAATATACAGGAACACTGGCACCTCTAAATTATACAACAAAACCAGGCGGACCCCCAGAAACAACAGCTTATGTCCCCACAGAACCGCATACACAAGTAACAACACAACTCGATATGCATCCCATTGACAAATGGTTACGATTATTATTGGGCATCATGATAATTGAATATGGATTCAATAATTACGCAGTCGACCGTTAAGCCCTCGACGACGACGACGTCGACGACGGTGTTCGAGAACTCAGTTATTGAGTTAGCCGGGTGTGACGCCAAACGGGAAAAGTGGCTGGATGATGAGTGTCCCTCACTGTTTAGAGGTGTGTAAAACGCATGATAGTTTTCAGACATGTTGATGACGTTATAAATTTCAGTATTTATTTTTTTCAGCATGTTACAAACTGGAGGGGAAGGTGTATGCAACGATGGATAATAAGGTGGGCGTGTTCCAGGTCACCAAACGCGGCTGTTTCCACAACTCCTCTCGCCTTTTGGAGCAAGGCAAGGTGGGAGAGTGCGTGGACTTGAAAACGGGCACCGGTGAGGGCGAAACCGAAGCCGTGGCCCAACTCTGTGTTTGCGACGACAAAGAGTCCGGCCCTTGCAATGCAGGAACACGACTGACCACATGCCACGTCGTCACCTTCTCGTTTTTTAGCGTCCTTGTCCTTGTGACTCTTCGCCTGTGATCAGATCTCCGCAAATAAATTGGGGCCTTTTCTTTCAATGAATGCGTTGCTTCTCTGCGTGTATGTGAGAATTCTAATCCTGGAAGACTTCAAACTAGTGATTCTTAGAGATAATTAATAGACGATGTTTTTGGCGATTGGAGTCGGCCGTATCAAATTAGTGAAACCTACAACAAATCATTGTACAGTTTAATGAGCTAAATAGATGAAAAGTGTGTTTTTTAGTGTTCGCATGCATATGTATTAAAATTTCTACTGATATTTATAACAAACAATGGAGGACTCCGGATGCAATTTCCATAAACTGGACCCCTATTGATTCGCACAATATGCATAAGGCTGCACATATACATACGTACACATACACAAAGGGGACGATACAGTGGTGTTTGTAACTTATGATTATGTATCCAGATTACTGAATATTGTGTTTGCATGTGTGACCTACTTTTGGATATTTCATATTTCAATCTTGGACGCGTCTCTCATTATTCAACTTGTTTTCGTGCACATCAGTCTGTTGCCGATCGAACCATAAATATTAGAATCGAAACCTTATTGCAATTGCATATACATAATTCTCAATAATGGAAAAAATTCGCAAACCATTCCACTTTCGGTGCATCCCGAATCCCGATCCGAAAGTCTTTAAAATTATGAAATTGTGTCTACTGCTCGCTGCAGGTCGTATCATTTACAATCCAACTACCACCTACGCATCCAGGTTTGAAAGCAGATTGCAGTACGAGAACCACTGTGGTGATTTGGCAATAGCGTGTGTCGCAAGCTGTCCCGCATTTCGACACCGGTGCTACGCGTCACATGTTGCGGACAGCATTCGAGAAGCTACAGGCGCTACACCACTTCCCATTGTTCCAATCATTACGGTTCGCCTTTTGTTGAGATTTGCTTTGTGACGGGAATACGCTTGTGAGAAGGTGACGATCAATGGGTACAAAAATTGTGATTATTTTCATTCTCAGGGACATCCCTTGTTGCCCGAGTGTGTGGACGATAGTAAAAATCGGCGTTATTGTATCCGGGCGAAAGACCACGAGCGTCCGGACGATTGTTGTCCCGGGATGAGCTGTGTTCCTTTCAAGCACGTGGATGGAAGATCTTCAGTGCTTGGATACTGCTACTACTTGAACAAGTAGCGCAGGAATAAATTATGTTATGTAATTATGTAAGGGTGTAAAGTCGACTTTATTTATAGCACCACACTAATTTTATGATCAATATATGCACATCAGCTACCAGTAGCGTGCCAGTTGAAACACTCTCTTCCCATCTCATCAGCATATGGACCGTTGGCATTTTTAAGATAACTGCTTACTTGGATTTCCAGTTAGTGGTTCGACTAATCCATCATCATCGACGGAGAGGATTGGACAATAAATGTCAAACATTAGCTTTGATGGTACGGCGCCTGGATCAGGGGCGAACATCGGACTGTGATGAAAGTAAGATTTGTGTGCGTTAATAAAACTGATCCATCATAATCATCCCAGGCATCTGACAGACGCTCGCAGACCTAAAACAAAAGGTATTGTCCGAATCTGCCACATGCATGAGTGACATCTTTTCACCCACGATATGATGAGCACAATGTTGCACGGTGGTTGTCTCCAATCGCCACCTCGACTTAATTAAAATTGCACACAATTTATGTAATCCGTTAACTTGCAATGTGCAACTAGCTATGTGTGTTTGGGTGGCAGGTCCATACTTGTGAACGGGATGAGAATAACCGGGCACCGGGCGAATAAGATAATGTGACAATGACGAGTTCAATTCCTCTAATTTGACCAATGTGCTAATTCCAAATTTAAAGTGATAGTGCAAGTAATTGAATGGCGTGTCGTTGAACCATTAATTTTAGGACTACTCGATATGTATATATATGTGCATAAAAGTGGACTGAATAAGTTGGTTTATTTGGTGGCGATATCGTGAGAATGCTTTTAGTAAGCTATACAAGATTTAGGGAACCAGATGCAGAGTTTCTCATGTACCGGACACGACATGGAGGAATGGAATCGAAACGGAGATTCATTGGCAGATTGGCACATTCAGAGACCAAAACGACCACAATCCGTGAGCTGGTTTGATCACTGGAATAGGAAACTCAGGTAAATGTAGTAATATATAAAATAAAATAAACGTGTAAATTCCTGAAAATAGAACAATTCCACTTGCTTTCCCTGTAAATGCGGATCACAAAGTATTTTGAAACCAGTATTTAATTCGAGTGGTGAAAGCAGGCAGATTGAATGGGTACAAATATTGGTTAGTTTTGGGCACGCGACCAGACTCCGCCCCGACGGCGGATGCGTTCCTCCCTTTCTCCAGCCCCTTCCTTCCGTCGTCCCTGTCCCTACCCGATCACACAACCACCGGGCACTCGCAGCAGAGCATCTCCACCGAACTTTCTCTCTCTCTTCTCTCTCTCCTCTCTCGTATTTCTTGGCCCTTCTCCTGCAAAATGACACTCTCCTCGTAATTACAAAAGCACGTCACACACATCCAATTCACTAAATTAGAGTGAATTTAATTATTTGTAAAGTAGAGTGTTCAGGGTGACTGACGACGGCAGGGACGCACGTCGGTGTGAAGTGGTGACCCACGTCGAGACACGCGTCTCATTATTGCGTTTCCTCTATCGGATTATGTGTGAACAATGGTCATAAGTTGGATATCATAAATTAACTTGTGCGTGTGCATCACTAAACTGTATCACTCTTGTCGAGGGAGTGCAAATATTGACCTTCAATTATATTTTGTGTGCAGTGGTGATTGAAGTGAGCACTCGTCGTCGCCATGTACTCCACCGGAGGGATGGACCACTACGACATGGAGACGATGAACCGACAATTCTTCGAGTCCTCTCACTTTGAGATGATGTCCGACTCCTTCTACAGCAACGGGAGTCACCACGAGAGTTCCTCCACCGACATGGATGACGATTGTGGCGGTCTGTTGGACGATTCGCCGCGCTCCTCGTCCGCGCTCAGTGACCAGGAAAATGTTCGTACTCGGAGGAGAAAGCGCAGATGTCCGGCTCAGCAGGTTCAGCAACGGCAAGCTGCGAACATGCGAGAGAGAAAAAGGATGCAGTCCATCAATGACTCCTTTGAAGGTTTCTTTTTAAAAAATAATGACGTATTTTTACAGGGAAATAAGTAGAAAATTCTACGTGAGCTAAAAATTGCCTTGCAGGTCTTCGTGCCCACATCCCCACGCTCCCGTACGAGAAGAGGCTCTCAAAAGTGGACACGCTCAAACTGGCCATTGGTTACATCAAATTCCTCACAGACATGGCCCAGGCAGACCACGGGTCGGAGAACAAAGGCCCCGCACCAGAACCTCCGAAAAAGGTCGTAGTTCAAAGTCATAGAGGTAATTGCATATTGTGTCGCTTTGCTACATTTTCTAATTAATTTTGGTGCCAAGTACATGTGCATATTTATTATTATGAGACAACTGATGAGAACCCTCTTAAAAAGTCAGATGTACTGATGTTGTTACATGTTCCATTGATTTTTACTAGGCAGTGATTTCGGACCGGTCGGGGGTCATTCGCTGTCTTGGTCGAGCGAGAAAGGAGATCGGTACGGATCATCCGTGATGATTGCGAAAGTGTGGACTCCAGAAGATCCGAGAAACGGGCGATCCACAGGAGTTGGCGTTTTCCCAGATCCGTAACTATCCTCCTGATTAGTTCTAGTCCATAGAATACCCCCGAAAATAATTTATCCATGCTACCAAATGCACATCATCACTTACCATATGACCTTAAACCATTTTGAAATTTCAGCCTTGTCTTTCGAACCACTCTGTAACGAAAAATACTGTAAAGAGATGCAATTATTGTCACGTACATAGATTTTAAGAGAGTATGCAATGTAATTTTTCACTGTACATTTCAAACCTATGTTGAGAAAGGTATTGTTGTGCTGTCCGTGCTTTATGTCCTAGTCAATGGAACCTTAGATTACTGCAGTATATTAGCAAAATGGCAAATAAAAATGCTTCTATTTGAATGACAAAATTTCAGAAATTACAGGTTTTCAATTTCACACACATAAACGTTTTATTTTGAGGACACTTCATAGTCATTACACATAATTAGCGGATAATATCCACGATGGAAACCTATGTGCATATGCATTCGCTCTATAGTCTGGCATGAAGTTCATGAATGATATTCTGGGGAAAGGCTTTTGAGCGAGGCTGGAAGGAAGGAAGGTTGTTTGGCGGAGGAATGAGACAGGTGAAGAAGTTCTCACGGTGGTGGAGGTCGTCTTTGGAAAGGCCTGTCTCTCATATGAGATTGTCCTGCTGCTCCCTCCTTTCAGGGCTCCTTGCTTTCTCCTCTCTCGTGGGAATTATCACCGTTGTTGCCACTCCTGATGCAGCTCTTTCTTCCATCAAGACCGTACACTTGGAAGAAGGATCGATTTTGGTGGAAATTGCAAGTGTGCATGTACAAACGGTGAAATATTCTATCCAAGCAGTGGTGTATATACAAACTTCAGTAGAGTCCTAATTGTAGATTGCCTGTCGTTTGAGGAGAGGAAATGCATAGTTGAATCAGGGTGACAAGCATATGTTTCACCAGATATCATGTCATGTCACAGTTCACATCGTGTTTTTTTTACTATTTTATAGCAAAATTTCAAAGTTGAATCCTATTGCGAGTAAAAAAAATCACAACGGTACGTAATTTGGTGGTTCATGTTGACATGTAATTCGAAGCATTAAATAAAACCTTCTACCTATGCTGTTGTCCCGATTGGGTAAAGCAGCAAGTAAAGTTGGGAACCTAATTAACTACGTGAGGTATGCTATTGCACCCCTGCAATTATTACGGGCAGTACACATATCTGGTGGAGGTAGGAATAAGAAAAGACATCGCGTGAAGCAACAACCTCGGGAGACACATGAATCATAAGCGCCATTTACACGATTTGTTTGGCTGATGTATTGTCCCGTCTGGTGAAACTAAATGGCAGAGTCGAAATCGGAAACGGTAAGAATCAAGCAAACCAACTGGAGTGAAGGATAAGCGATCATCTGCCGATTTCATGCTAGTTTAGACAAACTAAATAATCATGCGTGTCCAACCGTTAACTTACAATTTAAGTTGAATCATTGGTGGCACGCGACCTTTCGTGACCCAGCAGTCAAATAATAGATCACTGCAGGCAGGTATCACATGCAGTGCATTCCTCTCAGTATTTTATTGTTGTGACTCAAACCAGCAGATTTTAAATATTTGTGGAGAACGTCGATAAATAAAAATTTTCTCTTTGCTTACAAATAGGGAAATTTGAGACTGATTTTGTCCTAAGTCTTTAGATTCGCAATTTGTTCTGTGAAAATGTATGCACACGAGCCCATCCAACTTTTCAGTTGGACGACACCGTCATATTTGTAGTGTATGCATATCTAATTCCCTTTATGCCACATCCATCCCTGTTAAGCCTTCACTTTATTAAGCAGATTTACAGCTAACCCCGACAGAATTAATAGAGGATGTCATCGTCACCTTGCTCACACCTGTACAGCGATGACGACAGATTGATCGGACCGGAAATCGGGGAGACCAACCCCTACAACCCTCACCCACGACCCGTCGGCCACTTTCCTTTGTCTTCTCCTGCCCAACCAAGATAAAAAATGGGAAAGATGAGTCCGCAAATGGATTTCCACTTCCTCATTGGTGGATCTAATTGTTAATTGAGTTTTGAGTGCCCATTCCGGCTTCCGAGGAGAACGCTGTTTGCATTTTGAGGAAGCAGGGAACGGGGCAGCTGTGTAAAGATTTGCTGTCCGAGCCTCCTAAAATAACAACGCTTGGCACGAACCGATCCGTCCAATGGAAACTGAACACACTTTATTTATTTGCAATTGTTATGTTTCTCCTCATCCACAAATATTTTGTTTTTATACTTTCGCTTTGAAATGATGCTTAACAAAACAAGGTCCGATTTTAAATTGAGCTATTTATAGTTTACTTCGCACTTCTGCTAAATATGCTAGATTTCGATGAGTCCATAGTCATTTTGTGTGAGGAACATTACGTTAGACGACATTTTAAATTAAATTACAGGCCCATGATCAATACGACTTGGGATGAATGACATGGTGGAATTATTTTCATTTTAATTCATTCCAGTTAGACAAGAGAAATGGTGAATGGGTTATTTCCTCCTCGCTACGTGGACTGCGTGAGGGTGATGGTAAATTGTGTGACGAAGCCAACCGGGTGTTCGGAGACATGGGAGGCGAGACCAATTAAAAACTGGATTAAAAGACTTTATTGTTGAGAGGTACCACCAAGCACCACCGCACAACTGCAACCGTATCAAAATCCCTGATTTCGAGGGAAGTCTTTGGAACCCACCAAGTCTAAATGATTCCATGCGAATATCAAGATGCTAATTTTTTGTCTCTGGACGACAAGTTGGGGATACATCTCGAATTGTAGGATACATATTTATCTGCAGATGTATGCATGCAAAAAGTGGTGGATAGATTTCTAACTACAAATTGTGATGAAAAACGTGAGTCTTCTAGTTTACTTATAGGAGAAATGGTGCATGTACATAGATGAGATTTGAGATAAGATATAGCGTTGCGTTCTTTGGGGTTGGGCGCTAAACAATTGGTGCTAATTTCAGCTGAAGCAAGTGTGTAAATGTGAACAGAATGATGTTATTGTGCTGCCCGGGGAAGAATAATGGTGCACGGATGCGGAGGACGATTTTGGTTGGTGAGTGAGGGTGCGTATTTAGGTCCCTTTCAACAAAGGTAAGAAATGATGCGTGACCTGATTGATTAGCTCCGCAAGAATTATGTACATTCGCAACACAATCGGGGGATGAGGCCACGAATTTCATGTTCCATTCATCATTCGGGGACTTTCGAAAATGAAAAATGCGTGTTTCGAAAAGAGTTTTGGTCATCATGTGATTCGGGGCGCTCTGCAACGGTAATGATTTATGCCGGCCCAAAATATATTAAGAATGTTATTTAGCGTGGTGAAAATTAAAACACTGCACAAACCCTTCCTCGAATATTAGCTAAATTCACTCAACAAAAAACTTGAGTTAGCATGGATGCGAATAGGAAAGGTTGCATGCAGGCATCGGATGGACTCTTGAATGGCATTTGATCCAGATTTCGCTGGATTTACGGATGATGAGACCGACCGAAATGTTGATATCGTCCAAAGGTGCAACAAACACTTGATCAACTAGATTGGAATAATGTGATGAATTAGAACCCAGCTGTGCCCAGTTTACAAATATCCGACTAATCCGGATTGCGCTTTCATTTCATTCATTTTTTTATCGTCCAGAATCATTCCAGTTTTTACACTATTCAAATCTGGGCACTCGAGCTGGGATCATCAGAACATTATATACTGCGATCCGAATTTTGGAAGGGTCTGCAAATATTTTAATGATTTATTTACTACTTTTCTACGTATGTACATATATGTCCTTACATATTTTACCTTGATGTTGATGCATTTTTAGATTAAATTAGTACCCAAATCGTTATAAGAGCTCATTTCCAACAAACATGGAGATAAATATAAAGCTCTCGTTCGACACCTTCGCTGATCCACACCGGGCCCCAACAAAGGAATAAATGGGCTTGAGGTCGGTCGAGGTTTGTCATGAGCCCACATTTCATTGTTGTCCGTGGTGGTGGGGAGGAAGCCCTTTGATTGAGTTTCGGATTGATTACTCACTTCCTGCTCCAGTGCACTGACAAAGATTCCACGCAGCAAAAGAGCCCTTCAGCTCAGGCACAGTTCACCCCACCATCAATTACTTCAAAGCAATTCCTCATTTGTCTTATCCGCTCTCGTTACATCATAATTCCAAAAAAGAGGTACGTTTTATTATTTTTATTATATCATGCAGACGTACATGAAACTGGAACGCATCGCGATCTCTGTACCCTGCAATAAAATAATGAAAGACAAGATCCTGCTCAGGGCTGTGAGTGAGTGACTTGATGAGCGTGCGTGTGGATGTGTGGTGATTCTGATGATGATTATTTTCCAGGGCCTCCCGTGACGAACGAACTCAAAGATTTGCAAACAGTTAGTACTTTCCTTTATGCGTACAAAACACCTGATGTTCACTGGATACAACAAACAAATAAGTACAATAACACGAGTTAGGTCGCTCATCAGACGACCCAAAGCCAACAATGCCCTTCAATTAACAACTAATGGGAATATTGAATAACAAAAAGCTGACAAAAGCCATAAACGGATAACACTTTCCCTTGCATAACGCGCAGAGTCAAGTCAGACGAGTATTACTACTTATGTACTTGTGTATGCATGTAAGTAAGGGCAACAACCCATTTACATCGCTTAAACATCAGTATTATTATTATAAAAATGCAGTCATCTGCCACAAAATGAGTGAGTTGTTGTAAATCTGACATGACATGGCACTGACCTGAAGCTCATCGATTATTATTATGTCACTCTTATGGGTGGGATGGATGTACTTTTGAGCTGTGCACATGTTTCCACAAATCCACACAATGGCTGATTGAAGGGATTGGTTTTCTAAAAATGTGGAAAACATGAAACATAATGCTGAATCATCTTGTAAGTCCAGCTGCCAAATGTCAAAATTATTTTTATTTTTGATGTCATACTGTGATTGTGGAGGGACAATATATCCGTATTTCTTCATTACATAACCTAAACCTCAGCCCAAGAATGAGTGGTAATAGTTTAGGATGTCAACGATCATTACTATTATTACGTATGGTGGGATTCGATTAATTAACTTCCGACTTCCAGTCAACCCTGATCATTCCTAATTTACTGCTAATAATGGGTAATAGATAGGATTTAAGCAATTCAAGAGTTATCCAACTAATTGGAAGCTGAAATAGAAATTGGGAAAATTGAGACTGCGCAAACTCTGGTCGACACTGAGGATACCTGCGCTGTTCCACATGAGTAATGATATTTGTAGTTTACTAAAGATTTCCCTGACACGAAGAAATGTGGTGAAATTTTTAGATTACGAAAATCTTGGTCATGAAGAGACGACCACTAATTCAATCAAGTTGTTTCAAAATAAATGAGAAATTAATGAAACTCAAGGAACGTTGGTCGTTGGTAAAAATTTGACGAATCATTGGCTAACGGTTTTTCAATCCAATGTCCAATGTTTGACGAAAAACTTATTTCAATGGTGGCTGATTTTACATAAGGCTTTTGAAAATCCCGAATCAAAATTAAATTTACTCGTGGACATGTTGCAACTGTTGCAAGCGTTGCTCATTTCGAGCACAAAATAATGCAAATCCTCCACGGCTTGGTTTGGGGTTGGATACCATCAACAATGGGCAAGTTTTTTGGACTGCAACAGATTAAAAAGAACTTGTCACTCAACCCAGTATCCGATTACGTCTCAACTTTTTTATATTTACTCTTTTGCAATCTGCGAATGAATGAGAAAGAGTTGAAAGGGTTCGTCTCGTCACTGTCACCGTTCTCGGAGATTTGTGCACAATTAAAAAATGAGCCACACCTGCGACTCACGGTTGCCGCGTATGTACATTGTACGTACAAATTTACGTAGATATTTGACAGTGTTCCTGACAAATGTTAAATATATTGCACATTATTTCCACTAATGTTTATTTATAATTAATGATTTAAGTCAAAATCAACAACCCCATTTGATCATTATGAATTTTAGACTTAACACACTTGCAATGTTCCCAGATTAGCTTGACAAAAAACATGAATTATTTATTTATGTTTAATTTTAGATGCTAATGCCAAATGGACAACTGATTATTGCTTGAGGTTCATTCGGTATTTACTTATTATCTTATCAGAGCTTATTTTGATAAGTATGAAGGATTCCTCGCCAGCAGAGTTTCAAGATCATTTTTGGACGGTATATACTTTGGTCAATATAAATCCTTTGGGTATTTGTGGTTATTATCGATGTGCAGAATCGTACAGAATCGCCAAGCTGAATAATTATTTACTGCTGTTATAAAACCACCATCTATCATTCGCCAAGATGGCTGGATTCACAAAACAAGGTCACGACGCATCTGTTCAATTTGTGATCGACAATAACGTCACTTTGGGTGGAGGGAAACTTCAAGAAATTTATAACAACATCCGAGAAATAATTACCATCAGCCGTGCCACCGTACGCTTTGGCATATTTGTGACCAGTCCCCAGTCAAGAAGGCTCGTTTCAGATTTGAAGCCCAAAATCAACACCAACAACATTTGGCAGCAACTGAGAGGGTCGGAGGCCGCAAAGCAGACTAATTTCTACGATGCTTGGGGTCTGGCCCTTAATGAGATTCAGTATGATGGTAAATGCATTTCTCGTACGGAAAGATTCCAGAGTTTAATTAGATAATAAGACAGCTTTTTTGTGTTTCTTGGTAGAAATGTCCTACTCTCATCTCGTGTTGTGCACGAACGGGGTGGACACGACGTCCTTCATTTACAATCTGGACTCGGTTATTAATCTTTTGAACCAAAAGTTGGGGCGGAATCCAAAATTGCGAGTGACGCTGATTCAAGCCGGGCCACGCAGTGTCCTTACGAACGCTCTGCAAACCAAGTGCCCGTTTGGAGACAGATGCAGTTGCATCACTGTTCAAGACTCGAATGCTGGAATTCGATCCGTGAGCTTAATAAAATAATAAGTACAAATAATGATTTGTACAGTCAGGCTAAAATAAGTGTATTCTGAGGTAGGGGTTTGAGCAAGTAAAGGCATATGCTAGATTGGAATTGGTGCAAATTTCACCTTACACAGAAGTAACGACTAATTTAAACGCGCTGTCCTTCGGAGGTTTAAGGGGCGCTAAGGGAGGGGCCCAAGTTCAGAGCTATGCTGCTCATAATAATCTTGGTCAAAGTGCATTCATTCAAAGCCACTTGGCTACGTCGGCTGCCGCAAAAGCAAATTCTAGCAAATTTAGTCTTATACAAGCCTCCAAAGGTAGATAGATGCACATTATTTTAATCGTGTGCGCAAGACACCGATGACTAATTTTAATTATTTAATAAATAAATGAATTCTCAATGTACAGAGAAAGTCGTCAATACGACACCGCAATCGTACAAGGTCTGGGTTGGTAATCTCCCCATGGTAAACCAATCTCTGATTTTGGACTATCTGAAACAATGGGGTAGGCACAATCAATTATATTCATGAAATTTCCTCACAATTTAAGAATAAAAAATCAAGAGAACCTTTGCTCCCTCCATTGATGAATGTGTACTTTCGTAGGTGGATGCAAAATCGAGACAATTAATGGATGTCCGACACAGTGGGCAGTGGTGGCTTATGAGAATCAGAGTTCTGTCGAATATGCTGTCAAATATGGCAACGCTTCCACGTTCAGAGGACAAGTGATCAACATCAACAAAATTTAAGAATCTAGCAATAAATTTTTTTTGCACAATGATAATTTTTAATCTTGATATTTATTTCATTTATTTTTTTTTACATTTAACTTGTTTAATTGTTTCATACAATAAGCTTTTCATAATTAATCTATTTAATCAACACATAAAAAATCAACAGTTATTAACGACGCATCTTAACAGATTTAACAAATTATACGGTAAACAATAATAGTATGATCCTATTAATCAATTTGGGTGTATGCACGTGTAATTGGTCAATTATAAATACATAAATAGTTTCTAGTTAGCAATAGCACGGCACTCCTCGTACTTTTACTTCACTTTTAATAACTACTTTCACAGGACCAATACCCGAACGTGGTCGTTAGGAATACAATGATTGTAATTGCAATAGTAATGCATAGTTTTAGGAATATTCTGTTTTCTATTTCAATTTTTATACGTTTTTTGGCACTCGTCAATTCAATAATTAATAGTTGTGAATCGTCAAGCCTAACCATGAAATAGAAAACTGTTATTGTCCGCCGAATTATTTTATAAAAAAATGTTTGTGAAATTTTTAAAAAGTGCAAAACATGTTCCGATAATAATAGGCCACGTATTACTGAAAGTCTCTTCAATGTGCATTTGTTTACGGTAAAGACAGTTCATTCATTTACATATTTAGTGCGTACATACTTGCGTAAAGGCAGCATTAAGCAGTGTAGTTGATTCAATTGTCGAGCTATTCGTAAAACACAAATCCCCTCGATAACAAATTGAACAGTGACAGATTGAAATACACGACGACATTGTGCATAAATTTAGCTTCGAGATTCGACTACAATGCGATCATAGCAGTTAAATACATTGCATAAATAATTAAATATAATGCATTTGCCAACAAATGACAGATGCAGAGACTTGTGTTCAACCTTGTTAAATATTCTTTGATTGTTCAATAATTAAAATTGGTAAAATAAACGTCTCATTGTTCCAGTCGTAATTAATTAAAGACAATGTGAGCGGACAAATGAGTGGAATCGGCACGTTTGGGAACTGGTGGGGGTGGTTTCTTGTTTCGGAGGTGTACAGCATCATATTGATTACTCATTGGCTGTTGACTTTTTCTTCCTTGGAAATTTTCATAAATGATGAGTCCAGGGTTTTGCATCTGGCCTTGATGATTTTGTACAGACTGAAGGGGAGGAGGAGGGAAGAAAGCAACGGGATTGCTTTGGAGTGGAGGAAGTGGTGCCATTGGGTATTGGGGTAGCATCTGGGACTGTTGTGGCTGTGGCACCAAGTTGTTGGGCATTGCGTACGTTATTGAAGAAGTTGACGATCTCTGAGGAGGGGGCGGTTTTGGACTAGAAGGTACTTGGCGAGGTATTGTCGTGGCTGTGTTGTTGTTCGCATTCGGAGACGATTGAACTAATTGAGGATTCATACTTGGCAGATCCGCAATTGTGTTTCCGTAATGCTGCGAAACCCAAGCTTGGACGTGACTATTGTTGACGGGAAGAGGGACCATTGGTTCGCCGCCTGGTCCAAAATGGTTTTCGCCATTTAAACCGACAGCACCAACGGTTGCAGCATCAGGTGCAAACTTAAATCCCAGTACTTCTTGAGGAGTCGTATTCCTATCTGTATGACACTTCTGGGCTACTTGCCACTTTTTCTGCATAACTCTGCAAATTGAATCAACAAACGATTTTAATTTATTGTCATTTGTATTTATGAAATTTGGATAACATGTAATCTGGTCGGCTATGTAAACCAAACGAACAGGATGAAGAGGAAGAACCAGAGACAATAAACATAGTAATTCCGATATGTTTAATGTAAAAAAAATTATTTACCTTTGCAAGTCAGTCAAGAAGGCTTGTGGAGGCTCTTCTAATTTATTGGGAAGACTAGAATTGGACCCAATAACGGGTAATGATTCGTCTACTACTTGTGTTTCCTCTTGGAAACTGACCGTTTTCTTTGGGGATTCGTGCTTAGATGTGGAACCGTAAATGGGATCAGCGGTTCTGATTTTGAGTCTCTCGGTGAGTTCTGTTGCAAAGGACACGCCTTTCTTTGGTGGGGCACATGGAGGATTTGGGATATTATTGGGCACGTTAAATGGTGGGAGTGGCTTTTGCGAAACGTTCGTCATGAGAGACATTGGTGGTGGGGGTTGCAAGGCCACACTATTCGCATGTGAGGATGAAGAATATATGGAATTGTTGTCGAGAACCATAGTTGAATGAGGTTTTGCTGGCGGAACAGGCGGTATTCTGCTTGGTTTTGGGGATCTATCTCCAGCTAAGAGTCCAGTCAAGAGTTCTGGAGGAGGAGGTGGCAGACTGTCGTAATCGATGACATCTGCAGATTCTTCAGCAACTGGAGCTTGTTTTGGTGTACTCGAACACCGTTGCAACGATCCAGACGGAGGCTTTCCTTGAGAAGAAAGTTGGGATCTTGTCGCCGTCCCATGTTGCTGCTGTTGTTGTTGATTATGATTGGGCATGTTGTTTGCATAGATCTGTGAGGATGCTGAAGAATTCGAAGAGGCAGAACTGTTACCGCTGAGACTTCGTTTCCTTTGCAGCGTCATCGTACCACCGTTGTTGCTTTCTCCAGCACCGGAATTTACGTTAATAAAGTCACCAACAATGGAACGAGTGTTGAGTGTTAGAGGAAGTTTAGGCATGAGTCCTGTGGAAGGTTTCCGTTTGATCGTTCCACCAACAGGACAATCGCTTTCAAAGCCTTCTTCTCTGGACAAGCTGGGTGGCGGAGGAGGCATCTGCGTTAGAAATTAGTTTGTTAAAACCATCAAAACTATGTGTATATGGAGGAAATGGAGTAAAGAAGTTAATTACATTAGGATCCACAGCGATTAATCTAGTTTGACCCATTACTTCCTCTGGAATACTTCTGCAGTTGTTGTCTTGTGGAATTTGATTCGAAAGAGTAACTTTCATTTGTGAGTCTGGCTGGGTCATCCCGTGCTGATTGATGTTCGGTTGAGGCATGCATGCTAGAGAAACACTGCGACCGAATCTGTCCAAATCCTCGTGAGCCAAGTCTTCCTGTAAGGTTCGATAGTTTTCCCAAAGTTGCTTCCCATACTGCAAGTAATTAATAAATGTAGTTTAATTAAAATTTTAAAGGGGTAAACGAATTACTATTTTCTAAAACAATCCTCTACATAAGTATATACATAGACCGTTCAGTAATATGAAAAATTAGTTGATAATTTGAAAAGCTCACCTTTGCAATTCTCAATCCAGTCATCCACATTCGGAGCGTGTCGGGGTCTTCAGCGCACAAATACTTCATGTGACGATGTGACTTTACTTGAAGTCTTTCGGGTTTTATGACAAATCCGAATTCCGTTGGAGCTTTAAACTTTTTTCTCCAGCCGACTCCTTGGTAAGCCTGTGTGCAAAAGAAACAAGGAGATGAGTGTCACCACAAAACATTGAAACAAGTTCACATGGGGAATAATCCACCACGATGCGGACATGTTGACATCATCCTTTTCCAAACAACGCAACCGAGAAGGAGCAGCAATAAAGATTTGTTTGGGGATCGAATGTTTGTGATGATGAGCTTCGGAGATATGAAGGGAGAAGCCGCAACACGAAAGGATCAAGTCTCCAGTTTATACTACGCTCTTCCGAAACGTGATTTACATTGCTCCACACGGATTTACGATTTCACAACATTTTGTCAACAGAAATTGCAAAAGCAACGACGATTATTTTGTCAGTAATCTCGTTGAAACCAAACTTAAACCGAGGTACAACACGAATTGTTTTGCTGTCGGCGGATGAATTTGTACTGGGAGAAAATAGGAGTGGGATTTTCACTCTGTTGCTGCATTGGTACATCTGCATACCTGCTGGTTGTGGTCGATGGGGGTGAGGCAGACGAGATCCTTTGAGGATTTCTTGTAATAAATCCCCGATGCCCTTAACGTAAACAGAAACTTCTTCCAAGCTTTCTTCCCTTCCGCCTTGAGATACAGCACGCTCTCCACTTCAGGAACGCCGACCCCACCGTGATTGAAAAATTCCTCCACCAGTGAATTCTTGGTGTGCTCATCCAAGCAGTCACCCGGCTGTGGAATTTTCTCCCCCAGAAAGTATCGCTGGGCTGTATACAAGCATCGATAAAGTTAAAAAGTTATACGGATTGGATCAATTCCTGCTCAGGATCAGTTCTGACCACTTGTTGAGTCAGTGCAGGTGCCCGACACTGAGCAAAAAAAGAGTCAAAGTAAAAAAAAATAATCAAAAAACTGATTTACGATTGAGGAACATGTCGTATTTGTCGTCCTTCTCCATAAAGTAAATTTTGTTCTTCGAGTCTCTCGGCCACATGAGTAGATTTTCAACCATGTTCTCATGGTCCTCAAATATGCGGTCTACGAAAAAAAGAAAAAGTTGTAGCAAACACTTAAATACGTTCTTTAAATATGCAAATTATCATAAAACACGAGTCTTAAGTCGTCCTACTTACCCATGTGAAGATGAGGGAGGTGTTCTACCAGGGCCCACTTGGACGATAATGTGACGTGATTCTTATCGGACAGAAGGGCCAGCACTCGACCACATGTCATGGATTCTGTAAAGGTAGTATAATTATATAAATTGAAAAGATTCTCTGTCCGGTGATAAATATTTTTTTAATGGATAAACAATGCTTACCATCCACCATCAGGGCTTTACTGCTCCCGTCCAAGGAGAAAGCTTTCACGTAGAGTCGAGTCACCGACGCCGCTCGCATCTTTGCCAGTGCCACGCGGATTTTCTCTGCTTTCTCATCCTGCACAAAATAAATTCCATATATATTGAAGGAAGACTGGTGGGTTTCGTCGTCGTAAATTACTTTAGTGCTTCACACCACCCTCGCCTTCATGTAGCACAACATGTAATGACAATGCCACAATTATTTATGGAAGCAACCCACCACTACTACAAACAACCAACCAACCTGCATACCAACGGAACAACATGGATGAAAGCCTCAAAAGTCATAAATAATTAATTGTTCATGCAAAGCGTAGATTATTGCACGTAAGCTTCAGCTGGTAGATACAAACCACAGCAGACGTTTTGTTGCAATAAATTCATAAACTTACAGGAATAATACTTTCCTCGGCCACTAATCGCAATCGAGCAGTCACTAGATCCGCTAACTAAACAGCACCACATAAAATTTAACCAAGGTAAGAAAAATCAGAAGAGCAACCCAAAGATTTATAAATAAGAGTCGGATAACAATGGAAATTATACAAAACAAAGCACCCACGCCCCGTAAATTTAAATAATCTAAGAACCCATTAAGACGATGTAATAGTCTAATAATAATTCATGTATTGCGTAATAAGAAAACTAAACTAGGCACAAGATTGAGACTATTGCAAAAGGGGAGCTGACCTCTGAAGCGTGTAGGACATTGGTTGGAGGTGGATTAGATTTGTTTAGGGCACAACTGGTGGTGCTGCTCCCACTGCTGGAGCCTGCGGCCGACAGAGAACTTCCGCTGGACAAGAGGGACGCATTGTCAGAGAATCCAGAGTCATTATCCGGACTGTCTGTCCTCACTCCTGACATCATAAATAGAATTACATATTAGGACATATTTCAATCAAATGTGGAAGTGTGCTGTAAAAGAGAGAAAGCCCGACGAAACATAATCTGGAAGACATGACTTTGCTCTTGAAAATCTCTTCAAGTTCACTTCCTTTGAATATCTCGGGATGAGGACGACGTGTGATGAATTGAAACTGGAAATGTCCGCAGACTGAAGTAACAAGTATTTTAGTTGGAAAAGTCGAGATTCCTTAGGACTTTCTCTCGTGGAGAGATTTCGTGAGACATGAGAAGCAAGCCTCATCATGAGCCAGAGGGAAGTAGTTCGAGATAGAAATGTTCTGTTCTTATCTTTCTACAGCACAAAAACTTGATGAGAATAATAGTGCACACTCACCACTTTCATGTGCTTGGCCAGCAGAGCCACCAGCACCACTATTTTTGCTCTCGGCTGTAGGAACTTCCAGTAAATTCGGTTGTTTAATCTCTCTGTCCAGGCTCATCTGAAGGGCTGAAAGTTCTCCCAGGATCGCATTGAGCTCGTCTTCTTGTGTGTCCTCCAGTGTGGCCTGTGAAAATCGGAATGGGTCAACAGGCCTGGGTTCCATGTCCTAGAATCACATAAAAATCATGGCAGATGAGTCAAATGTTACTTTTGAACGCTCAAATCAAAATAAATCATCCTTAACAAGGTTGGAATTTATTTTTTTCAAGATTTCTATGCATCAAAAGAAATCCGGCGTCGTAAGTGTTCAAATACTCGCAACGGTTAAGATGGAATTGAGAAGGCGATGCCCTCTTTTTGTAATATCTAACAAACCAGCCAAGTATATGCACTTGCACTCGAATTGCCTATCTTATCAGGAAAGGTTGAATGGTTGAATAGGAATCTGACTGCTTCTCCTTCGCCATTAAGCTGTCAAAACACTTCCATGAAAATTAAGCCCACTGCACAGCTCTGTCCAATATATGTGCAGGATCTATGGCTCTGTCCTGCATGCCCTTCACGCTTGCACTGTAAAAAATGCTTTCTGCAGATCCTATCGCCGGTGTGCACTTGAAATAACTAATGCAGTACAACTTTCCAAGTTATTTTAAATCAATTATACAAAACACATTTGCAGTTAGTTAATAAACCTTAAAACAAATTACCATCATGGCGTAAGTAATTGTCTCACACATGATGAGCCAAAAATTTATTATGGATCACAAAACTGAATCCAAGTCACACATGTTTAATAATTCCACAATGACACAAAAAATGAGCACATATTTAGGTAAAACTTTAAGAGCAGGTTGTGTTTGAGCAGGAGGTGAACAGAAGAAGAGGTTGATTAACTCTGATCCGCATAAAAATGGGGAGATCGAGATGCGAAATGCAAAGCGGATGAAAGATGACTAATAGCACGTCCTCGTCATCGTCTCACTCTTTCTTCCCACAGAAGACCGGATTGCAGCATCACAACACTCGCAGCATTTATCGAGCATCATCATCATCACTTTGACAGATTAGATTTGCACACCTTGCTTTCTTAGCATTGACAAAACTGCCTATGCGTCGTACTCGTCAAGTGAAGCAAGGTGAGCAAGAACACGGGTAGAAGAATGAATTGGTTATCAGAGCTGAATACATGGCAATGCATTGCATTTCCACGCCATGTTAGCATTCTCATCCAATTACTCACTGTTCTATTATGCAAGCAGAACGGTGTGTACTATACATCTTGAGATGCAGTTTAGTGGATGGATACACCAATACAGAAGAGTCGTGCCTTTCTTAGATCTCGCATCTATGCAAATTGCCGTAATCACGTCACATTGTTTGTTATGGGGGAATCTGTTTTTTTTCTTTATCATAATGTTGAAATGAGACATTTTTTTACTAACTGGTGAAATAAGCGAGCCTCTAATTAATGGACGAGAATAAGGACAAAAAAGACAACACCAAGTGTTTATTCGCGCAGTGAGAAAATCACGAGTGCGTTAGAATAATGGGATAACAGAACTTGAGCAAACTTGCAAAAACAAAAGATGTTGAAGGATGTTGCTGAGAAATGGAAACTGTAACTGCTTTCGTATAAATGGTTTAAGCCCAATCGTAATAAATATGTCTTGCAGATGCTCAGAATAGTGATTATTTTATTGCAGATGTGCTTACATATCAATTCCTAATCTCTAGAAAAACGCTGTGGCTGAGATAAATATGCACCGCTATGGGCAAATCAATGGGTTTATACAATTAAATTAAGCTGATAAAGGTGTTATTCTGCGGAGATTGATGATCATTAAGAAAAACATGAAGAAGAAGAAGAAGAAAACATAAATCACTGCACGAATTCAATTTTTAAGTTGCTTCTTACAGCAAAGTTTTGTGCGGAAGGGGAAGGAATGCGTTTTATAAAAATTCAGGGGGAACGGAGTGAACACAGTAAATGCATTATGATAAATGCGTCCTTATAAAATGGAATTGTCACCGTCACTCGTGAGACGAGGGGGGTTCCAGGGAAAGAACAAGAGCGATGGGGTCGGGGTGACGGATGAAGGGTGCGGGCTGAGTGAGACGGGAATATTTTATTCATTTTATTACACTTACGCACAAAATGCAAACATTTCTTTGAAAGTGAGAAATGTGCAACGCAAATCATTCAAATTTTCGGAATCACTAAAACTTTAGGACGGTTAATATATAAAGTTGCCAACTCTGTTAACGGAGAAATTATTCATTATTAGATCAAAAGCTTTAAAAAACTCGCAGAATGTTGGACCGAACACGAGGACAGAGTCAGATCCGTCAGTTAGACGACTCTCTCAAAAGTTAAGATATAAATTATTGCCAAACTAACTTTTGATTTGCCAAAAGTGAAAACTTATGATTTCTAACATATTTTATCCGCATGCAACATATTTTTCAGTCAAAATGACCGAGAAACACATACCGGCTGCTGAAATCCTTCATCCTCTGAATCATCCGAATCCATTGCAGAGATTCGAGGCGACATTTTAATTAACTTTATTATTAATTTGTACTTTCTCCTCGATATTTTTCAATCTCAACTTTTCTGGCACCGCTTTCTCTTGCCAGGCAAGAAGGATGGCTAACCAGGGTGGGAAGCTGACAGGAAAAAATTGCTGATTTCTTTTGTTGCAGCAATTCTCGTCTCACTCATTCATTTCACGCAGTCTTTCTCCCAGCCACGTACATAAATGCGTACGTACTATGTGCACGTATGACCCAAAGTCAACTCGCACGCAAAGGAAACTGAAAGTCACGCTAAAGTTACAGAGTCAGATAACCCGTTAATGTACGCCTTCTTGACTTGTAAGTTTAAATTGAATTGTACAATTCCACACCACACCAAGTAAAATTTGACGTGGACAAATGTGTCTGATTCTTTTGCAGAGTTTGCTGCAATTCACTACGATTTACTCCAGCTGGATGCCATTGCTTTGTATATTTTTCTTCTTGTTTTCTGCAAACTGAGCAATTTGTTCCAGCTCAGAAGTAATTTTTAACGATTCACGACGACAAAGGGAACGTAATTCCGCTTCTGATACGCACAACTGATCTGTGGCTGTCAACAAGCTACAGATTCAAGATTGACGGAGTTGGCTTGATCTCAACGAAGACCACGACGACGAAGAGCAAGTTGCAAACAAAGCAATGAGTCGAGAGAGCAAATGGAGAATCTCCAAATCAGATTCGGCGGAAGGAGAGCCACTACTGCACGAAAGTCGTCTATGACATTGCTACCCGAAACACTGAGGCTTCTTTTACCACGTTTTTTGCGACATGAAACGACGACGACCATTCGCTTAAGCGTTTGACACTCTCCATATTTTTTGCACCCTTGCCACAACACGATTTCTTTCTTATAGCAGAAATTGCTGGTGGTATACGGCGAGAAAAACTTGGTAGAAACACTGCTGCTCCCGTCACAAAGGAAGACGAATGAGTCATTTGTTCATCCATGAAATGAGAGCGTTGTACTTTGTCTCGAGTCAGATTTTCAGATTCAAACATCACCCACAAACTCCACACCCACGCACACTTTTTGATGCTTAATGTGATTACTTGAATCCAAACTAAAAATTACTTGGCTGGGCTGGTCCCATTAAATTAAAACTCGATGTGCTCTCTCGATTCAAGAGTTACGACTCAATATCCTACAATGGGTTCGGCCGTCCAAACAAAGTCGATTTTATATGCACAAGGGTGGATCGGGTTGACTGCTTGGAGTGATATCGACATCTGATATCGGATACCCAATCAGACGGATATGCACAAAAAATTAAAAGTGAATGCAACAACTGCAGCCTCCCACGCAATTTGTCCATAAATCTGCGACCGGGCACAGAGTCAGACGGAGCACAGATCTGGGTGAATTGTAACAACGACACTCGAAGTTTGAGTCTTGATTCAAGTATCGGATTAAATATTGGGTTTCAGTCAGGTCGGTTATTGAGGGTGGAACTGTTTAATAAACCTGAATTAGAATAAAGTTGATTTGATGCATACGCTGTTGCCGATTACTATTCACTGAATGAATGATGGATTTCAACCAAATTATTGGGCGGTGGTGGTGGTGAACGATGTTGGATGTGGTCGGTCTTCGATTCCATTACACGGCCAATCGCCCTTCAGTTGCCGTCTCATTTCCTCTCAAAGATAAGAAGGAGGAAGAATTAGCTCCACAACTTGTCCATACTACATACGCGTATGTATTGGATGGAGGCAGCAATAGAAGCGAGCACCACAATGATAATGGATCACCATACACGCGGAATGTTTCCCATTTCCTAGCAAAGCACTTAGAAGTCCGTCAAAGTCAAGTAAGTCTGAAGGATATGTATCAAAATATCAAGAAATCCGACACTTTCTTCTCCCTCACAATAAGAACTTTTATACTACTTGGCATCGCATTGAAATGGTGACTGGTGAGCCTTTTCAATGCCTCTCGCCATCATCCACTCAAGACCATTTGATCTCACTTTAGCCAAGAGCAGAAATTCCGGAGTGAAGGAGCGATACACTTTCTCGTAGTTGCAGTACGTACGCACTGTATTATTTATTATGCGTGCTGCTGAATGAGTTGGAAGAGGTTGGCTTGAGATGCTGTGCTCTTGCTCTGCTGGGAGAAAGCAGGAGAGGGGACACTGCTTGACATCAAAAGTAGCAGCGTTGGAGAAAGAAAGTAAATGCTGGTGAATAAAAAAAGGTGAATAAACATCCGGTGGTGGTGGAGAAGAGGAATCTGAATCACCAAAACCGCACAACCTCCCGGTGTTCGCTGCACTATGCGATGCACAGGAAGAGGAGAAACCCGGGTAGTGTACGGTGTGTACCGTGTCCAGGCAAGAACTGAGCAAAACCAGTAAACGTAAACAGGGAAGTGGAAAACGAAAGTTCGGGCAGGCAGGAGAGAGGAAATAACGCAATACGCATCACCAACACGGGGCACAGAATGCATCACACCGTCATTTTCGCATGCAATGGATGCAATTTGATTGCTTTAGGGTGCACCAAAGAGTGTGAAACTACTTGTAGTGCACCCATCAAGTATCTCCGACTCCAATAATGCAACATTATCGCGAAGAATATTTCTTCATTTCGCAAAATACGTATCAATATCAAAATGTGCATGTAGTACATCTACGTATCTATGTAAAGGGATGCCAAAGTTAACGAAGGCTGTAAACGCTCTCTGGGAACCTTTCCCCACGGTAGGGCCGAGTCATTACGGGCTATGGTGGAGTAGTTTGAAGCTAACAGACGTTACACGTGAAGAATAGGAGATGAGATGAGTCAACCCAGAAGAAGACGACGACGGGATGAGACTGAAACATCCCCCTCCTATCCGAAATAAACCCGGAACAGGACGAGCGATTTCCACCCTCACAAAGAAGGCATAGCCAACAGCGGGTATTATTCCACCGGTCGTACGCACGACATTGCAATGCACCAAGGATGATGCCTTCTTACATTTCTTCCTATTTTAGAAACCACGCTTATTTTCAGCCTTTTCCAGACTTGGGAACTTCCTCGAGAAGAAGCTGAACTCGCCAGACTTCTCGACGACTTATCCACGTTCAATCTAAAGATATTCGGTTTCCTTTCTCTCCTTGATCTTGATCTCTCTCTCTCTCTCTGTCTCAACCATGTCGTGTGCTCCGTGGATGGAAATTCCCTCAGCATGGCAATGGCTTGCAAAGATTCTAATACCAGATATAACAAAGCCCAACCAAACTCGTGTCGTTGCCATTCCTGTCGTCAATTCCGAAAACTGCAGTCGAAATACGGCTGCATACAAGGTTTGCTACGGCGAACTAGGAACCCGGGTTATTGTGAAATAGGAATAATGACACAAAGTTGTTGTGCGTAAGCACCAGTACTTGCTTCTATACCGTATGGAGTAAAGTAGTAGCATTATTGGTGAATGCAACCATTAGATTAGAGTTGGATATGGGACTGTGGAAGCAGGAAAGCAAGAAAGACTTGCCATTTCCTTTCTGTCGTATCAATAGATGCGATTTCCTTTATTTATGCATTTCACCGTAGTCGCCCAATAATGCGACAACGAGGAGCTCTAGAGCTGGGACAACCATGGAGCAAAACGGAATTGCGTTCAGGCATGCAAATCCACCCCATTATTTTTCTTCTTATTTCGAAGAAACCTCCTTAAAATGCTCTTTCCGTGGTGGAATTTTTGATAACAGACGGTCAAACTGTTCCTTAAGAGAATAAGTTTCCCCTTACGCTCCTTAAAAAAGCTGGTGATTGGAGGAAGATAGTAAATTGAGTGACTTTGAGTCGACTCAACACTACTGCTGCACAGCCATTAGTTCTGCAGGGACGCGAGCTAACTAACTAATAACGATGAGCGTGATGTGATGTGTTGTAGGTATCAGTCCAGAAGAAGGAAATGGAAAAGTTTGCGACTTCTCAAAGGCATTCGTCCATTTATTTCTTGAAAGAACATCTCCAAAAATAACATCCGCACCATCATCAAACCAACAGCCAACCCTTCTCTGCTCATTTCTGGCTGCATTTTTCCATTTTACTCGAAATACTACATACATATGTACCTCCCTCTTCAAGTCTCCTCACTCTTAACTTTTAGCAGCTCATTTCAGAAGGAGGCTGTTGCAAGAACCGAAGCCGTCGGGGATATATTTTACATGCATGGCTCCCGTTCCACTAAAAATCAAAGTCAACCCGGTTAAAGTGAAGAATGCATCCGAAGCAAGACAAGTCGACAGAGCTGTGCACAAGCATATTCGCTATATTAGGATTGTAAGTGAGAGGAGAGTGGGAGACAGGAAATCTGTCTGCGTCTTGCTGAAAGAAACCTTAATTAGTCACACGCACATTACTGCCAGCAACAAATTTCTCACTTTTTATCCTCCAAACACGATTTTGTGCATGGCTAAATTAATGATGATGTATGGCATAAAGTGTGCTCTTTGGGCAAGGTTTCATAATTTATGACGGATAAAGACTGCACACCGAAAACATTAATTACAGTTGAAATACTTAATAATAGGGTGCATTATTGTCAACTAATGGTTCGTAGGTGGGAGCGAGTACACGTTTTATTACAATGGTCAACAATCTGATAATTTCACTACTACTTCCTCAATCGCAACCCTATTGAAAAGCTTAATTGTTTTCGCTGGAGTTTTTTTCTGAGACAAGATCAATAGCACCACGATCTATTTGTGTATACGTGTCTACATGCATAACCTGGTGTATGCCACAAGGCGTTTTGCTGCCAGTACACGACCGGAAGTTCATTATTCAACCGGTCGACCAAGATAACTGAATTCGACTTTTATTTTAGGAGTAATCAGTTGCTGTCGGGTGACTCACAGGCCCAATTTACACCACACATCGACGATGAGCAGCAGCATGTCGAGTTACTGGACTACATATATGGTTAAAATGGTAAATGGAGCAGTGTCATGTCATGATTTGACGGCGGTGTGGTCTGTTTCTGGCCGATTTTTTTCCTCCCAATCGCAGTAGCATATGCACATATTTAGTACCAACCACGCAACTCATAAGACAGTCCATTCATTTCCTCATTTTGAGCCAAAGTTTTCTGCTCATTACGGGATTATAAATATACAGAGACTCCCACGCTGCATTTGGAAATACAACCTTTTGTTGGAAACAAGACTCTCCCCTTCCTTCCAAAAACTGGATCTGTTTATGAATGAAAAATTAAGAGAACGAGTGGTGGTGGTGGTGATGCATATTAGTGGAAGAGGCAGGCATGCTCTCTCATATTGATGGATGAGAGGACGATAATGAAGGAGCATTTGGATTTTGATAAATTGCGTGTGATCTGGACAGCATCAATGAATTTCTTAGACGATTTCAAAATCATTGAGAAGGCTTATTTGACCGTGACATGAACCGATTTCTACGAGCTCATAGTTGAACGACCAGAAATTAGGGCTGATATTTCACAGATAAGGTCGACTTTGAATGAAGTCTCGAATCTAACGATTTTCATTGTGGGGCCACTTCCCCAATAATAAGAATGCGCTACGGTGAGATGCACTGGAGATGACCCCATCAATCAACTTCATTTAGAGCTGGCATAAAAGTGCACTTTGAGTCGGAGAAGCCAAACAACATAAATGCATTTGCGCTGATTTTCGTTCTTGCAACTATCGTGATTTGTACATTTTGCTCATTTTCAAAAAATGTATACCATCGGATTATACTTAAATTAAATCCATCTCATGAAAGGTGAGAGTCGTTCAATTTCTAGCCACAAATCAATTACACGTCAAGGGTAATCTCAACCTAAGCGAGCATTTAGCCAGATGATATTTTGCATAGATACATACTTCAAGAAAGCAAAGATGCAAATCTCGAATTAAATCCAATTAGAAAGAGAATAAAGCTGGCAGGATCTCTCAGCATGCTCGTTATTGTTTGCCAATGAGGAGTGGGAGGGAGCCAATCCCACCAAATCAAGAAAAGAAAGAACGCGTACAAGAGCAATCAATCCATCTCAATTCGAAACATCAATTCCAACTATGGTATCCTCCATTCATTCATATAGCTCCACAACCACTCGTTACACTGCGACGAGTGCAGAGTGCAGGGGAAGATACACACACACAAAAAATAATACTGCAAAAAGTCGGACCTTCGTTCCGTCTTAAGCATCCGTGGTGTTCTATTGAATTCGTATTTGAAGAAAAGTGATCTTAAAGAGTTTGGACATGAGTCAGCAGCGGTCGGTCGCATCTCTTTCCTCCCAAAGAATAAATATGTTCTTATGTAGTTTAGATATGGAGGATGAACATTATCCTCATTGTCAGATTATGGTCCGCTTTCGATTGGATGGTGAAGCAGATTCCATCCGAGATGAATTGTCCAACAGATCAGGCGTCCTTCTCCTCTCTTCTTCTTCTTCTAGCCACCACACAATCCTCTCCACCATGAGATTCCTAATCTCATTTCTTGGTCTCTCCCCCTCTCTTCTCGGTCCATAAACGACTCCATTTATTTGCTCGAATAAGGATCTCCGTATCCCATCTCCCAAGAAATAAAAAAACAAGGAGGAGACCTCGACCTTCCTCCAACTATCATACACATGTATATACAATGTCATCCTTCGTAACAACCACAACCACAACATGCATAGTGCGTGAACGAATCCGGATGAGATGCAGCCCCTCAAGCTAAAAATG